AACATGCTTAAGGGTAAATCTTGCGTTTTGATTGGTCAATTAGACACTGTCTATTGGACAATAACACCCCTCTGTTTTAGTAAAGTCTTTTAAAATCCTAAAATAGCATGTTACAATGTCGATAAACACTTCCTGTTTCACATTAAAAGGGGTGCTAACGCGCTTTGGGTCCTAAATGCGAAACAGGAAGTGTTTATCTCCTAATTAGAAACAAGAAAGGTTTCGCACAAACATATAACGTCGCAGTTAACGAAAATTCATTAAATGTTTTCTAAATTCGCTATTTTCATTGTGTTTCGTGGGAAAGCCACGGCAATGCCAGGACCGAACCCGAACGCACTCGTAATGTTCACCATTATGAAATGCGAAATGCGAATGCTAAAACTAAATATGACAGACGTTAGAATATGAATGATAAATGTAATAAAGGAAATTACCTGTAAACATAATGAGAACGATAGTTTTCTCCATACTACACTATATACGTCTATACATCTATATTCCGGGTAGTGCTTTAATATATTGACGTTAGTCAAAGACAGTCCAGTTTGTCTGCTTCATAACAAACAATCGATTTACGGAAACCAATAAGAATTCGGTTTACTTTACGGAAAAATTCTCGTCGATAAATTAATGGTATTTTCATGAGCCTAGTTGGTGCCACAAAGTAGGACATATGCCATTGCTCATATATTTATATTGATGAAACTATATCAGTTTTTATACATTTACAAGGGCAGTCACATATATATTATAGTAATTATTTTAACTCGTTAATTATGGGCGAAAGACTTTTAGAAACCTTAATCATATTCTAGTTCAACAATTATCTGAAGCTCCGTGGTACTTGATTTGAAGGGATACTGACATTTCCAGTGCCCGTGCGATGTCAACAATTCCATTCTGTCTCCGAGCATCTGGATATCACTTTGTACATACTGAAATGATCAACTTTTACTGGCAAGGTTAGGGGCCCCAAGGGTCAAATTAGGATATAAATATACAGCGGTACATTAAGGCCTATATTCAGACATTGTCAATATTTTTGGAAGTCTACCATGTGGATTTTAAACAAATTTTACACTTTCCGTTGCTTTGGTAGTACGTGTTCTGATTTGTTCAAATTCACTAACTTGCCCAATCCCTTAGGGATGGGTGGGTGCAGAGTCTGAGTTGGGGGAACGCATTGGCGAGCTTTGCGTCATGGTTTTGAGTTTTTGTGCCCCCTCGCAAATGGCAAAAAATCATATGGTTTCAATGCGGTTTCCAACATTATAACCATAATCATAATGCTTAACGTAAACACACACCGCGGGTGATATGCTACAACTCGACTCTAGCATGTTCCACACAGCCCAATATTACCCGGCGGCACTGGGAGGGACTCCCCCCGCACACACATAAATATTGTTTTTGGGGGCCCGGGCGGGAATTTGTTCCTCATGCAAAATCACGGGTCACCACGCCCTTGGTGGGTGTACCTTGCATGGTCATAAAATGGTAGATATGTTTATTGAGTGGTGATTATTCATATTAGAATGAAGTTCACCAGCCCTTATATTCACCTAAACTACTTGCTTTGGCAGTACTTATTCAAATTTGATAGTCACTTGACCCCATGTAGTTTAGGATTGGAGGTTTAATAATATAACGTAAATGTGCCTATATAACTTCCCAATAAGACAATCATAGTGAAAATTCATAAATAGAGCAAAACAGATGTGTCATCATACTGAACATTACTTGGTTTATACCAATTTTAAAGATAAATATCCAGCCATCTTTTAAGATATATATGTTTTATAATAATCATAAGGTTTGGAATGTCGAAGTTAAATTTATAAGCAGCGGTGTTTTGATGCTTCGACCTAAATAATGATAATAATATATGTTAACAAAATTATATACAATTAGTACATATTGTTTAGATCTGGCTTGCATCCCAAATTTATTTTTACCAAGTTGTAAAATAAGCATACTCCTCGCAGTGTTTCGTTTGATTAAAACTAATCCCACTCAAAAGAGTCAAACACTGTTGTAATGAAAGCAAATTTCTGTTCCAAATTATGACTGGTCATAACTGCGTAACAATATCATTCGGGTTTATACAGATCTCCAGATATGTTTACATAACGTTACGTCATGACTCACGAAATTTATTACGCCCAATTAACCATTAACCAGTGCATAGCAGAATATTGCAGAAAAACTAATTGCGTGACAAATGAGGCCATCAAAACGACTACAATGTAAACAATACTGCTTGGAGACGAACAAAACTTTCGCCGTTTTTAATACCTTAAATCACTGTCCAAATTTTCGAGAAGACCCCAGATTAAACGAAGGACTGGCATGTTGCTGTATTTAGGACAGATTTGATTGGACGGGAAGAATAGATACACTCACTCAAAAGATGAAGTATCAGAAGTCAATCCAGCAATGACCAGGGAGGGATTTCTCGGCCCATTGCTCCATGAATATTTAAAATAAGTAGCTATGACTGTGTTTTTGGTATATTTGTCATGGTCCAAGATAAGATGATCGCCACGTCACTACTGTGATCAAAACAGTGTCTGTTTAATTTTCTTCACCTAGATATTATATGCTACCCACACTACCCCACCCACCAACAGCCACGCGCGCGCGCACACACACAAACACACACACAAACACACGCACACACACTCACCCAACCCCAACATAGCCTACCTTTTGACATAGATTGACACTGTTCAACCCCATAGAAAAGCATCTTACGGTATTCGTACGGTATGTATCTTATATTAGTCTTTAAATTACTCTTAGCTAATTATTTAGTCAATATACACCAGTCTGCTTCTAAAGTACTTGTGGTGTATTCCTACTCCCTGATGGAACCAATGAGTGACAGTCATCAAAAAGAAATGAAGTAATTACTTTAATCGAGAATATCGATTTTGCTTCCCAGTGTAGGGAAAGTGTGGGAATTATTATTATATACTATATAATACGCACTTATCACCGATTTTGTCTTTAAAAATGACTTTATTTTTCTTTTCCAAACATTTTCATGACTGTACAAATGTGCTGCTTTTATTTCCAATACCTTTGATCTGACTTTCTTTCAATATTTTCAATCGGGTTTTATTCTGTAAATGAATGTTATGGTTTATACCAATTTTAAAGACAAAATTTGTCATCATGCTGAACTTTACTTGGTTTTTACCAATTTTAAAGATAAATATCCAGCCACCTTTAAAGATGTATATGTTTTGTAATAATCATAAGGTTTGGAATGTCGAAGTTAAATTTATGCACAGCTGTGTTTTGATGCTTTGACCCAAATAATAATAAATGATGACAAACGTCTATGTAGTAAATTAACATATTTGTTCTTAATATATGCGATCTGGTTTGCAACCCAAATTTAGTTTACTAAGTTAAACAATAAATAGTACTGTTACGAATGTCACCTTGAAATCGAGTGTAAAGTTTTTAGCTATTCATATGATTTTTATCTTTAGGTTGGTGTAGAAAGACCTCCAAAAGGGGGGGGGGGGGGTAGTGGTTTGACGCGTACACGTGAAATCACAAGATCTGTCATTAGATTCCCCGCTTGTACGTGGCAAGGAGTAGGGTCGCCTGTTTTCTCCGAGATCCCTGTTTTCCTCTCACTGCTAAAGCCCCCTACGCCCAAGCGAGTTATTAAATTAAAACTGAACAATAATAATATGTTAGTTCCAAAATGACCTAGTTTGTGTCGAGCGGATTTTAAATCCTATTTCTGTTTCGACCAATAAAGTTTCAGTGTTAGGGTCAAGTATATTGATTGGGTACTAGGGTTTAGGGAGTTTTAACTGTTTTGCTTGCGGTTCAGTTGTGTGAGCCGAAAACATTGATCTATAGATAGAGCCTTCGTGTAATAATGTTTATTCCGATGTCGAAGTGTACTGTAGCTCAATATATAGTCCTCATCTTTCCACATAAAAATGTCTCAAATTAAAACTGCTAGGATTCGTGAAAGAATTCTCTCAAGAATTACAATTACATATCACGGCGCCAAGACGTCATTCAGTCTTTCAGTCATGGCATTATAATCCTGGCCAGTTAGTTTTGTTGATTTTTTAAAAAGCGCGACAGATAGTTTGTAAATAGAGATTCTAACATTTTGATGTAATAATTTTGGGATTTATGTTACTTTCCACGGGAGTAAGCATACGAATAAAGGAAATTATCAAGCTATATTAATTCATTGTACCCGAGAACTACTATTAACATGGTTTATGCCCAACTGAGTTGTACATTCAGACTGCAATATTTTCATTTATACAATTTATTGATTCGCATATTGGGGAACGTAATTTGGGAGACGGCGCTCATTGTAATTGTATAGAACTTTACGTGACTATGTATATTCTTAATTCTTCCTATTTAGCATTTGGTCTTGGTCTTGGTGGATTTTGCCCACATGGTTGAGAACGAAAGTGCAATGTTAGTGGAACATCTTTTGATATGATTCTTGATAATTGCTTACGTGCCACGCTTTACCATGGCGAATATATTTTATCTTTTTGTGATTGTTTATCGCCGATCCTACTTTGTATGTGGAAACATATTTCACTGGAAACTCCTAAAAATGAACTGTAAAATGAAATTGAAAAAGGGTGTACTGTTCCGCACCAACCGTGGCTATGCGACGTGCATACGACATGCGCCACTGAAACCACGCTGAAAAAATCCCGAGGACATTTTTCGGCAATACCTGGTTAGAGAACCAGCGCCTTACTCACTGAGCCACTATGCTCCCTTTATAATGAAATATGTGAGACCATGGATATAAAATAATCTCCAACGTGAACAAATACAGAGAATATTAATTGAAGGTTTGTAATGGATGTCTATACATTTTATTCCCAAGACATTACATAACGAAATTAATAATAATATCCATAATACTTATGTCCCCGTCAAATTTATAAGTTATGGCTGCTATTATAGATAACAAATAAACTATATACTGTTAGAATAAGTTTAATTTCTTTAAAAGAATAACATGATATTAGCAATCAAAGATACACATGTTATGGATATATTTTCTGTAAATCCCTCGTTGGTTTAACTATCTGATGGTATTCCCTCCTTCAATAGGTATTGAGGTGCCATTTATATTACAAGCTGATTCGGAACATAAAAACAATGATAATGCAGCAACCTGAGAAGACAAGATAATAATACTAATACCAATTGTTACTAAATAGGTTTCAAGCAGAACATTAGTATTGGGTTAGTTTAATACGAAGCAAGTTGACCGGTTGTAATATTCTCAAGTTGGTATCCTTCTCCCAGCAATACTGTTCCAGATCAAGTTCCGGTGGATTCCGATCTTCCAGTGAACGCCACACAATAGCTTGGTTATGAGCTATTTTTACGTTCATTCGTTGAGCAAGATTACATGGTTTGGGTGGGGAATAATGACGATACATTTCCAGTTTTAGATGTCCACACCCTCCACCGTGTTTCAGACATAGATTTCTAGAACTCTGTCCATAAGAAGCTGACATAAATACAGTGGCCTGTGTAACTGTGTAAGTAATGATTCTATTGGAGTGCCTATTACTCCGAGAGTGAGAGAGAATATAATCAAGCTCTAACCACTTTCAAAGCTGTTACTTTCCCCACGACGTAGCCGCATGTAACCGTGTCATATCGAGTAAGAGTATGAGCTGGCAGGATTTCAATGATAATTGACATGTGTTTCTAGTTTGACCAATGTCAACGGTTGTTCTTTCCTCGATTGGCGATCCCACTGTAAGCTTGTTATGAACCGGGCTCTTGCAAATCGATGACTGAAACACTCTGGGGGTATAGGCATCCAAACCTGGAAATGTATCGTCATCATTCCCACCTAAACCATGTAGTCTAGCTCCATAGTCCATCGAATGATGCATTTGTAGCGAACGTAAAAATATGTCATCGCAAAGCTATTGAGTGGCGTTCACTGGACGATCGGAATCCGCCAGAACTGTATTGCTGGCAGAAGGACACTAAATTGAAAACATTACAACCAGTAAACTTGCTCTGCAGCCTGCCATGTAACTCATCGGGTCGATTCCCCATTATTGTATGGTGGCTTATTGTATGCCAGGTTGATTTCCGTTCATGTTGTCATAATATTCCGGTTCGATGGATTTCGAGAAATGTTTTTGGATAAATGTTATTGAAGAAATGTTTTGTAAGATTTGTATTGGGAGATTTGTATTTAGAAATGTGTTGTTCCAGATTTGTTTTTCGTTGTATTTCTCTGATGAAATGTAAATGTAGTCTAATTTTTGATTTTCTAAAATAGATTTTATCTTTATATTAAAATACAATTAAAATACATTCTACAAATCTGATATGACAAATGTCTGATTTGTAAAACAAATATCGTTAATGTTAAATTTAGTTTACAAATGTCGAAATGCGACAACAAATGTCGAAATACGACAACAAATGAAGAAATAAGAATTAAGGACTATGAATTAAGAAATAAGGACTAAGAACACCGAATAAAGAGCTGTTTGGTCTTCCATATTGGTTGGGGTGGAATCTTTGCTTATGAGGAATGTTTTTATAGATGAAGCATTGTTTGTGATAAATGTATGGTGGGTGAAATATTTATTGGGAGAGGAAATATGTTGGTTTTGGGAAAAAGGAAAGTGTAAAGATCATGTTGGCGTTTGTTGTAATGTTAACGAAGTTGTTGTTGTGGTGGTGGGGACGCGTAACCGTAACCGAGGCCAAGAACCTCGCATATTGTCTTAAGTATAATGATCATCGAATTATCCACCCTTGACCCTGAAGGGTTATCGTGCGAAGACACATTTGGTCCGAAGACACCGAAGAAGTGCCTTTTGGCAGCCGTTTGCTTGCCGAGATCGCTTTTGGTTTGAGAGGTTTGCTTTTTAACGCCCTTGCTTTGTAGGCTTCCCCCTCGGTCCCATCCATCTCGCCTCAACCATCTTTCACATTGTCTCTCAGATCATACATCTACAGGGCAAGTGTGGATAATTAGAAAGAGAAGTATAGCCTACTATTGGAAAAGTTAGAGATATATTTTCAAAGTAACAATTACAAATAACGAATGCAATTACTGGTAAATATACTTTTGTATCTGCATAGCGATAGATAAGGTATTATCTTAAGTTTCAGGTTACCCTAAAGGAATAGAATAATTTGTCCTCGACCGCATTTACCAAATATTATATCTAAATACGTATAACACTACACTAATAATTAATAAATTAATTGCTTCTTTATTTACCTCTTGCACTGTAACAACCTTATTTGTCGGCATATTCTGTAAAAACTTAAGCTGCAAAATGAAACAGACAGAAGGATAAGCTTTAAACTAATATGATTAATTTATAGCAGAAAGTTAAACAAAACACTAAACTTAAAGCAGAAAGGAAAGACAATATTACTGAGCCACGAAAAATAACCCAGATATTTGTAATGAAACAAAATTACAGGAATAATCATGTACAAGTATACGATGTTGCTAAATAAAAAAATCAATTTATCAAAACTGTTATTACTTTTATTTAAATATAGACTGTAATATATAAGGTTCCTGTATATTCACGTTTGAGATAAATGTAAAGACAGGAAATAAGCCTAATCTAGGTTATCAGCAGTTTTTTTTAAAAAAAAAAACATTTTAGGACTACCTTTTCTTCTTCATAGGTAGTTCCATTAACTTCTGCTAACCGAGCAATGGAAACGTATGCCACTGAAAGCAAATATATCGCACATTGTCAAAACCTCTGTCCTATTTGTTATCTGGAATATCTTGAGTCATTTGGGTGTTTAATTCGAAATTTATATCGGTATGTTTCTCTCTATAAATTCGTATTCGTATTTATCTATATAATATCATAAGTGTGTTTTAATTCAATTATCAAGCCCAATACTTACTTGGTGCGTCCACATAGCCTGGACAAATGGCATTACAGGTAATACCAAGTGGTGCCCCCTCCAACGCTACACACTGGATTGCAAGTAAAAAGTATAAAATTCGAATTGTGAGACCATTGTAATATTCATTTTAATAATGATTACTGTAATACAATACAAAATGTGGATAGATTGCCCGGGGACTAACATTTCTTTCTACACTACCGATATATTAACATTCCTTTCGTCAATGTAATCATGTGCATTTCTGAGTATCTGAAAACCAAACCTATTCGTTCCCATTTCTGGAAACAGTAGCCAATGGAAGCTCTTTTTTTAACTGCAGTGGGATTATCAAATCATGAACCTGTATGCCACGTTAGTACAAGACAGTACAAAGATTATATTTAGTTGGATTACATATTATTTACAGAGAGAGAGAAATGGGGTTTAACGTCCAATCGACACAAACTAGGTCATTTCAGGACTAACATATGGTTTAATTTTTATTTCAATAATTCGCTTGCGCGTAGGGGTCTTTAGCAGTAGGAGGAAACCAAGGTTGGACAGCCGACCCTACTCCTTGGCACGTACAACGGGGGATTCGAAACCACGCCAGTTGACTCAATGACAGACCTTATGATACAGCGCCTACGTGCTAACCATTCGGCCATCCCCCCCCCCACTCCCATAGTATTTACATTCCTAGGACAAAAACAATAACAATTTCGTATTCCTCCCTTAGAGTTAGTAAGTGGCGCAAATTTAATCTCAAATCTTATTCAGATTTACCTTTGTAAGTCCTATAATGCCATGTTTAACAGTAGAGTATGCACATTTACCTGGTGCACTTATTAAACCTTGTTGTGATGACATATTGATAATTCTTCCCCAGCCTGTAATGTAAACAAACGGAAATGCTTAGTGATGTTTGCGTTTTACATTATTCGTTCGAGACCAGGGTCATCTTCCGTAGACAAGGGTTTAAACTTCTTATTCGATCAATGGTTAGGTTTGAATGTCTTGTTGTTCTTATTAGAAAAATGGGTAAGACATATGGGAAATTGAAGGGGGTTGTGGGGATGGAGAGAGTACAAGACTCTGGAGAGAACGCCGCTACATTAGGAGTATGTTCTAATTACTTGCTTAACCGTTTTCAGATTTGAATGGAATGCGGGTTAAACATGTATCTCCGTTTTATTACCGCAACACGTACAATACGGGCGGAATCTCTCCGAGGCACCAATAAAATTTACCTTTAGTTTTCATTTTAGGTATAAATGATTTGATGAGTTGAAATGATGCAGTTAAAGTTATGGCGAGGGTGTCATTCCATATATCATCTGGGTATTCTTCGACTGGAGCCATTAGTTGGATTCCTGAAAAATATTACAAAAATTAAAAGAAAAACATAGATGAGGTCTGCTGTGTCCCCTAATATGCTCCCCGACAGCAAGCTCTAAAATCCATGTCAACGATTCTATCAGAACACTGTCCCGAAATAGAAAAGACAATGTCTGAAGAAAGATAACTCCACGAAGAGCAATGAAAAATGTCAAGTTTTGACAAACTTAAGAACTCTGTTCTGTATCGTGTTAACTAAATTCTAAAGAACTGGTCGTACACGTCTAAAAAATAAAATTCTGTCCAAGCTTTTATAAATTGCATTGAAAACTTTTGTTCTGTATTGCGTTCACATGTTTTGAAAATCTAGGTGTCCGGAATGATAACTCAACAAAAGGCGTTTTAATTCACGACTAGAAAGATTTAATATTCGATAAGGTTCCGATACCCACCGAGTTTTAAAACTTATACTAGGACGATACCTCTGAGGTTTACTTTTGAAACATTTTGGACTTGGATAAGGTTTTTCCTAAAGTATACTGTCTCTAAATTGAGCGACCGACGCATGCAGATGCAGACCATATCTGGAATTTCCGTAATATACCCGCAAAGTTTTTTTTTTAAAAAACTAAACTAAGTTTTTAGAATAAAACGTGCACAATTGATTGTATGGAATACAACATACTTAAGAAATATCACAGCACAGGAATTTGAACAGTCATCGTGTAAAAGGAAAGAATAAAAATGTAATCACAAAACATCAATACATATTTATCTTAATCTATTTTGTTTTCTTAATAAGATGTATTTTTACCAGCATTGTTAACTAAAATATCAATTCCGTCTGGGTGTAGTTTATTTACCGACTCACAAAAACTCTTTACAGATGATACATCTCTCAGATCAGCAGCTATATAATTAGTTTTTACTGTGGGATAGTTTCTACAATACAAATACAATATTAAAATTCATTTTTATATCATCTTTTGGGTTTTTTTTTTTAAATATTAATTTAATACCTATGGATAAGAAAATACAGATTCATTCTAGTTTCAAGTCATTTAAAGGACAATATTGGTGTCAGTCATTATCACATATATGTGATAGAACTGGTTTAACACGTTCCAAATATAATTTCAACACAGAGATCATTGCTACGATAGATGCGTAATCAAGGTTTCAACAAACGGAAGTGACAAACACAAAAGGAAAACACTAGATATCCTTCTATATAACTGACTGAAGTGAGGAGTGATAACAGATACACGGGCTAATTTCTGCTCACTAATATTTCCTTCGAAGACCAAAAGTTGTTGTATGAAACCGTGAGCGAATATCTGACAATTCAAAACAGAAATTGACTGTCACTAGAAAAGAGAAAACGAAAAAATATAGAAAACGTCCGTGCATTAAAATGGAAATATACGGACTATTTCTATTTTTCTCGTTGCTGTATTCACGGGGTGGAATAGCAGTAAAGCGCGTTTGCTGCCGTCAATTTTTCCAAAATTTTCGGGGGGGGGGGGGGGCCTACACGGGAAGCCACGCTCCTCCGCTCTCGCAGGAAGCCGTCTGTAACACGTACATTTTTTGGTCATTTCAGGTGCTGCCTCCCTAAATGTCACCGAGCCCGTACGCCTATGTCAACGTAGGTTGTTTTTTTTTTTTTTTTTAAAAAAACATGACCCGGACAGCGGTTGTCTCAACCAATCTGGACAGTTTTTCTTAAGACTTCAATTGAAGAAGCAAAACAAAATATCGTACGTTCTAAATTCACTAACGATAGAATCTATGGCGGATTGTTCTCCAAGGCCAGTTATAACAACTGAGCATTCTTCTCGTGCCAAATACCGGGCTATTTCCAAACCAATTCCAGACGTGGATCCGGTTATTACAGCAACTTTACCCGCATGTGACATTTTCTGAAAATATAATTTAAAATGTAATCCCCCTAAAGGCGTCTGGATAATCTTGGCAGGTGTTTGTATAATATATAAATTGATGTATGCTATACAAATAATTATCAGTATATTGGTTCTAAGATACAACTTGTGAATCAGTAAGGGATAAATATCAACGCTACATAGATGGGCCACTATTAAGCTATAGTATCACAGCCTGTTCGAAGAAAGCAGAATGCTGGCCCAATCTAAAGACCCCGACCATATTTAACAGTAAGCCTATCCTAGGCGTATGACTGGACAATCTGGGGCTACGTAACAATATGAACAATCTGGAAAAAAATTGCTATTATCAAATCTAAATTTGTTGATTTAAGGTTTATGTGCCTTATCCATCAGGGTTGTCGGAAGGGGGTGGGTGGCGTGGGGGGGGGGGGCAAATACTTTGCAAATATGTACTAATAATATTAAATTTTGTCACGAAACCCTATTTAGCTCGTCACGCTGACAACACCCGCCCCCTCCCCGCCAATTATGTAAGTAAATTGTATATCGTTAAGAAAGTTTGCGTTTGTTGGCTGAAGAGGTGGTGTAACCTTGCGGGTTACTTTCATCGATTAAGGTCGAGAGTCTCTAGCCTCTCTTGCAAGGGACTAGATATGGATGTATCTCAACCCCTAAAGGCCGCCCGTTGTGAAAACGGTCTAAAATCACTGGTTCTTCTGGCTAGATCGTGTGTCTAGTGGTTAGGACTATCTTGTTTATTTCTTTCGTTGGGTCGTTTCTGGCTCCGCGGAATAATTTCACAAAGTCCACGTTTTGTTTTAATAAATTTATAATTCCTTCAGACACATACAGTTATACGAGGTTTTGGTACGGTCCACGCTTCTGAAAGAGTTCTATAATAAATTTGTACTTAACAATTCGTACGTCGTTGTTTACAGCAGCTTATTTCACGTCAGATAAATTCTTAACTAACAATTATCGTATACTAGTTCAGTAGAGCTGTATCTTGACCTGCTGTACATATATCGGATTTCTATCTAATTGTAGACCAAAATCTAAGACAATAATTGAGAATTTATTATATACCTTATCGTCAATTTTGTGAGGAATGACCTGAAAGATCCGAACAACTCGATTTCAAGCCTGGATGTCTTTTTTATAAGAATTATAGACTCTGTCAAATGTACGATCCCGTTAATCTATGAAATACATTTTCCTACGTGATAATTCATTTAATAATCTTGTTCCTTGTTTAGGCTGAAAGCAAATTAATAATTACTGATGTATTGAATATATATATATATATAAATATTTGAAATGAAAAAGGTTTATAATTTTATATCAATCAAAACATGAACAAGATGACACTGGTGTTATCGATATGTTCGTTCGTACGTAATATTTTCCTGGCGATGGAATGTGATTCGAAAGTCAGTGGTAAAAACGGAAGTTTACAACATGGTGGGTGGTACGTAGGCTATTAACAATACTCTTACATAACTACTGAAAATTGTACGATGTAGCCCATATTTGTCGCTTCATCTGTCAAAACATCACATTGAGACCTACCTCCATACACTCACAACCCAATACTATATATACAGAATATGAAGATAATTGTTATCATGTTTATCATACAACACAAGATAACATGAATGATAGGTAATTACTTATCTGTGTATTCATATTACCTAGCTGGTTCAATTTATCACTATTTCAACAAAGTGGCGTCACCAAAATTACTAGTTTGTCCCTTTTGTTAGCTTATTCAGACAATCATCTATACGCCTTCTCCTAGCTACGAGAACGTGGCTAAAAACGTTGAGATATACTGAAACACGGAGGGTTGAGAGATGAGATTTGTTATCTAGCCTTCTCCCAGTTGTAGTGTGGCTTAAAACGTCCATTTCATCCTTTTCACCTTCCCACTAGACATAAATAACCGACGGCAAACATACGAATGTTTGATTCAGTTCAAGGAAAAACCAAGGTCCCGTGTACACACGTTGGCTTGTACGTAAAAGAATTTGACGGAGAGTAGGCTGGTAAACAGCTCATGGGGTAAATTTTATTCGTAGCACACTGTATGGGGCTGCACGGTCTCTAAGTGGGTAAGACGCTGGCTCGTTAGCCTGGAGGTCGGGTGTTCCGATCCCTGCATTGGCCGAAAAAGTTCATCCAAATTTCCCTGCGTGGTCCCCCCTTGTCAGTGATGCAGGACGGAGGGTCTGACAAGGACAGCTGTGTCTAGTCGTTCTGATGGGACGGAAAACAGAGGTCCCGTGTAGCCCTACACATTGGCGTGCACGTTTAAAGGATCCCTTGACAATTGGAGTTCGATATAAGAGTAGGCCGTAGTGCCGGTGTCCGGGCAAAATTTCCCTCATAGCACACTGTACTGGCGTATGTCCGTCTTCATTAGCTCAGTTCTGACCAAAATAGTAAGACGTTAACACCCCCCCCCCCCCATTTCACTTCTTCAGAAGTTAAGTCTGGACCGCCAAGGCTTAATCTATATTCAAGAGAAGATAACTCTGAAGATTACATTATTCAAGAGCAGAGCAGACTGAACCAAGTGAAGTGAAGATGTCTAATTCTACAGTGATACCTGCGTTTTTAGTATCTTGGCTACAAATTATTGCACCCCAGCCTTGCTATGATGAGTTATTCGTAAATTTCAACTTCTTTCACGGTAAATAAGACATAAAATAATGCTGTAGATCTTCATAGGTAACATAAAAAGCAGTGACATTCATTCATGATACGGTAATAAATAATATTTGTGTTCAGCCGAACTGGCAAGTGCTAGGCTATAGCCTAGACATAGTCTTTACTTTATGATTTAGGCAGTATGTATGATTATGTGACAGTTGTTCTCTATAGAAATGTTTAGTAATAATAATAAGATCATGATCATTGATTGAATCATGGTCATCATTTGAGTGAGTGTGAAACTCGGTGAAAGTCTACATACATAGACTGAAGTGAAAGGGATAATTTATCTTCAAAAGACCCCAGAAAAGCATAATCATCACCCAGAATCTGAATCTAACCTAAAATCTACCCTAGAAAAAACTGGGTCTCATAAATTTGTTTGTTTTGTGGGTGGCGATCAATAAGTAAATAAGTAAATCTGATAATAGTCAATACCTTACCGCACTGGACTATGATTATGATAATAAGATTGAGAAAATCAATTAAAATTTCCCATTTTAACTACTCTAAAAATTTTATTGCCACATCATTATAATAGCCCTAGTTTATTTAGCTGCTTTGGCACAGGTGGTCTAGCTATAATGTGTAATGGAAAAATTATTTATTATAATACGCATGGATGAACCATATGAAGTACCAGTAATGATAGTAATATTTTTACGATACCGACCGTAATTAAAATTAGCTAATGAATTTGTTTTAGACAATTGAATAAAATCCAATAAGTGCATCCAAAGTAATAATATAATAGAAAAGGTGATCCAAACTCATGCTACAGAGATAAGCAAAATTTGCATTCCATACTTTTTTGCTTACCGGTAGGCCTACTGAATAAACCACCAGGTTTAATTTTGTTCATGAACAATTATGCCTTCCTCATCTTGTTAGAGCCAACCTGTCCATCAAAAATTACAGAGAAAGACAAGCCATCAGCTTGTTATGTGTAAGAATTTCTGTTACCCTCAAAGTTTTGTCAGACAATAGCTTGTCCTTCATTATAAAGCACAGGCTGGCAAGAACATACAGGAGTGCTATACTGCGTAAGGGATAATCACTAGTAAGGTAAGCTCATGGCATGTCACGTCACAGGCTTATTTGACCCATAGTTTTGTTGTATAGGGCTGAACATCTTTTTAATTAGACCACATAATTTTACATCATAATTTTGGGAGATAATAAGCAAAATGATTGCAGGTTAGAATTAAACTCCATGAACATGAGTTGTAACTAAAATCGAGCACATATGATTGTTTCAACGATTTAAGATGGCTAAGGAAAGGTGTGTTGAAAAAATTACCTGTACTGGTATAAACTTTATATAATTTTTTATCTTGTCTTTTTCAGTTGCCTGTCTGAAAGTGATTATAAGTAAATGTCTAGGTTTTGCACTCATAGCAGGATCATGTATAGGTTTGTTGTAAAAAAATTTATTAATATGTTAATAGCCCATTTGACATCACATAAGTTTTGGTTCTCAGCAGTTTAGAGCTCTGTAAAGTAAATACATGTAGGTCTACATTAGAATATCTGTTTCCTGCCAGTTTTGAAAAATATAATTATCAGAACTTTAAACGGCTGGTTTTTCAACAATTGACTGATGAACCATGAATTGATAATTGCAAATATAATTTGAAAGAATATTCATTCTATTTCACAATTCAGCAGCAGATTTAATTTATTTACGTGTCTATAGCAAAATATACCATCAAGTAGGTTACATGGGTTGGTCACTTAAGTTACACATGTGAATTAAAAGCTTTACAAAATTTTCTAAAAATAATCAATTTGTTGATTCTCTGATATTCTTTTAGTTTGGTTATAGGAACTTCATATTATGTTCTAAAATGTCCTTCTACTATTTCTTTTACTCATTGGAGTATTTAAATAAGCTCTGCCAAAATATAATCTTAATTTTTTTCAGTTTTTCTATGCCCACTCACATTGAAACGTGTGTGCTTAAAGGGTTAAACCCCACCACTCTCTCTCTGCTTTGGATTAGGGTATATAATGTTAAAATTAAAAACTTGTGTTTTTTCAGTAAAACTACCTCAAGTTATAAAGATTATATCAGCAAAAAGTGCGGAAGGGATCAGTATGCCCGCTGTTACCCTAGAAATAGTAGCAATAACTTCAAGTCTTGCTTATGGATATGCTAATGGTTTCCCATTTAGGTGAGATAAATATCAAATAAATGTTGATCACAGTTGGAATTTGGGAGACTATAGAAGAAGAGTTTTGAGACCTATCTGAATAGGCATCTGGATTTCTATGAGTTATCCTAGAAAATGCCATATTACACAAGTCTGAAGGGAGTTGCACCGACTACCAGTCACTCACCAAAATTGTTTAAAACTCTTGTGTATTGCCCACAGGCACAAATAATTAATTGGAACATTCCCAGCAGAATGTCTTGGCTCAAAGTTTTTAGATTTATCCCCCAAAGCCTCTGATGATACTAAGTTATAGACATACATCTTTTGGATTTTAATGTTTTTTCCACATTGTGTCAACAATATGGAACCATGTTACCATGAGCATACTGTTTTGATGAAATGCCATATTAAAGTATTATCATAATAATTTATGCAACAGTCAACATATGTTATCAAAGTTTAGAAACAAACCACTAAAATAACATTAATAGTACATTTTTTGGGTAGTACATTGCTTTTTCTATTGTAGTGCATATGGTGAAGCTGTTTTTCTAGCCATACAAACTGGTTTGATAGCATTCTTTGTTCTACTGTTTGCTGGTAAGTCGATGCAAGCTGTAACTTATATAGCTGTCTATGGAGGATGTGTAGCTTATTTATTATCATCAGCAGTTCCTATGTCTTTGCTACAAACCTTACAAGCTAGTGTATCAGGCATTGTAGCTATCAGTAAGGTAATTATGCATTTAATTTTAACTTTCTATGGGTTTTGAGAACCTTACTGTTTTATGTGATTCGACAAGTATCAATCCTAAAAAAAGCTAGAAATTAATTTAAAAAAACAGACTGGGAGAATCCTTAGTCAATTAATTTGCCGTCTGGTTTTGAGAGAAATAAAGGTTTCATATATTATAGATTGATACTCAGATATTGTTTGAAAATAATGCAATTTCTCTAAACACTCATTAAAACATACCAAAGTATGTTTTCTTGTTTTTGGTATTCTATTATAATTGTTTATAAGCTTTAAAATTAAATTTTTAGATTTTTTTTACGCTTATTTCCATATACTCATCAAATGAACTGTTTTTTTGTTTTAAAATTTGCATAAGGTATATAAAAGGTATGGACACTATCCAAAAATTTTATCAGCTTTATTTTCATTTTTATTGAATCTCATTTTTACACCCTCATTAAGCCCCATATAGGAATGTCACAATGTGGTCGTATGTTGCCATTGCTCTACAGACTGCATTTTCCATCCTATCCTTTTAAAATTTATATACGTTTAGCTTTGTATCTATTCGAGATTCACAGTGTGACAACCTTTAAGGACTGCTCAGATGACTTATCTTTAAGTTAACTAATCCATGATCTAATATATAATTAATCCATGATCTGATATATAATTAATCCATGATCTGATATATAACTAATCCATAATCTGATATATAACTAATCCATGATTTGAAAAATGGAACATCTCTACATTCAATAAATGTAGTCATAACAAAACAGTGATTTGCATGAATGTAATCAAACTGACATTGCTTTTGTGTCAAAGATGACCTACTAATAGCTTGATTTGTGCTGACATTCTGATTAATTTTTCTGATCTATTATTATTGTTTGAGTAGATTACCAATACATTATCAGCATTATCTATTAAGATGACTTTTGAACAAACATGTTTATATTATCAGTGCTTACTTTTATTATATGTTATTTTATCTTTAGATGATACAGGCTTATGCCAACTATACAAATGGTGGTACAGGACAATTATCAGCTATAACCGTATTTCTCTTATTTCTTGGTTCCATAGCTAGAATATTTACATCTATACAAGAAACTGGGGATAAATTAGTTATTTTCTCATATATTATATCAACACTGTTTAATGGTCTTATTGCCGCCCAAATAGTGTATTACTGGAATACTAAACCAAAGAAAGAATAAGTAATATAATTATGGAAATATTTGCTCATACACAGGCTTATTCCTGGCTATTATTTTTGTGTCTATAACATTGACTTTTTTTCCTTTATTGATATGTCATATTCAGGTCAATGAAATAATTTGCTTTGTAAGATTTTTTGCACAGTTTAACTTTGTCTTATTTTGGCGCCATGCATAATAATATATTGTGCAGACAGTGATTTTCGCAATAAATCTGAATCTTGAAGGACGATCTCAATTCTGTTTTCAATCCAAAGCATCAACATAGACAAGTGGATGGATTCCCAATCTAGTTTTCAGAATGTAAAATTGATAGGAAGGAAACAAGACAGAATCTCAAGATGAAGATAATCTAGATTCAGATTTATTAAGTCAAACCTATTATTTGAGAAACATATTTTTATTAAATTTTAGAGCACAGTGGTTTTTATAAACAAATAATATATAGTAAATAGGAATCTATATATTTAAAGTTTTAAAAAGTTGAAATACTATTTTTATCTCATCAAAATTACTTTATAAGAGCCGGGTAAACAAGTGACTATCTACAGGGCAAAATCTTCCATAAAATAACTTAGTACGCCATCTGGGGTTTTTTTTCACTATAGTTTTATGAAATGTTTACTGAGAGGATTAATTTACGCTAGTATACCCTGTGATATTTGGCATTCCAGTGTACAAAAAGGCAATGAATACGCACTACTGATTTGACTGAGACTGCTGGCATAATGCAGTTAAAAATTGATTTTTGGCATGATGGTAGGCTGTACATTTAATGAAAATCAACAAGGCTATTAAACATAAGAACAAGGGGTAAAAATTAAATGTCCCTGACATGTATGTCCAACTCTAGCAGCCATACACTCCATGACTGCTATGGGATCCTTCTCCATTCACCATTGTAATTCTGCTTCCAGTGGCCTCTGGAATTAATGTAATGGCACATGTTCAGTGTCAAATCTAGGAGTTATATTAACACTAGCTTTTTAAGAAACACATTTTATACCTCATGTCTTCATAAAGTGATTTTCAACATTCCCATCCTGTCAAATTAAATAAATTCTTGTGTTTGAGAGGACTGATCTGTTGTGATACGATTATGCGATCATGAAAACATTTTCATATGTTACGGACCTACCATATATCACATTCAGATTTTCAACATTAAGTTGCATCTCTGAAATGAGATTTACAATTATTCATTTATAAAAGTTGTGCCTTTTCATTGCATCTGAGTATATATGATTGTCCATTGGATCATACAGCATTTGATATATACTATTCAAAAAAAGTAGGGGATATTTGATTTTTAAGTGTTATTAAAGTCACCTAATGAAACTGACGAAGAAACAAATGACAAAATGAAATGAAGTTCACATTCATCGATTTATTCCAAATGATCGTTAGACTAAGTAAGGCACAGACTGACCATTATAAGGGTAAAATGATACCCGGGGTCAAACAGCAAAGTTACCACAGCATCACAACCAAGTCAGTAACGGGTAAATCCTCCTCTGTTTGCCAAACAAGCATTGATCCGACGTGGCATACTCCTAATGAGACGTCTAAGGTCATTTTGGTCCAGATTGTCCCATTCCTGTTGCAACGCAGCAGCAAGTTCTTGGACATTGGCAGGACGTTGTTGACGTTGACGTAACCTCTGTCCAAGCATGTCCCAGACATGCTCGATGGTGGAGAGGTCGGGACTCAGTGCTGGCCAAGGTAATGTGGTGATGTTCTGTTGTTGGAGGTAACCTGTAACGATCCTGGCCCTGTGACATCTTGCGTTGTCATCCTGGAAGATGAAACGGCGGCCATGACGTCGTGCGAACGGCACAACATGGACTGCCAAGATGTTGTCCCGGTAGTACTGGCCTGTAACACGCCCTGCAACAACATGTAAAGCCGTTCTTCCAGCAACAGTGATGCCTCCCCACACCATAACAGAACCACCCCCAAATCGATCATGTCTGATGACGTTAACGTCTTGGAAGCGCTCGTTTCGACGACGCCACACCCTCCTACGTCTGTCCAAAAAATCAACAGTGAACCTTGACTCATCTAAAAACATCACATTGCTCCAGCGTCGATTATCCCAGTGTTGACGATCCCTACACCAACGACGTCTTGCCTGAATGTGATGATCTCTCAAACAAGGGATCACGCGAGGACGTCGGGCGCGAAGGTGACCCCTATGCAGTCGATTCCGAATCGTCTGGCCACTCACTCTCACACCAGTGTCTGTTTGAAGACGAGCGCTGATCTGATTTGCTGTGATGACACGATTTCTCAAGGCCAAGGAACGGATAAATCGATCCTGGGCTTGAGTTGTCGCCCTTGGTCGACCTGAGCGTGGTCTGTCCTGTACAGATTGTGTATCACGGTATCTGGACCATAGCCTGCTTATGACAGACTGAGAAACATTCATCGTCCGCGCCACAACCGCCTGTGTTGTGCCGATCTGTAGCATGCCAAGGGCACGTAACCTTTCATTTTGGGTAAGCCGATGCATATCAAAATTTGTTTTCTGGTCACTAAAACAATTAAACTGATGTTTCCACCCTGGAATTCAATGCCACAATGACTGTAACATTCAAAGTCAGAGTCGTGCAAATCTTGGGTTGGACCCCCATGATGATCCCAAGCATCACCTGCATTCCATGCGGTAGCTATTGGTGCGTTTGGGCGTCACATGTAACTGGAAATGTTTCTTCTGTTAGGTTCTATAGTGACTTTTTTCGTAGTCATTTGCATATTTTAGTATTATGCCCCCAAAATCAAATATCCCCTACTTTTTTTGAATAGTATATATGATTGCCCATTGGATCATACAGCATTTGAAAACTTGCTGGGTGAAATTCATAGCCATTCATTTTATAGGAAGGGGACAATATAATTTGTTTCACATGGAGGAATAATTAGATTTTTATCAAAGTTTTGTGTTCATGTAAACCATCAGTAATCTTATTTTTGTGTTCTGATTCAACATATTTTTAATATGTTATAAATTCATAATTTTATTTACTTGTACATACCACAAATCTGTTGAAATTCCACATGCGTTATTATTTGATTAGATAGTTATTAATCTTGAGGATATTATTTTTGAGGGGGGTTGGATGGCTGAATGGTTAGCGTGCGCGCGCTGTATCATAAAGTCTGTCATTGAGTCGACTGGCATGGTTTCGAATTCCCATTTGTACGTGACAAGGAGTAGGGTAGCCTGTCCAACCTCGTGGGTTTCCTCTCACTGCTAAAGACCCCTATGCGCAAGCGAATTATTGAAATAAAATTGAACCCTGTTAGTCCCGAAATGACCTAGTTTGTGTCTAGTGGACATTAAACCCCATTTCTCTCTCTCTCTCTCTATTATTTTTGAAATATGAGATTTGAAATTTGAAATTTAAATGAATGTGACTGCATCAGTAATTCCACAACTCTCCATCTAGCAATTCAACAAACATTTACTGTTTTGTATAATTGGATTTAGCTTTAAACTATTATGAAGGTTCAGAGAAAATTTCTGTGATAGGAGGATTGAATGACAAGTTTTCCTGAAGCTACTAGTTATTGACACTAACCATAGTCATCATAACAAATTATTTTAATCAATCTACGGCTAGTCTTGTTGTTATATTCACTAATGAAGTATTATGATTACTGTTATGATCTAAAGAAATGTTTTAGTATGTACATACTTGTGTGTATAATATATGCAACAAATTTATTTCATGATCAAAAGTCTGTTTAAAGGATTAAAGACTATTTTCAAAGTGATTTAATTTTATTACCTTAATGGTCCAGAGTAGAGATTTGTTTTTTTGGACTATATATATATTGGATTATAAACTTCAAGAAGTTATTATATCATAAAAAACATTTAAATGCTCTATTTAAAAAAAGTTAACCCTCTTTTGTTCAGTTACTGGTAACCACGGACACCCTTTGCACATTTGAAAGAAACAGCATTATTGTGTTATACTTAGAATATTTTTTAACTCCATGAAATGTATGAAAATAGATGGACTTTGTATCCCAAGGTAGATAACTATTGTTTGATCCTGGACATTTATGTGGTTCAAGAAAATGCAGACAATAATTCATTCATCTTTTCTGATTGCATTTTCTTGATTTGGGGTGTTAAAGACTATTAGGATATGTGACATCTATGACCAGTTTCTACTTGCCGTTGGCCGATTAAAATGTCTGACAATGGAGAAACCATGAGGTAATCACTCTTATACGATTGATAATTAGTCCGACAAAGGAGAAGCAAAGACTTCTTTTCGGGACTGGATTGATGAATAGTCTAACAAAGAACTATACTTTGATCACATATACTTTGATCACTTAATTACCCAATCAATCTAGTCTTTTGTTAACAATGATCGAGATGAGTAGTAGTCATACACCCATTACAGTCAATATATTTTGGAATTTTTAATATTATTCACCATATCTTCATATTCCTGGTCAGACGTTTGGAAAATCACATAGGACATGTCTGGAATATACGGGTTAAGGAGCATCCCTGGTTATAACAATAAGTTATGGCCCTAATATCTGTCTACCCATCCAGGTATCAAAAATCTAACTAAGACACAGATTTCTTTTTTGCTGGATTTATTTACAGTTTATAAATGAATAACATTCCATTTCAAACACATTCATTTGAGAAAAAAACTCAATTCATTCACACATTTATACAGAAATATACAGGTTTGTAACAAGTTACCCACTTTGGTAATTTGTTCTAATAATAGGATTATGTACCTTATCGAACATAAATTATTGTAGTATTATCTGACAAATAACAAAAGCATATCTACGAAGTACAACTTGACTTGAGCTCATTCCATAAGTCATCTAAAACAAGGTCTTATTTCATTGAAAAATTAAAGTGACAATTTGTTTTTTTACAAATTAAAGCATTTCTGTTATAAAGTCTATCATTCTAAAATAATTTTCGTCTACATTCGACCATGAATGTTTTATTAAATTTATACGAACAATCCACTCAAGTTTATTTATTAGTGCTGTTTAATCCACCTTATTTTGGTATAAAAGACGTTTCTCCACTGCACACACGGTGAATGGACAAATCTAAATCAAACTACTATTATGCTGTCACAGGCCCTTTAACATGTCTTTAGATAATAATGGACTGAACAACCAAATAAATAAAATGAAATGGGGTTTAACGTCCTACTGTTCTGCTCCTTAACTGGGCTAATGAAGACGGAAATAGAATGAAAATAGCATCTAGTTTTAATTATACTGGGTACAACATATGAATATTTTCAATGGTTGGCATAGGTTTAACCCTATAAATGCAGAATATGATTGAAGCACTTAAGTCAATGAAACCCGACAAGAAATAAACTTAATATATTAATACAAATGAAAATGATTATTGTTTGATTTGAACAACACCTTCTCTGACAAAGAGAAAGAATATTTGGATATATTCAGCAGAGTTACTCTTTTAACTGTGTATTGGGACCTCTTTACAGGTTATGGAAGGAAAATGTCTTCCTGGGCTATGATAAATTTCCAATATATCCTACAGAGAAAATTGTAATGTATCGGAACGTATAATGTTCTTTGAATTAGTGAATACTTATAAAGAAGTTGCTAATAAAGACAGGAATATTTATAAAAGTATTTTCATATTGCCAAGGTGTCACAAAGATCAATTTATTTTGATTCTTTAGATTTTTGAGTTCACTATGATGCTGTTGTTTGTGTCCACTGATATAACCTGCCCTGTAGGGAGTCCCATATATCTTAAGTCTAAACTACAACGTTGTTGCCAGCCATGTTCACCCATGCCTTCAACAGAGCACAATATTTATAAAATTTCTTGAAGTACACTCGAGCCATTAATTTTCTGTAGAGGTTCTTGTTCATTAAAATTTTCTACCGTTTCTTTGATATCAATATGGCCACACTTGATTTGAGAGGAAAGTTTTTCCATAACATTTATAGCCCGATTTGAAATCTTGGTACAAATTAGATTACCTTGAGAAACATACAAAATAGAAAACTATTTCTTAAAAGTAAAGTTTGCATATGATCTAGCCAGGGTTTTGACTTCTGTGTAGAAATAAAATAGTCTTTAAAAACATAACAAAATTTAACAACTAATTCTTGACATTCATCAATTAAAGTGAAATTTAAAACTTCCACCACTACCAAACGGATTAAATCCGTGTTGAAATGGATTACCACCACCTCTATTTTGTTCTTCAGGGTCTAGTGGATCTTCACCTTGATCAAACTGTCTTCGTTTTTCTGAAAATATGAATGAAATTAAGATCACACGTGAGGTATAACATACCAAAATGGCATTATATTCTGATAAGAGTTAAGATTAACCTTGCTGTTCAGGTGCATAAACATGCATCTAATTTGGCATAACTATGGTTTGAACCAAAGTGTGTTTCAAAAGTGAGTAAATTGATGCATTCCAAGGTAAAATATGACATGCCAAGAAATTGAGATATTTCAAATTAAATATGACTATCTAAAATGACATCTATGACAGGATATTACTTTTAGTATTACACGTAAATATACACCTACCTGGATCGGTTAAAACTTCTTTAGCTGCTGCTATATCTATAAATTTCTTCTGGGCTGCAGCTTTCTCTTCATCAGTAAACTTGTCAGGATGCCACTTAACTGCTAATTTTCTATAAGCTTTCAATATTTGTTTTTTACTAGCATTTCTTGAAAAAATTAAAAGTATATTTACATGTATGTCTACAGGCACTATTACATTTTGTATAACACAAATGACACTTACTAATAGACATCAACAAACAAAAATAAGACACAATATTATAAGAGAGAGAGATAGAGAGAGAGAGAGAATAATCTTGTTGACTTCAAATCAGTGCATGTCACACAAGTTGATAAGAAATGTAAATATGGCAAAATTATAACATAAACTGTGGGTCTGACATGTAGATACTGAATTTTTTTTTTTTTTTTTTTACTTAATTAGATGTTGAAATACTGACATACATTTCTTTTGAAATACTGACATACATTTCTTTTTAAATGAACTACAGTAACAAAAATATTTTAACAATATAAGAATTAGACCATTCAATCAAGGAACAATTTAAACATATTAATGCATTGTTGGCCTAGGATATGTTTTACACGCTTACCTTTTTACACCTAATATTTTATAATAGTCTCTCTTTTTTGACTGCTTTAATAATTTATTAGCTTTATTTAAACCTTCTTTAACTCGTCTATTTTCACCATCTATATTACTAGCTGTTTGATAATCATTTATAGCTGGAACACAAAATATATAATATTTACACAATGCTTTTCAACTATATTGTTGTTCTAATGTTTCCGAACCTAGCTGATAATAAAAAAGAAAAATCTATGTATACAGTAGGCCTTACTCTCACAAAACGTCCAAATAAAGGTGTTTCAAAATGTTTTATTGCTATTTTGATCTTTTAATTTGATAGTATATTTATAGACGCATTTTTGTGAAAATCTCAATTTCGACCAAAATCAATATTTTCACTTGTTTTGTTTGTAGCTCAATATTAGAATTTGCTCATTCTGACTCATTTAGCCTCACAGGTCACATAAATATGGGAAATTTTGTGTGTGAAATAGCTTTATGTAATGTCTGCTTCCACCGAAGGGATATCGCAGACAATGGGAAATTTTGTCTGTCATGGGGTCTTATACAGTCCTGCATCACTAACAAGTGGAGAACAAGCTGGGATTTTCTGATTGGTTAATGAGTCAGGTATTAAATTAGACTCTTTTTTTTTTCAACAAAAAAAATGCCATACCTTCTTCATAGTTTTCATTAATAATATGCGCTTCAGCTCGATCTACAAGCGCTTCTAAATTATCTGGATCCATTTCTAAAATTTTAGTGCATTGTTTTATAGCTTGTACAAAATGACCACCCTGTAATAATAAATATAGATTGTTGTATGATAAAAACTAAAAGTGAAAGATATGAAACAGTACTAAAATGTATAAAATAATGTGACATATTATTCAAATTTAAATGTTCTTATATCTTTTACTCTTTTAAATTATTTCCTTTACACAATGTTTTAAAGCATTTCACTAGTTTTCATGTTCATGATCAGTTCAAAACAAGTAATAATTATTCATTTTTATAATCAGTTCAAACCAATTTATAATTATTCATGTTTAAGATCAATTCAAAACAAGTAATAATTATTCATGTAATTATACATACCCTTGAATAACATTTACACCTATGTGAAGCTGCTTTTAAAACATAATGAAACACTTCTGATTCTATTTTTTCCATCTGTTCAGCTTTTTTTACACATTCATCATATTGTTCCTCATTAGTTAATTCTTGAGCTGATGTCATTAATTTCACAAGTTTTTTCACTTTTTTATAATGAGGGAAACATTGTTTATGATCGGGATCTAGTTTAAGGCACTCTCTGATCTGGCTGTGAATGAAAATATAGAAGATTCTAAATAATGTATTATTTGAAGAGAAAAAAACAAGACGAACAACATTTTTTTTTATCATGTCCACTAAAATTATTCCGAGCCATGTATTTATTACCTTGACTAAACAGTGTATGGCAGATGTTTATTTGAGACTTACAATTTTGACACTTCGTATTTAATAGTAAGTGCAGGAGGGGCCATGACACAAGAAAAGCCCATGAACAGGACAGCATATGCTATACAGACATCTCAAACAATAAATGTATTTATCAGATCAAGAGAATAATGATGTCATCTGCATGTATGTGCCTCCGTCTATTTAAAAGAGCTAAATTGCTAATATTTGGGAACTAGATATTGACACAAAGGGTTGCAGTGCATATAATAATGTAATATGAATGTATAGAAACTGATTTACATTCAGTTGTTTCTGTTTTAACTGTAATTTCTAATCAATTATGTTCCGCGAAATATGCCAGAAGTCTCAATCGAATGACAATCTCTAGTATCTGGTTATTCCAGTCTACACCGATAGTATTTATTGTGCATGCTCTCCAGATATGGCATCACTGTTTGACATGACTTGTGGAATATGCCTGGCCTCTTCTTCGAGTCCCTTGTTACAAGTGGCACTGAATACCAATGATAAAATGTTTATTTTGTCTTAAATATTGGATATCAGAAGCTCACCTTTTCCCGGTAAGTTCACAACATCAATGTTGTTTTAAATTGACAAATAATTTGTGTTTTCAATGTCGAAAACTTTGGATAATATTGAGTTAAGAGACTCAGCTACTTTATATTATCCACCGAAACTATCATACTTTTGACTTTTTAAAGTTTGAATTCTGAAACCATTGATATATAATGAGACCATTGTTGAATCCTATGTAGTGGTAGGTCAACAAAATCACATCATCTCCAATCAGAGTAACAAATTGATAGTAATTTTGCTGGACAGTATTTTATGCCGTAGCATGGCAATGTATTAATAGTACCGTCACTGGCCCATTCAAAAGACATCACGGTCAAATATCAGTCTCTCATTTCAAAATTTGGAAAATCTTTACTCAATCTATTATCAAATTCAAATTTGAAATCTATTTGAGAATTATGTCCAAGGGCTTATTTCTTTTATTTATTTCTTGCTTTTAAGATTTAAAACCTGTATAAAATTTTATAACAAGTACATGGCTAAGCTATCTTCTTGAAAAGCTCCCTGTGATTTCACTTAAATCTGACATCCACACAAATGTCGCTTTGGGATAAAGACTCAAATACAAAATAAATAAATAAAACACCTACTTAAGAGATTCATCTGCTTCGCCCATTTCATAATGTAATTTACTGAGTTTATAATAGCCTTTAGTATTATCAGCTCGTAGTTTAGTCGACTGACGTAAATCACTGGCTGCTTTAAATAAATCTCCCTGGGCTTCGTAACATTCTGATCTTATTTCATGAAACGTTGGATCCCATGGACACACCTAAAAAAAAAAAAAAAAAAAAAAAAAAGATATATATGTGTCAAATCTCTGTCTTGCCATGTAGATGCAGAATCTTATTTAAATGGTCTAAACAAAAAAATCATATGAAACTTCAGTTTACAAGAAAGTAATAGTTTCCTTTGTAAACTGGGTGTTTTAGATCATTTAGTATTTGTTTTATAGACACTATACATGTATATAAGCCAGTAGGGCTCTATTGTCCAATCATAATTTATTTAGATATATAATACTGTATTAAAACATTGTTTTTAAAAGTAACAGATATACAAAAATGCAGATGCAGGACCAGGCAGCATTAAATTATTGTTGTCGCAATAAAAATGAAATAGAATGAAATGTGGGTTTAACGTCCTACTGTTCTGCTCCAAAGCCCCAATAAAAACTCAGTCTTGGCCTTACAGATACCAAGTTGCAGTGGGAATCATACACTAGGTAGGATATGCTTACACTTTCTCAAATATGTGATACCCATTTCACTTAATTATTTAACAATTTTTATTATGGTGCATTTTTTGTTTATATATGCATCGTCAGTTCTTGTGTTGTCTGTTTGATGTTCTGTTGAATTGACCATGTATATCGTGTGATATTAAAAACAATTGATCTTACCTCAACAATTTGACCTAAAACTTCTATAGCATCTTGATAGTTGTTCTCTTCATATAATCTATAGGCTAAACTTATTGAATCTGGTAGTTCATCTATTTTGTGTATATACATGGCCGCCTCTTCACTATTAGGATTTTTTCTCAGCTGTGAAAAATAAACAGTAACTTTAGTGTAATGTAATCAATATAGTTTACATAATGTAAGCAGGTGCTTTAGTAAAATATATACACAACTGGTTGACCAAGGTAATGTATATGTAGGTTACCAAGACATTTGACAGCAACATTTCAAAGAGACAGACAACAATACAAAGGGGTAAATAAAGGAGTTTCATGTCTCATCAATGCAATCCTTCAGTCATATGTGTATCTTTTTCTATAGTCACATGTGTATGATGTTAGGAAGGAGATAGCAGCATTTTCAACAACTCTTCATCAAATATCAAGTGTTCTTTTACATACACTTCACTATGTACATAGGTGAACCTCAGATTTCCATCCCATTTGAACAACATAGTTACACTTTCTTTGCCAGTCCCACAAGTGGGATCAGACTTGGCATATCCCGCAGCTCTTTTCAGCAAACACCTCAATTCGAAACGGACATCATAATATAGAATCCAATAATATAGACTCTAATAACAATCGAGATCTGTAAATTCAGTGACATGAGAAATCCTTTAGAATATAAATAAAAACTGCAGTTGGTTCCAACAATTTTATACATGTACTCCATTTTTATTTGTAGAAAATGATAATTACACATCAACTTACCACTGTTGCAAAATCATCTCTGGCATCCTGATATTTTCCTTGTTTTAAAAGAACGCTTCCTCTTTGTATTCTGGCCTGGAAAAGAAATACCACAGACATCCATAACAAATATATAGAAAAGAATGAGAATTCATAAGCTTTCTTACACTTACAGTACAACCACATTCCAATGCCCTGTTTGATTTCATATAATGTATTTATTTATTACTAGTATCAGTCAAATTTGCCCCTGTTTAAAGTCAATCACTCTCTTACTGTTCAACAAAATGATACTCATAGACTTCAATGGACATTATCAGATGCACCAAATATAGAAAGAATTTAGATTTTCCTCATTTGAATTCCTTTGAAATTTCTGGTAGATCAACTTGCGGTGTTCAGTACTGAAGTTTTAGAAAGTACATGTAACTGACAGTGGTGTCAAGTCAACTACAATATATACTAAAAACTTTCAACCCTAAATATAATGTCAAAATAATTTTAAAAACACTGGAACTTACAGCAGTAAAATCTGGACGAAGTTTGACCACTTTTTCTAAATCGGGTAAAGCCGACCGAGATTTCCCTAAAGCCAGATAAACTGTTGCTCTTTTAAAATAGGTCATATAGTTATCGGGATCACCCTCTGCAAAAGAAAATAAATTTGTCAAATATAAAATACATGTCAGAGGAATGATTATTTAAAATCAATGTCCCAGTATAGTAGGCCTACCACTGTGAAGAAATCCATACTTTATGAAAAAATGTAAGCCTATATTATTTGTAAAAACAGAAATAAATAGTAATCAGTTTAGAAATATAGACCTACAATACAGTATTTAATTTTTCTAAGGCATGTCCACAGGCCTAATTAAATCAAATTTTACAGATCAAAAGAAATCTCCCAGTAGGATTAAATTATCTAGCAGAATATTAAGTACCGGGTAATAATTTGAATTATTGGCTTTAGCCACATGTGCAGCTGTCCTGCCATAAATTTAATATAGAGTTATTTCAATAACAAAAACTGTAATGATATCCACAATCTAAAGCTTTCGTCTGACAAATGAAAAGAAGTCATTGATATTTGTCATATTATAGAAAGTCATTTGTAGGTATGGTACATGTATGTATGTTTGTGGCACATACATGTAGATTCTTGTATCTGGGCCACAATTTTGTAATTTGATTTATAACAATGTATAAAAAATAATTTAAAAATTATTTTTTATACATTGTTATAAATCATTATAAATTAACTTCACAAGAGGGTATTTGATTTCTTTTCTGACTCTTGTCTTACCTACGGCCGCATGATAATGTGACAATGCATCAGCTAACTGTCCAGCTGCTAATAGCTTTTTTCCCATTTCTAAATGCTGTTCTACTTCTGGATTGGCACCAGCTGACAGTCCTGAAATTTAAACAAAATTGTATAATGAATAGGCTTTGAAGGTAAGGACTATCTTTTGGTGGGTTTTTTTTTATCATTACCTAATATCAAGAATGACAGTGTTAGTTTCATCAAGGTATATTTCTTGTAAACCGCCTTGATTAGTGTTTTTATTTATGTATAATATCACCCACCAATGTTTTAAACAGAAGTCATATTACATCATCATTCAAAGTCAGACACAATATGTATTGCGATTCATAACCAGGTCATTATTTACCAAGAAATCAACGTTACAGGAGAAATGAATAATTCATATTTTTAGTCCTGTCGATGTTGTAGATATAAAACTGTTTTATATCAGGATATTGATGTGGATCAAAATAAGGACCAAAGTGTTTGTGTATCCTACATGCACATGTGACCTGGATAATTAAGTGTGATACATGATACATCATGTCAGCGCACTAGAAGAATGATTTTATTTCTACAACAGGTTTAGAATTAGCTACGAGAACGTAGCTAAAAACGTTGAGATATACTGATGTGTTTGTTTTTAGCTACGATTGGATGCCTTTAGTTCCAAGTGGCAAACTCAATTTCTTTATTAATGCATGTAACATCTTTAAAATAGATAAGTTTATGATATTATGATTAATTAAACTTACAGAGGCCAATGTAGTGGCACAACTGTCGCCTAACTCCAAATATTCGCGTTTAAATTAATGAAGCGTTGTTTTTGTCTGACATTTCACCGCCATCGAAATCCATTCATAGTTACTGTGCTTTCGATTGTCCTTTTGATTGGCTGTTATAAAAGCCTTATATTTAGCCCCGCCTTCATGATGACAGCGTATCATTTAAAAAGATGGCGGTCTTAGTAACGGCTTAACGCCTCGATTTTAAAAACGACGATTTGTACCCGTTTCAGGTAGGATTATATGCTTAATTGTAGTTGGGTGTTGTAGAAATATTATAAATAACAATAATCAATCCTTGTTTTGATTAAAACTATTGTCAATTTTGTTTAAAAATGCAGGGTGTGAATCGCTCCGGCAGCTGCAACGTTATAGGTCATGGCCTCAGTTCTTAACTCGAAACACGGGGGGTTGAGAGATTAAGGTTTGTTATCTAGTTTAGAATAACAAGCAAACAGTGAGACTGATGTTCCCCACTGTGGGGATGCCATATTCTTATCTGGAGAGCATATACGCAATAAATACTATCGGTGTAGACTGGAGTAACCAGGCGCTAGAGATTGCTATTCGATTGAGACTTGAGACATTCATATTATATTAGCCTATCATATGCCTTGCGATACATATTTGTTTTCACTTTCTATGTCCCAAATATTTAATAGCCAACCAACACCAGAATCTTTCCACTTCACTCACAGGCAGAAACTAAAATGACTATTTAACACTTGACCAGTATACAAATTGCTGTTACTTACGATTAAAAAATAGATATGTAATATGAAAGCAAAAAAAGGTTACACCAGATTCGTTTCTCACTCAAGTTTTAATGTCAAAATCCAACTTTCAGTTTAGAATCTGTTGAGATCTCGATACCCATTTCGGCATTTGCGAATAATGCCAATGGATGGTCTACTCCCCACTAAATTGGTGAATAATTTATTACTTACCAAACAACTGTATATCAAATGTTAGAAGACAAACACATAGTGATTGTATAAAACGGCCGAAACCGATCATATTCGAAAACATTTTCTTCTGATTACAAGAACATCACTTACACACTAAACTCATTCACGATTGTACACATCGCCTTACTCGTGGTCTCTTTCGATTGGACAAATGATATTATTTCCGGTTCATGTGTCAATGGGGTCAAGAACTGACCCCATTTTACTTCGGAAACGTTGAACGTTCATTGGTTTGTAAACACGTGTGGCAAAATATATATTTTTGGGGACAGTTTATTGCTATTTTTTGTAAATAAACCTGAAGTTAAACATTGTTTTATTTAATAATCTACACTAAAAAAATTTCAAAAGTAGTCTTCGAGATTTTAGTTCATATAAATTTCCCATGAGCCTCGCGTAGCATTCCAAAATGGTGGCAATTTGAGTTGACAACGAAAAATATTCATTTACAAAATGAATTTACCTTGAGAATAAATATTATTTGCGCCTTCTTTGTCATCGAAGCGTGTAAGTACAACGTGTAGGTTACAATCATCAGATTTAACGTATTTGTACATGTTTTAACAAAGGGCAAAATCTTACTTTAATCTTGAAAATCAAATCAAAACTTGATCTGACCTGTCACTTTCAGTGTCGTACTATCTATCAAGATGCAAGTCAGTCACTGAATCACCCAGAGAGTGTATGACTGTATACTTTGGTGACACCCATTGAATGAACTTCATTATGTTATTGTTGTATAGTTGAAATAAATATATGTATAAGTATAACAAGCAGTCAACATTCTGGTTAAGTCTGGACAAAAGAAAAGTCCTCAGAGTGTCAGACAGTCATACTCCTAGTCCTATGTAATTATGTATGCTCATATATATATGCATGTCAAGTATGTGTGAGCCTAATTTTTTCAAAGGGCTGGTTGAGACGCAGCAAAAATTTGTTCAGTTCCCACTAAAATATATAATCAACTGTGCGATCATACTTCTCTTTCCGTATCACCATACGTACTCCTATTTGTACCACTAAACTGACTGTCAAAAAATTCATTAAAGCAGATAAAACTAACAAAGTGATCTATGGACATTGTGAATTTCGAGTAGGCACATTATCAGTATGTGTGAAATTGCTTTGTTTATCGTCAGCTTCCACCAAGGTGATACCAATATCGTCGACAATTGCATTATTATGTGATGAAGGGATATTTAAAAGATTAGTGAAAATTATGAATATTATTATGTTAATGTACAAAACAAGAAATGACAGAAAGGTAATCCATTAGATATCCAGGAGAGACTTCAATACGAGCGTGCAGATTAGTAAACGGAAATTAAACAAGGAAAAGTGTCTTGCTGTTCGGGTTTTGACAAACCAAGGTTCTTTTGTACATGTAAAAAAAACCAGACTGACAGTTGGAATTCGAAATAAGAGCAGGTTGTAGCACTGCTGTCCAGGCAAAATTTTCCTCAACTAATTGTTTTTCTTTGATGGACATATAATCTAATCACTTTGATGAGCTCACAATACACTACATGTGAGTAGGCCTACTTAACACCAATAATACCAGCTCAGTCAATTGATTAAATCAATTAGGTTATTATAATTGATAAACACTTTGTTTAGACAGAAAAGAGTCCAATTTGCCTATGGAAGAGATCCTGCTTGTTTTTTGGTTGTCCTGATTGATCTTGGTATCGGTCTGACTTTATATTAGTCCAACTGGTCTTTTTCTGTGTAGTCTTTTGTCCAACATGTAATGGATTCATAATTTACCAATTGAAAAAATGGTAAAATGAGTGGTTCTGTAAAATTCTGTTTCAAATTCTGAATTCTGTTTCTGTGGGTCAATTCTGTGATTTCCTCGAAACACACCCGCCTCAAGTGTACAACTTTGAACTTTCTAAACACTAGTAGTAGTATCTAGAAATATATTATCTAGATTAATTCAGTAAAATTCAAATTAGTGTCAGTCTACCTCAATTGGCCAAGAAAGGGAAAGCAGGCATTTGGTATTATTTCTGGAGTATAATTAGTTACTTAAAATTATTAGCCTTGGTGAACTGCTTATTTACACTTCTTGATAAAAAGTGCATCTTTGTTTGAAAGTTTTGTTTTCACAGTTAGTGAGAAATATTATGCTACTAACACCAGTTATAATATAAGTAGCATATAGCACACACAGTGATCTTTTATAAGACAGAAATAAGAACGTTGGGAAGAAAAATGTTGGCCTTCCTATGCTTGATTTCAATTTGCAACACACATCTACCGTCCATTTCAAGAATCCAGTGTTTGTCCTAGGGAAGTAAAGTTATTACAGACCTAAAACCATCTGATTCTTTTGAAAGTTTTCTGTTACATTTTAACAGGATCCAAAATTGAAGAAAACTGAAAAGAAAACAAAATGGCTACACAGTACATGTATGCACCATCCCACAGTTATGGCCATCAAGGCGTACAGGCTCATGATAGCTCTGGACAAAATGGAAGTTTTTCGTTCAAGAAGAGATTTGAGCATATTGATTGGAGAAAGATAGCATCAATTGACATTGATCAGATATCAAGAACTCTTGACTTTAATGCCTTACAAGAAAACATTATGAACCTTACGTTCTGTAATATTGAGAGTGAATTGGTAAGTATTGTGTATTTTATCTTCAAAGGAAAACATACAGGGTAACCTTATTAGTTCCTAATTATTGAAATCTGTAAAAGTAACAAATTCAGTGGTAGGTAATCTAGTCTGTCATTATATTTTTAATAAAAAAAAAAAACAAGATTGATAATAACAAGACCCTTTAACTTTAAAGATTCTCCATTTCAACTTTAGATCTTGAGAATACACGTATGTATGTATTTAATTCTTTATTAGGACATGAGAATGGTGGACCCTAATTTCGTGAAATTATTTAAACTGGCACAGTTCACTATTGAATATCTATTGGTAAGTTTGTTTCTTTAAACCTCACAATTATTATGTTTCAAAAAAATGTTTGTACTGAAAGAGAAACTGCATAATTTCCAACTCAACACTACTTTACATTACATGGAAATGTAATTTATATTATCTCATCTCTCCTGTAGCTTCTATGTATGCCATGTGTATTTTGACAACCCTGCTCTGATTCCTTTTTTATTGTTCTATCAATGCCAGGGCACCAGCACTTCAATTTTCTTTATTGAAAACTTGATTGTTTTCATTGGTTACTTTGAATGCAACCTATATTGCCCACCATTACTATTCACTATTTGAATGCAAATTGAAATAATAATTCAGTGTGGCCATGGGTTTAGAACATTAGTAATACTAATAATACCGGGTGACACAAAAAAAGCGTTCATCACCTAAACTTGAATAACGAAGAGGGGTCGTCAGGGACCTCTAGTGGTTCCAGCAGGATGGTGCCACCCCCACACCTCAAACGAATCATTGGCATGGCTACAGCAGCGTTTCCCTGACCGACTGATCAGCCGCAGGTGTGACCCGGAGTGGTCACCGCATTCACCGGACTTGAACGCCCCAGATTTTTATCTGTGGGGATACCTTAAGGACAGGGTGTATGGCAACAACTCCCAGACTATCCCTGATTTGAAGGCAGCAATCACAGCAGCAATAAAAGCGATCCCAATGGAAGAATGTGGGAGGGTCATCGAGAACTTTGCCCGCCGGATCCAAATGTGCTTGCAGCACCGGGGAGCTCATTTAGAGCACATTTTTTGAGCACCGGTTAAACAAAGAGTTTTTGTGGTACAGACTTGAAACTTCGGAGATGTCTGCTACATAGACTTAACCTAATGTAGCTGAATTTTTGTGTTAATCTAAATAAAATTTTGGAAGTTATTTGATTTTTATTGATGAACTTTTTTTTTGTGTCACCCAGTACTTAAACATATGTAAAATGAAATATATATAATAATTTCAGCATTCACAGGATTATTTAGCTGGAGTTGTAGCAGCATCAGAAGAAAAGGTCAAAGCTACAGAACAGGTAAAATTTTCTAATTTGTTTTGTGCAATAACTTAACCTAAAAAAAAAGATTTAAAAAAAATTAGAAACAGTTTTCTGAATTCGATATTTTATGCAATTTTAACTAAAGTTTGGGGTCAGTGAAAGTAGTATACGCTTTAGATAAAAAGCTATCTGTTCTTCATATAATAGTTCAATTGTTAACGGTATACTTGTTATTTCGCCATTTTTAGATTAAATCATTAAATGGCGGCTGTGTTTTAATCCATTTAAATCTCTGCCATGGTCTAGAGAGGTGCTTATAGTCTTTTCATGTGAATAAATGTCTAAATAATAGTTTATATAACATTTGAAGCCAAAAAAAAACATCTGATTTAAACACAGATCATATTTCGTTTTGTTTTTTATTGTTCTAAATTTTGTTTTACTTGTCTTCACAATACTAGGATCTAGAAGAGTTGTTATATAACACACGTTCTGGTTGAAGTGAGGGATTAGCCAATGAAATGGTCTGTTGTAGCGAATTCTTGGCGGGCAATGCACGGAACTGTGGGTAAACCACTAGAAACGTTGACACTGATTGGTGAATCAATGTTTTTGCATCATAGGGTCAAAAGCCTTTGGTACAACCTCTGACACGACCTTCCACTAGAACTAGAACCGTTCAGATCTTCATGCAGTGTAGGCCATCGAACGTAAATGGCCGAATGATAGCACAAGGGTGCTGTATCATAAGGTTTATTATTGAGTCAACTGGTGTGATTTCAATTCCCCCGTTGTATCTGACAAGGAGTAGTGTCGCTTGTCCAACCTGGTGGGTTCTCTCTCTCTCTCCCTCTCTCCCTCTCTCTCTCTCCCTCAAGGATAAAAAAAAATGAAAGGAAATGTAAATCTCTATTTTAATCGGATTGCCAAAAAAATGACCTTCAATGGGTTGATTTAGCTCTTACATTGTACGTAATGTTTCTTTAATCTTCTTTTTAGGAAATGTTGAAATTAAAGAATGAAATGGAAAAACAGAAAGAAGAATTGATAGAAATAAAGAAAGAATCTCATAAAAGAAAGAAATTATTAATAGCCCAACAACAGATGATACATGCAGGATCTGATAGTTATAATAAAGTAAGATGATACTTTTAAATCAGTTAACACAAGGTGATAGGTGAAACTCAAAACATTCCATTCCATAAGATTTTGTTAAAAATAGCTAAAGTAATCTGAAGACACTAGATAAATCTATTCTTACTATATAACAATTGGGAACAAGCAGTTTTATAATCATATTAACCTTTTAGAGAGTAATTGTTTCATTATATAATTTGGCTCATTTTGTAATCATTGTTATATTTTTTTTTTTACAGTGTCCTTTTTGTGCAAAAGCCTTTTTAAATAGTTCTTTCCTTCAAGCTCACATATTTCGGCGTCATCATGAATATTCCTCAAAGGGATCTAGTACTGAGGCTCATGGCTCATCAGGAGGAACCATCAGCAAAACTTTAGAAATAGAACTCCATGAAATAAAGGAAAGACTACAGATGACAGAGGCAGCCCTGAAAGAAGAAAAGCGTGCAAATAGATCTCTTAGAAACAGTCTGAAGGTATGAAACATTTAATTAACGCAAAGCTCATTTAATCCTGTATGTTACAAGTTACATAATATATAATACATACATGCCAACTATTCCGAATTTGTCGGAATCATTCCGATTTTCTGAGTTTAATTCTGAATTCCGATTTTACTCTTTATAATTCCGTTTTTTAAAATTTATTGGAAGAAATTTATTATATTTCATGCCTGACCTTTTTGATTGATAAAATCCCTCTCGTTTTATTTTTACATTGCCGATGGTCTCGGCATTCTCGCTGTTTGTTGTGAATCTGATGGCGATACTGTTTGTCGTAGTATGAGTCGGTAAAACAACGAAAATAGTCGAGAACATGTGTCATGTCTTCCTTATTATTATTAATTTAAAATGGAATGAGCTATTATGTCTGGACTAATCAAGATCAAAATGTCATGTGGTTATTTCCGTCATTTGCCGTGTCTAATTTGCATAATTCGCGGTAAAACGACGGAAATAGCCGAAAACATGTCTCCAGTTTTCTCGATTATTATTAATATAAAATGGAATAAGCTAATATGTCTCGACTAATCGAGATTAAAATGTCATGTGGTTATTTCGTCATAGGCCGTGCCTAATTTGCATACTTCGCGGATATTATTTGCTTCGCGGATATTATTTGCTACGCGGAGCCATTCTCGCATACACACACTCGGACAGTACACGTCGGGTTTACCGTTAGTTGTCAGTTACGTTGTTGCTTCTTCCTTAGCCATATTTTCCTTCTGACTTGATAAAAAATGTTTTCAAGCTGTTTTCTATGTGTGAAAAAAAAACAAATTACAATTATAAATAAAACCCAGTATAAATAATTTACGACTTCTACTTCCGCGTCGGTCGTCAAGACAAACAAAATGGCTTCCAAAACAAATGTCAGACAAAAATACCGGGAAACTTACGGCAAAGAATTTCCAGGAACCATTACGTCCTCGCGTAGAGGCGACAAATTCGCATTTTGTTTAGTCTTTCGTATATAAATAGGTAAAAAAACCTCAGATGCATGGACCTAAATCACCAGCTGTTTTTATCTAATAATACTTGGCATGTATGATAAAAGATAAAATGTTTCACTATAGAGCTGGCTGTACTAAAGTCTATGGCAGTCTATGAAATAATTTGAATATTGAATTGAGGGTATTGAGTCTACAATAGACTGCTTTTTAAACATACTTCTATTCAATCATAATTGATTATAATATTATGTTCATAAATTTTTTTATATCAGGATGGAGATCATAACATTAGTAGTGAAGTTTATCAAGAACGATTACAGTACGAAGAACAGGTAGGTAGAATTATTGATAATTAATAAGTTAGTTAAATGCATTTGACACAATCTTCTGTTGTTTTCGGTTACTGGCTTAAAATAATCGGCCATATTGCCCAGTAAAATGATTAATTAATTATTTAATAAGGTTTTTGCAGGATAACAATTGCAACCTATCTAGTTTAATTTAACAATGCTTATAAAACATTTCTTTATTTACAGCAAAGAGAAATGGAAGAAATGAGACATAAATATGAAAAAGAAATACAAGATTTAAATTTAAAACAACAGGCAACAGAAAGAGCTCTAATAGATATGAGACAAGGTAGGTCATGCGTATATATATGTATATATGTAGGATACATTCTGTACTTCATAAAGATCTATCAAGTTCTCATGTAATCGTCCATGTTAGACATTTCTATAAATTATAGCAGTGTTTGTGTTGAACAATGCATAAGGTACACAATTACCAATTGGTGTACTGGAAATGGCGAGATTGATTTTCTGCTTTAAAGACGCATGATTTTATAAGCTGTTAATTGATAAGCTATATACCAAATCAGAATATGAAATTGAACATTTGATTGTTTATTTCATGTCTATCTATTTGTTAATTGATATATTTGTATTTATTAGGACGCAGATCTAATATAGGTAATTTAGAGGATGATGATGATGACATGGATCCTAGACTCGTCAATAAACAGTCAAAAGAAGTTTTAGAATTACAGGAACAATTACATGTCATGGTAAGAAAACATAAAAACAGTTATTCTGAATTGTCTATTAATCTTTTCGTACCTGGACTGCCCAAAACAATTGCCTCCTCTAGGCCCCCAAACTGCCAGAGTCACATGAATAGCTGTGAACTATCTTAAGGACTCTATACTAGTTTTGTGCACTGGAGGAAACAGCATTTTTGAAAAAATGAGCTTTGAAATTCTATATGAAAAAAGACTCTTTTTTTATTCAATAATTACATGAATCAAGTAATAGGTGATTAACATAACTGCATTTCAGAATTTGATGGTCCTGGAAATCAATGTTGGTATTATTTAAAAGTTCAAATTTACTTACATCAGGTTATTGCATTATTTTCAAACTTATTTTGGCCCCTGATGTGTGCAGTTTTGAAATTTTGAGTTTAATCATTTAGTTTCATGTACACTGTCCAACGTTTAGGGTTATTATAAATGTAATCAGAACTTGATTTTATTATTTTTGCAGAGAAATCAAATGGATAAACAAAATAAAAAATGGTCTAAGAAGATTAATGAAATGTCCGACACTCGAAATCAGGTAATGAAAGTATTATTTAAATGAAAATAAAATCTTTCAAATATAATCAAGAGTCATATATGAGTAGCAGAATGGATAGTTTATCGCTTTAACTTCAGCTAATCTTTAGCAATATTTCCTATACTTTGAGAAGAGCAGTAATGAAATTATTCAATAATGAAAAGTAATTCAACTCAGGCTTACGTCCATAATAAAACTAGTACTTTAATGGACAAAGGATCATTGGTGATGACTTTGTTGCAGATATTTCCACTTTGATAGTGGAGAATGTATATAAATGACTACACAATGTCATTTAGAATGTATGAAAACAATTACATCATCTAAATCAAAAGAAAGTTGGGTTTTTTTAAAAAAATAAAAACAATTCCAACATCTAGTTTTAGAATTAAACATTCTTTTTATAATAACAGTTGATGAATGCCCTAGAGAAGACAGATAAAGAATTATTAGCTAGTAAGAAAATACAGTCACCAGAAAAAGATCAACAACATACACAAAATGAAGATATTCTTAGAGTAAGTTACATTTAATATTTTTGTCTTTTTCTCTTTGGTTTGTAATTTTTGATAGCATAGTGTACATGTAATTGTTTTTCTTTAACAAAACGCTCAATGTCAAACTTTGTAGACTACAGACTAGCTCAATTTATATTGTTCATTTTTCGCTCCATTTCTGAATCACTATACTTTCTATTCTCCTCTCCTTGTGTACAATTAAAAAATATCTAGAAGCTCCCAAACTAAGTCTTGTTGTTTCTGTCAATTCTCTACTTTAAATTTCTTTTATTAGAAAAGACAACCAAAGGTAAGCTATTCATTAGTCTAATTAAAATTTGACCTTTTTTCACTTCTGTTTTAATTTTGGTTGACCCCACATGAAGATCTAACTACATCAATTCACTTTTTTTGAAGTATAATTTTAGCAAATGTGATTGTTTAAGATCATATTTTAGGTAAACCAAAGCATCTGTTCATAGATTAGATGAACAGGTGGGTCAGGTAATTTGAGCACAAGTTTCTTAAATGGTACGTGTATATAACTCAGACTTTACTTAGAGATGCTGTTAGATCTTATATTGTAAAGTGTAAATATAAACAACATAAAAATTAAAAAGAAAGTGAAAGTAAGATCTAATTCAAATTAGCGTGGCTGTTAGTTTGTTTACTTTTATGACCTCATCCGTTTGTTACCCCTTTGTAATCCTAAATACAGTCTGAAACAACTTGAATTCAATTTCTTTTCAGCAGTTTAAAATTGTGTATATTATATGCATGATTCACAGTAAACAGCATTAACACTGTCACTGATGATACCTAAACAATAACAAATCAATCCACAATCAGTGATGTGGTCATGTCAACAATTTGAAATGCAGCCAAAATATTTTAAAGCACTTGTGTAAATTGCATGTAAATGGGGTTTACGCCCTACTTTTCCGCATAAAGCAGGATAATAATGTGCATGGACTGTTGAACTTTTTATACATTCACGTTAGGTTGGCATTTTATGGGGACTATATTTTTGTTGTCCCCTTGCCTCCCTCCCTTCACTGTTGGTTTGTTCCTGTCAAATTTTACCCTGAATTACATATGTTTATTATTAATATTAATCATCTAATATTTAGTTAAACCTCTACCCTCATGATTGACATTAATAATATAATGATAAAGTTTATGATCAGCTTTTAACATGAATATGTGTTAAATCTCTATGAAATGTACATGTACATTTTCCAAATATTCTTTAGCGTGTCCTGTTCAGAATAAGCATACAACAGTCATTGAATGCATTTAATACAAAAACTCAAGAAACTGACTTAAAACTGTACCATGTACAGATTATAAAGATTTGAATCTCCAGTGTAGGTTCAGATAGTTGCTTGGGACTAGATCCGAATATGGGTTCTAAGAGTCTTCGAAACATAATTAACCAATTTTACACACTGAATTATATCTGGGATATATGTTCACTTAACACTAGATGACGTGCTACATATATATTTTATTCATTATTATCCATAAACCATAAAATTTATGCCATTGACATTGGTTTTCTTCTAAATAAGGGTATATCTTTGAGCAATCGAAATATTCTTACTATACCGGTTGTGAAATAACAATATATATTTGGTATTCAAAGCTTATTTTATATTTTATCAGAAATCAAGAGAACAAGAACAGTTATTATCAATGTTAGAAGAAGAGATGGAAAGAGATGCAGAAAAAAACAGATTAATAGAAGCAAAGAAACGAGAAGAAAGACAAAAGAAAGAAGAAAGAGAAAGAGAGGAAGAAAGACACAGAACTGTTAAAACTGTAAGTCATTAAAGCTACATTCCCATGAAAGTATTCCAATAAAAGTATTGCATATTTGGTATTTATGGAAAGTATAGAGACACTCAGTTTTACTAGAAAAATACTGAACTCCCTGACAAAGGACAAAAATGGAAGGGTATCACAAACTGGCAGTCTGTCTGCTGGAATCCTTATACAGAATTTATATCATATGTCTGTTGGAGTGATGTAAGGAATACGGCTTATCAGCTGATCTGAGAACATTGATAGACTTACATGTCGGAAAAAGAAGTTGGCATTGGATAATCCAAGAATTTACTTTGGCTTTGATATTAAATGGACAGGGACTAACGACAAATACAAGCTGAATGGTTTCTTCCTTAATCAAGTCATTTGGCAGATAAAGCTTCTTAAAATAGATTCTTGGAGCATGGGGTTGTTTTTATGCAGTTTAAATGTTTTCATAGGGATTTGAAGTTAACTTTTGATAGATAAATTAATTTGAATATGTTTTTTAGTCCAACTATCGTAAAAACACAGAAATTGTATGCGGGAAGGTATCTTAAGTACTTAATAACAAAACGTGCACCTGTACGCTGTAATCTACAGACTTCAGTGGCTATATGATGTGATGTAAAATATATATATTTCTCAGTGACTACTGAACCCATTTCTATTCCATTTAAATTTGAAATTAAGTGTCATATGTTTAAAGTAAACAGAAATGGACGTTATTGCATCATTACTCTAAACAATATAGATAAAACGAGAGCCATTTTGATCATCTGTCAGCCATTAGAAGATTATCAAAAAATGACAATACCTCTCTGAATAAATATGTCTGTAATTATTAGTTGAACATTCGATACATATTAATCGGTACAAATATAATTTATTATTTTAGAAAAGTGAAACAATTGTAGAAACTATAGTAAACAAGAGAACAAGAACACAGGGACTTCAATCATCACTATCACCACAAGTCAGACGTTCTACTTCACCTGCTAGAATGGAACCTAGTGATGATGAGGACGAGTCAGGTATTGCCATTTAATAAAGATTAATGTGTAATTTATATTTGTTGGGCTGCCAAATTGTCTTGTACAGCATTAGACTGTTAGACCAAAGATTATGGGTCTATCTCCATGCATCAAAAGGTTTGATTCTGTAGTTTGTAAAAATGAGTATGGTTGCCTACCAATTCTTGTGTGTTTTCTCCACATTCTTTGGTTTCCTGCATCTATAGAAGAGTTCACATGCATGCGAATTACTAAGATAAACCATATAAGTTACCCCAAAATAACCTAATTCTGTTGAATAGTCGGTGAACCCTTTGGAGCATGTATGATTTGTGTGGACACGCGTTGTTAAAGTTTGGTGTGTTTTGTTTAATTAGCTGTACATGATAGGTTGAAATTTGAAATAAAACATGCCTTAAACTATAAAAATCGATAAATTAAACAAAAGTTATGAATTATATAAAAATGCAAATTAATAAATATGTCTTATGTCATGATAGGTGTTAATGTTCTCTGTCTGTGCATGCCTGTTAAATTTTTTATTTTTTATTTTTTATTTTATACGACATAACAGAAATGTTGACTGGTACGGGGACTGGAAGTTTTTTGACGTCACAGAAAGGAACTGGTACACTACAATCAACAGGAGGGTATGTACTGTTTAAATACAATTGATCAAATCTCTTTGTTATTTATGTACCAACGATTCTGTAATCGATAGATCCTGAAGCTAAGCACATCAAGCTTAATCTCATCTACAGGTCCAAATTCTCTTGGCTGCTCTGTCAAGACGTTTAGTTGAGCACAGCAACTCGCTGGTTATGTTGAGGACTGAGTAATTAAATGATGGTCATTTCTCATACCCATTGATTTCCCATTATATAAATTCACATAACCAAAGACTGAAGATAAAAAAAAAGATTTTACATAACGGTGATTGTCTACTATTAAAATAGTTCCATGAATTAATTTCCTTTTCACAGAAAAGAAAGGTTCGAGATTTCTCAACTCGATATGTAAAAGCTTGTTAACTATCATTTGTAACTCACCTTAAATGAAAGGTTCGAGAGAAACAGATTTATTAACTTGTTAACAGTCATGTATACCCCACCATAAAATTAACATAAATTGCTGATCATGTAATTGCATTTTTCTGTCTGTCTACTTATATCTGGTTTTTATGTATTTTGTTTATTTACAGATCTAACATAAATCGTACATTAAATACTGGAGACTATTTAAAACATCTACGAAGTAATCCAACATTAGATCTTCTTAAAAAAGAATTTCTGGCACAGCTAGATGAAAAATTGGAGAAAATTGGCGTGGATCCTGTAAGTATGATATTGTTATACAATGGTAAGAAACTGTACAAATACATATAATGTCTTCTAATGGATTCATCTTAAGTGATATTGTACCATTAATTAACTGGTTTCCTTTTCAAAACACATAAAGACTGACAAACTAAGATATTTAGTAAAATATTCTTTGCTTCATTAGTTAACAAATTAAGAAATTTAGTAACATATTTCTTTGCTGCATTAATTAACAAATTAAAATATTTAAAATATTTAGAAAAAATATTTCTTTCAGGTGTTGATTTTTGAAAATCACACCTTCATGCCCTTGTTTCAAAATTAGGAGTGCGAATGAAAGCGTGCCTGCTAAAATCAGCAAAAATCGTATATTGACTATGATTGGTAATTTTACAAATTTTAAAATTTCTTCAATTATGAATGTTATAACAATCTCACAATCTGTTTTGTTTTTTGGGTTTTTTTTTTTTCAATCCTCTTTAACATTTAGAGTAGGGTGTTCTAAACAGTCCCCCTAAACATGACCAGGCGAGCGATTTTTTGGGCATCTGCATTTTTCAAACGTCAATCACTGTTCTTGGCTTCCTTATTTAACAAATTAAGATATTTAGTAAAATATTTCTTTGCTTCATTGTTTAACAAATAAAATAGATGACATTATTAATTGTTTATTTCAGAAACAACCTGGTATAACAGATTTCTTTGCTTCATTGTTTAACAAATAAAATAGATGACATTATTAATTGTTTATTTCAGAAACAACCTGGTATAACAGATTTTGTATGTGATAATAAATTAGCCATGTTGAAAACTCAGAGACAGAGTTATGAAAAGGTAATAATAGATAGAGACTGTTATATTTTGATTAAATATTTTAATGTGACATACTTTCATTATTATTTTTAATATTTAATAGCTATTTTATATCTTATTATGGCTGTTGTTTTTTTATTTAGTTTTGAATGTATAAAAAATTTGAAATATTAGTTGAATCAATTTTATTCCAGAAATATGCTGATTTCCTTCGTTTAAGAGATAAGTTAGATAGAGATGCCACAATTGCAGCTAAAAATAGATACAGAGAAATGAAGAGATCACCACCATCATCTCGTAAGATTATAACAAAGCATTTATTTTTTATTACTAAGCTGAAGAATCTTTGAAGTCAAATTAAATGGGTGATATTTGTGTTGACCAACTGAATTTATGTCTCGACATGTACATGATATTCTTATGGTTAACAATTAAAATTGTCTAACGTTACAATTTAGAGGTCAGATTTTAGTACAAACTTAAAATTCTATATTTTTCTATATTCTATATGTTTTCTTTATAAATCTATTTTATTTATTTCTCCTAGCACACGGCACTTACCATTCATTAAATGGTTCAAGACAAGGTTCACCATATCATACTGGTCAGAGACAGACTTTCCCTCAAGCAGCTCATTCATCTGGTCCTAGTCCACGACCTAGAGGTACTGATAGACAACCAGTACCAACACCAAGATCAGCTAAAACTCTACAATCTACAGGGTTGGCATTACTCAATGTATTATACTTTATAACTTGGAACAAAGATATTAAGTATTTACTTTCCCCAAAAAAGGACACCTTGGAACATGGTAGAAAAAAAATATAAAAATTTAGGGAGTATGGGAGTCAAGGCAGTACATGCCTTTTGGCCCTGCATATTTTAAACAAACAATATATGAATGACTGGGAAGTAAAAAGCATTAAATGTGAGCAAATACAGTACAGCTACTTTCAATATGCCTCATAATCTGTAGAGGGTTGCCCTATCATGTTCTGTAGAGAGGAGATTGCCCTATCATGTTCTCTAGAGGATCACCTTGTAATGTTCTGTAAAGGATTGTGTAGAAAATGGGGTATGTGACTGGGGTTGTACTGTATGATACACAATGAACCTAAGCAACAGGACAACATCATTTTCAGAATTAAGACTTTTACATACTCCTTTTTAGATCTACAACAGAATGGACTAGTACACAGTGGGATTCAGAAGACTCATTTGAAGAATCTGAAATGAACAGTAGAAGACAACAGCCTGCATATGCTTCCCCTAGACAACTACCACCAAGTGTAGCACCACGTTTAATACAGTCTCAACCTTTGACTAGTAATAATAACCTAGATAATAGTTGGGATTCAGATAGGTTCGTTTTCATTTTCTGTTCAAAATTTCAACTTAAAGTCCAAAATTTGAATTTTTGTGTTTGATTTACATCTGAATACCTTCTATATTAAGAATTTTTTTAAATATAAATTTTCCTAAATACAAATATACACAACTTTTTAGCTGTAAGAACTTCCCATATAAATGAGAAAAGGTACCAGGTGTTCCAGAAAAGTCCAAATACTCTGTCTTTGAATAATATCTGTTATTATTTTTTTTAGAAAACTGTCATTGACTCTGATATATTAAAAGAGAGATGATTTGAGACAATTGTGTTTAGAAATTTTGTACCCTGCCTTATATACTATACCGACGGTACCTCGAACAATAGTTTGTATTTATAGTTTTGTTTGTATTTATAGTGAATCAATGCCTCAACAACCTGTACAACCTAGAATTATTATTAGTAAACCTAAAGGTGAAAGTGTTTCCAGGTTATCACAGTCTATAGAATACCAATTAAATGTAAGTGTTCAGTCTTGTAGTGAGAAATAAAAAAAATAAGACAAAATCTAATCTTAATACTGTAGGTACTGGTTTCTCCAAAACTGAAATTGACTTAGAATTGACATAACTTAAACATACATTATGCAAGAGCTAAATCTGCCTATTTCAGGTCTTTCTTTAGGCCTGAAATGTTATCTAAATTATTAATTAGACATTAATTAACCTATCCAGGCCATAATCAACTCTAGATGGCAGCGCTTGCCTGCGATCTTTAGTGGATTGTAAGCCGATTTACTGCATAACTTTCCTTCTCTATTAAATGGATAATCGAGACGATGCTGTTTATCGTACTGACTTTAGTAATGATGACCGAGGCTTATGGGAATTTCAGTTGCTTAGTTCTCGGTTCATAGTGGATCAATTTGAATGCAATTTTCACCAAATTGCCTTTACATTATCTAGTTTTTAACTATTATAGTGAGAACTGCCAACTCGTTACCGAATCTCCCATAATGTATCTTTAATATGTTGTTTATGATTTTAGTTATCATTTCAAATCATTACGTTATTACTACACATTTGTGAGATTTCAATTTTAAAGTAAATTTTCATGAAATTTGGCAAAGGTTCTATTAAACTGTCTTGTTGTGGGCTTATATCAAAATAATTGATGCTCATTTTGTTTAGTTTTGACTCCAGTTTATTTAGTAGAAATCAGTTGATTGCACCACTTTTATATATTGTTTTCAGAATCGTAATGTTAAGAAACCAGTAGGAGGTGTAAATACCTATAAATCAGATGGAGTCTTTGTAAGTTTTTAAATGTTATGTATAATATATTAATGTTCTAAACTGTTACTAGATGAAATTTATTGAATTAACTATTATATTTCCCTGCAATGATTTGAAAGAATAAAGCCGTATGATTGACATATTATTTATATATTTATAACCAGAATGATTGACATACTAATTATCAATATATTTATTACCAAGATGATTGACATTATTTATCACCAAGATGATTGACATATTTTGTATATATTTATAACTAGGATGATGAAAGTGACTGGGGATCAGAAGAAGAAGAAAAGAAACCAGCAGTTCAAAGGTATTATATTTTCAATTTGTCAATATATAAATCAATTTGAATTTCTTTATTGTTTTAAATGCTAAAATTGAGGAAGGGTACAAATTCATACTTTTATAGACAAATATTAATTATTAATTGAATAGATAGTAATAAACAATGGAGTTTTATTGAAATATAGTCAATTATTAATTAGTTTGTATATGGAGTGTACAAAATGAAAAAATTGTTTTGTATTAAATAATGTACATAAAATAATATATTTTTATAGACGTCCACCAACACGTACTAGCCATGGTGATACAGAATATTCTACTAATACTTATAATAGTAGTCAATGGGGGACATCATCTAAAGGTAATTTGTAGAGTGCAAACAAATCGTTTTCTTTGTGTATATGCTGACATAGCCATATTCTCTCACATGCTGACATGACCATATTCTCTCACACATGTATTACCATTGAAAATATATTTGGAGGCTAACTATAGACTTTAGACATTGAGAATACTTTAGCATTTGTCTCAAGGAAACATTTGTTTGGAATGGAAATTAATTTCCTGTATAACAAAATTTACTTCCTTCCAACTGACCATATATTTTAATAGAAATAGTCACACTTAATATCTCTATATAGGTTATTATATATAGAAGTTTTAAAAAAGATAATGAATTTTAATATTGCCTTTGTTTAATTATTACTTCTTCTGGCAAGTTTTATAATTTGTTGATGTGTAATTATGTATATTGTGTTTATGTATTGTATAGGATATCAATGCATTTTATCTATGTAAAAGGTTTGATGCTTTATAATTTGTTAATAGTAATAAATACTGTATAAGAAGTTTTTTTCTTTTCTTCAGGTGCAAGTACCGTCCACCAGGAAACAAAACGTTCTGGTTCTAAAAGTTCTTTTGTCAGTGTAACAGATGTCAGTTCTGATGATGATCTCGATACAGAAAATATATAAGACATTAATACCTCACTATTGAAATTAAGAAGTAGATACAATAAATCATTTCTTTAATAAAGTTATCTGTGATAGACAAGACATCAAATATAGATTTATTAACTTAGTCCTGAAATCCTAATAGATTAATGAATTAAATATTGTTCAGTATGAAATATAGAGTAAAATTTATTATACAACAAGATGTTATTGATGAAATCCATATTAATAATACATAGTTATAATTAACTCTGAAAACCTTATTACTTATTATAGCATTATTATTAACTCTGAAATCCTTATTACTCATTATAGAATTATAATGGATTCTGAAATCATTATTATTTATTACAGAATTATAATGAACTCTGAAATCCTTTTTACTCATTATAGATTTATAATTAACTCTGAAATGCTTATTACTTGTTATAGAACTATAATGAACTCTGAAATCCTTATAACTCGCTATAGAATTATAATGAACTCTGAAAACCTTATTACTTATAAAATTATAATGAACTGTGAAATCCTTATTACTCATAGAATTATAATGAACTCTGAAATCCTTATTATAATAATTTTTAAGTTTGTGTTTGTTACAGAATTTAAATTGTGATTAAATTAAAGAGATTCTAGGAAACCTATTAAAGGTAAATGTACTGCTATTGCAAGTTTAATAGCATAATATGCAGGCCACTGGACAGTTGAGCCCCCCCCCCCCCCCCTCCTTTAATTTGCAATGGATCCAGATGCTACTAACAGGGAAACATCCTGTTACAAAATGTTTGCCCTCAATCTGCTGTCTAATAGTAAGTGCAGGAACACCGCACTAAAAACAAAATCTACAAGATAAACGGGCAGACAAGACACAATATAGATATTGCAAAAAAATAAAGAAATATCAATTCCTGTGATAACGATATGTTAATTGAAGTAACTCAACCATCAAGTTAACCGTCCACTGAATGTTTACAATCTTCAATATTTATTTAATTACTTATAGTACTGTTTTAAATGTCTATATATACTGATTATATTACGGTATATTGATTACAAATGGCTTCTGTTAAACACCATTTACAATGACTAAAGATAAATGTCATTGATAACTACAAATATCTGGCACAAACATTTTTATAGTATAAAATATTTGAAAGGTTTTTGTTAAAATTAAATTTAAGTCAACTAGTTTTGATAAAGTATGCATTTTACAAATAGGTTGATATTAATAAACAACAAACTTGAATCACTGAGGATAAACATATTTATGTATTTTAAAGAATGCCTTAATGTCAATATATTGAGCATATGTTTAACATACTGTACAATACCTTGTCCAGATTTCCATTGTTATTGTTGTTCAGTCAATTCATTTATTTTCTACACATATCTACATATATATCAGAGATGTCGTCCACTTGTATATTCAATTGCATAATCATTTATCAATATATATATTCAAACTATTTTATGTTTTTACTCAACATTATATAAATATATAAGCCTTAATGTATATTATTGTAGTGCCTTGTGTAGTATTGTATTCATACAAGTGTTCAATAACACTACTTATGGTTTATATTTTTGTGATACGCATACTATTGTTCTTACTCTTACTCTATGTAACTGGTGTTCTGAATTTGTTCCGTCCAACTTTTCAGAGTCTCAGCGATATATTTACAAAATTCTTATGGTATAGGATTGAAAATAGCATAATAAAATCTATTCAGTGATTTCAACAGAAATGAATAAATCCATCCACTTTCTAATAGTTAGAGTCTCAGTGATATATTTCATGGAATTTTTACAAAATACTTGAATGTTTGCAATTTATATGATTGAAAAATAAGCATAATGAAATCTGTTGAGTCATTTCAATAGAAATTAATAAATCCCTCCACTTTGCAATATTTCCACTGTTTGTAATGTATTTTATTTTCGTATGCACAAGTCATTTGAAATTAGAAATAATGTTGTTAACTAAATAAATTGATGCTGTTACACTGTGAAAGAATTGAGTTCTTAGAAGACTCAATTCATTTCAAATTAAATGGCAGACTTTGGAGCAATTTAAAAAAATTTATTCACTTTATTAAACAGGCATTATGCAAGAGTTAAATCTGCCTATTGCAGGTCTAGCTTTAGGACTTAAATGTTGAGCGATTTATACTCCACTGATTAGCCAAAGTGATTTACATTCAATCAAATTTTTCATCTTTTACATCCATCTAATTCAAATTAATTACCCTAATCAGTCAATTTATCCACGACAATTTCCAAAGCAATTACCACAAATCGCCAAATCAACTCGAGGTGTGATTTGATCGGGAGATCACATGGGTTTTATTTTTTCAACTATGTCCAGCCACAAGAATTGTTTACAGTTAATCGGCACATTTAACGAACTTGCCAAAGTACTTTGAAATCGATTATAATGTTACATGAGATCTTCCCTAAATTCAAATCGATAAAAAAGCCTGTTATATAAATTATTAATTAGACATTAACTCTTTGATGCCATCGGATGACTCCAATTATAAGTAGATTACAATGGTTCGGCATTTAATTTAAAAATGGATAATAGAGACTTGGAGACAACAGTAGCAATGACAATTGAGGCTACACTGTTCTTCTAATTGCGATAACTTGGCTCCGAGTGAAGTAATTTGACTGAAATTTTCAACATATTCTCTTTTCCTTATCTATTTTTTTAACTATTATAGTGAGAACTGTCAGCTCTTTATCTAATGTTACATAATGCCCCTTAAGTTTAGGTAAAATGACAAAACAAATAATTTCAAATTATGTATGAATGGATTTTAACTTGTGTGAAAGTGCCACTTAAATGATATAAAGTATTTTGAAAAGAGTTGTGAGCTTTTTTTATAATCAAAAGAATTGTGGTGACATTTGGGTTATTTTATAAGGGTTATTTTATTTCGTTTTGACATTTCACATAGATAACTAAGATTTGTAATGGTGTTGTGCAGCAGAAATTTTATTTGAATTTTGCTAAATTTTTTAGCAACAAATTTATTATCCATTCATATTATTTCTTTGGTTTATTCCTCTTGGTAGATTAATTTGACTTTTATTTTTTATATGAATTAATGTTGTGCTGGAATATAAATTGTTTAAAAGGATAAAAATGTTCATAATACATAAATATATATTTATCTTTAGTTGAATATTATTAATAGATTAAATAGATAAATATTGTTTGGGTTTTTTTTATTTAACAAAATACCCAAAGTGTCAAGCTCATAAAATGAAAGATATTTGGAGCTATAATTTGTCTTTTTCAAATTTCTTGCAAATTTGCCCTAGCAAAAGTTGTTTCCCTTCAAATGAGCATAAATTAATCAAAGTAACCAGTACCAGACTGGGTCCACCTGTCCGTGACAGGTGGGCCTAAGCCTATAAAGAATAAAGGGAAAGACAAAAGAAAAAAAAGACAAAAGAATAGAGAAAGAAAGGAGGGGGGGGGGAAGAGGACAGGAGAAAGAAAAGATCGGAAAAAAATGACTGACAAACAACACAAGAAAAGAAGTGTACTAGAATTCTCAAATTCATCTAATGATAATGCTCTTAGGTCATTTTGTTATCTAATTGTATCAGAAAATCAAAAAATTGCCCTCTTCTGCTTTGGTCTGAAATGCTTGGAAAATGGGTTTGCGGTTGTCAATTTTCAAAAATTTCCTAGGGGGGAGAACCCCCCCCTCCCTCCCTCGGACGCTCGCGTGCCTTCGGCGCATACTTGTGTGAGCACCTGTTATTAATAAGGCAAACCAATTTTACGAATTTATAACTTGGAAGTTACTTAATATTTATAATTGAGGGGGTAGGGGACATTATATGATGGTCTTCATTAGACCAGTTGAAGGACATACTCCTCGCAGTGTTTGGATTGATTATACCTAATCCCACTTTACACTGCTGTAAAGAAAGCATATTTCTGTTCCAAATTACGACTGGTCAATAGTCCGATTAACAACCAATAGCTAACTGCGTAACAATATCATTACGCTTTAAACAGAGCTCCAAATTGGACCAAATTTGTATACATAAAGTTACGTCATGACTCATGATTTCATTATGTCCAATTTTTAGGAGGGGGGGGGGGCTGAATGGTTAGCACATGTCAAAATCGTACTTACGTAAAGATATTCTGTTCGAAGCCCACAACACTATAATGTCCGAATTCTGGGTCAAAAAATAGGAAGTTTAAATCAATGACGCTTGATAACCAGCAAAACACAATGATAGATTACATCATATTTCTAGGATGAATACATTTTAATTCTGATTTTAAATGCAATTCTCAGATACGATAACATTATTTTTTCTTACACTATTTTTAAGCATTATTATAAGTATATATATATATATATATATATATATTCATTTATTTTACACTTTCTATTTCACAGACAACAATGTGTGTTAACATTAAGTTTTAAAAATGAACTAAAAGACAATTCACCATGGACGTGGTCATTGATTTTTAACAAGTTGGTGAAATGATTTCTTCAACACCTGTCGCACACTGGTGACGTATTGAATCTTGACGCGAACAAATCTACGCAGTAATAAGAATTTTCACAACAAAGACATTGCAAGGGAATAAGAAAGGCCCGTATTGGAATATTAAAGACACAGGGAAAAACAAGGAAGCTAGGACTAGATAACGAGGACATTTAATAATGGAGAAATATGTGTTTATATCTATAGTGTATATAGTTTTGTATTCGTGTGATGGTAAACCAGCGACAGTATCAGAAGGTGATTTTAATAATTATTTTTATGGGAATAAGCTGATATTTTTCTATATTTATATAGTTGACCACAGTGGTGTATTTTAGTGGGTTAGTAAATGTGACAGATACATTGTACATTGTTATTATTTGAATATTGCGCTCATCTTGCCAAGAATACAAGTTGCTATTTCTGGTCGGTTTATTTTCAATATCGTTACACTGAAAAACAAAAAAAAATCAGAAGCAGTTACGCATTGGGGTGGGGGAATCATACGACTATGTCCCATCCACCACCGACTGTACAAAAATGCGTTTTTATCAGACAGTATGCTTAAATGTAAATCAGTTTATATACATTCATATTACATTTCTGTATTATATGCGTTGCGACCCATTTGTGTCAATTTTTAGGTGCCAAAAATTAGCGATTTAGCTCCTTTAAATCGATACAAATTTATCTCCCAAAAATCGGGGGCCCTGTAATGTGAAACCTTTTGATACGAGTATATCACAAACTATGTATGAGTTAGTTAAGGTCACACCAATTTGATTTTCTGTTCTTTGGGATCTTGATTGATAAATAGCCACTTGAATAACATGAAAGAAAATCAGGATAAAAATAATTGGAACAGACCATACTAACTTTAATACCAACCTAAAAAAATATATATATATATACATGTAGTTAACTGAATTCGTATGATGTGCAATACATTGGTGAAACAATGAAGACAACATAATATACGTACCCATTATTGCATCAGATTCTGTTCTAGACTTTACAACATATATCAATAACTATTCTGCACAATCAATCCTTTAGAAGAGGTCGGCCTGATTGAACACTATTTCATATGTCTACACTTTTGAACATCAGTTGCAATTATCTCACTTTTGTTTATGTTTATTATATTTTCAGGCCCTTGTGTTGGTCCAGATTGTTATCATGGACAATTAATGCACGGTGATCAAGAACCGGGTATAGATCATAAAGCAGAAGACACGTATCTTAGAATTAAAGATGAGCTTGCTGCTGGACAGGGAAAATCAAAACCCGACACACCAGAACAATTAGGTGTTGGTAAAATGGAGGTCGAAATAGGCACACAGGTAAATGTAGCCCAGCCATTCTAAAGTTACATATAATATTAAATCCGCCGCACACACGTGTATATTTTCTCGAGATGTCCAGCCTAGTTACTGGTAACAAATTCAGAAATCAAATAAATGCCATGTATCAGCTGAAAACCATCGACCGTATAAAATATCAACTCAACACGTGATCATATAAGAAGGAAGAGACGGGTATCATCCACATAATCTTTTGCTCATTTTGAAATCAACATTACGTATGCAATGATAAGAGTTATAATTTTCCCTCGGCAGCGACGTTTTCACCTGCTCGCCTTCTTGCTTACTCAAATGTGTACAGTTCTGTTTTCGTCCAATCTGATCGACTAACCAACACTATGCAGATACTCCCAGAACCGAGCTTGTGAGCATACAATGTCAAAGCAAGTTTCAATTCGATCGTGCGGGAGGAGTGCGAATTGTTTAACGCGTGCGCGCATCAAATCATAAGGTTGGTCACTGCGTGGCGTGGTTTGGATTCTCCACCTATATCTGACAAGGAGTAGAATTCGTCTGTCCTTGTGGATTTCTTCAGAAATCCTTTGGATTTCTAAAACAACTCAAGACCCCTGCGCGGAAGCGAATTTGTGTGGAGTGGACGTTAAACCTCATTTCTTTTGACTTCGATCGATCAATATAAATTCTTAACATAATTCTGAAAAAAATACACAAAGCTTTGGTATTAAAGTCTAAAATATTCTATTACCGGATTGTCGTGGAAACCGATCGCCTGTCGTTAACACAGGAATTCTACAACCATCACATAATGTAATTAAATGGTTTTGTTTTCTTCAGGCTAAAGAAGAAATCAAAAGGGGTAAAATTTTACCAGTAGATGCTGAAGCTATGATGCACGGTGGAGACCCTCAAGCTCACGAGCACAAGACTAATCCAGAACACGAAGCGAAACCCGATGAAAATACAGATAATGTTAAAAGGGGTCCCATTATGCCCATAGATGCCGAGGGGTTGATGCATGGTGGCGATGGAAGAGCTCATGAACACGAAGCGAAACCCGATGAAAACACAGATAATGTCAAAAGGGGTCCTATTATGCCCATAGATGCCGAGGGGTTGATGCATGGTGGCGATGGAAGAGCTCATGAACATGAAGCAAAACCGGGAGAAAATACAGATAATGTTAAAAGAGGTCCAATTATGCCCATAGATGCCGAGGGATTGATGCATGGGGGCGATGGGACAGCTCATGAACATGAAGCGAAAACCGCAGGAAGTGCAGATAGTATTAAAAGAGGTCCTATTATGCCTATAGATGCTGAAGCACTAATGCATGGGGGCGATGGGGAAGCCCATGAACATGGAAAGGTCGTTGAAAAGGAAGAAGAGAGAAAGAACCTTGGACCAGGCGGTGAACAATACTGGCACGGTGCTCTAAATCATGGTGATAAAGAATTGGGTGTTGAACATCATAAACATGATAAAGAAAAACAAATCAACAAATACGATTTTGATGCTGATGATATCAAAACAATAGCGGGCGTCGGTCAAATTTTGGCTAAACTTGATCTGGAAGCTATGTTGAAAAAGAACTCCGAAGAATACGCCAAATGGATGAATGATGGAGCGCCCGACGTGCGGGATGAAAATAGTCTTTGGAATCAAATCGATCAAGTCCGTCAACGTTATTTATCATTCGGTAATCTTGGACAAGAAGAAGACGAAGAAAAGCGCGCTAAACGACTCAATCCAATGACTTCAGAATGGGAAAAAGATCTTTCAGATGGTAGAGCCTCACAAAAAGACGATATCGTTAATGGTCTAGAAATGTTCGGCAACATTGGTCCCGTAAAAACTAACAAAGGGAACTACAGAGCCAATCGACCAAACGAAGATCATGTGACGCATGATGAGTCTTAATTTGATGTAATTAATATAAAAGACACATTACTTTTAAGAGTTTTTGAGATTACAATGGCGTTACGTACTTATTCAGTTAATTAAATGTCAGATACTTTTGTTACATTATGTTGTAAATAAAACTATTTTCTACAAAACATCTTGAAGTTGCAATGAAAATATTTTATGTTAATATACGTGCTTGAATTATAATCGGGAACTGACAAGCTAAAGCGCACTGTGATTTAATTGTCCTGAATTATGTGAAAATGTAGGCTTTTATTTGTATGCACTGGTAATAGTATACTACGAGAACGTAGCTAAAAACGTTGAGATTACTGATAGTCTGGAGGCTCAGATTGGGGGGGGGGGGGTGTCCATCAAATGGGTACAAAACCAGACGATGAATACGATGCCGAGTGGTAATCAGTCCGCCGTTGGGGCGTTTTCGAGATATTCGGGGTCAAAGGTCAAATGGGTTCATTTGCACGGAAAGTGAATGCGCAGTCATTCTTGTATCATGAAAATAAGCTGAAAATGATCGAAAGTAATTACACTTTCAATAAAAAATGTAAACTTGCTAAATTCACCTTTGTTCATCTTTACGTATTTTTGAAACAGGTTTTGGTTTTGTGGCCATTTGATGGACACCCCCCGCGCTGAGCCTCCGGTCTATGACGTGAAATACGGAGGGTTGAGAGAAGAGGTTTGTTATTACTAATAGTAATGCTCAATTTATGTAAGGCAAAAGTTGTAAGATTTGCCCTGTAAACATATAAACAGATTGTTTGGATAAATCCATTTAAATCTAGGTCCTTCCCAGATTCATCGGTTTGCTTTGCCCGGTCGTATGCCTATATTGCCGTCGTGCTGTATTGTCGTTGGCCACTATCAACCACCATACTCTCGGCATTTATTGTGCAGCCTCGAATATACTGGAAAATATCACCCGTGATGTAATGGACTAGTCCATCACCACCAGTTTTACTGTTTCACCTACGAAATCAAAAGTAGAGAAGCTGTACGTATATTTGATGAGTTTTGACCTGTAGATACGGTACGTATTTACGCATATGCAGCGAGCTATTACAAAGCAACTGATCTATTTATGAACTATATAAAGCAGCAGGTTATTGTAAGTACACGAAGACAGGGACATACAGCTGTGATCTAAATAAATGGATGACCTATATATTTTGCGGATTGTAGGATACGTGGTATTGCTGGCGATCATGTTTGATCCGACTCCCTTTTCTATTTCCATCACTTTTACATTCCATCACTTTTACTTATGGGTTTAAGATTAAAAACCAATGAGTAAGACAAAATCGTCAACAACAATGAAATATTGAAACATACCGTATTGCTCAGAGTCTCGTCTAAGGATTTGGTCGTGCGCGGCAATGTCGGACGAAGCCCGACCCGCGAGCACCGTCGGTGCTAGCCGAGCGAACACCGCAGGTGAGAGTCCGCGCGTGGGGTCTGGGGTGCCCTCCCCCAGAAAATATTGAAAACTGACTCCCTTAGACTCGTGGGGTCTGGGGTGCCCTCCCCCAGAAAATATTGAAAACTGACTCCCTTAGACTCGATTTCTGAGCACTTAAAAATAGTTTCGGAGATTTGATACACTATTAGTTTTGCATGGCATCTTGTTAAACCATATGGATTGCGGCTGACCCGCAGACAGAAATATACCCATAAAACAACCAGAGAGACGATTTTGTAAACCTACGCACTATGATATAGTATTGGCCCAGTCGTCCTATTTAATTTCAATAATTTCCGTTAAGTTCTTCTGGAGTTATAACTCGTGTTTCACTTTGTGAACACCGCTCTAACGCCAAAAATTATCTTCCGATCTGTATAAAAATTTATATCCATCATTTAAAGTAGCTAAGTCTCTAACTCAATATCATCAAAATTCTTCGACATTAAAAACACGAATTATTTGTCAATTCAAATCAACATTGGTCTTCTGATCTTACAGGGATCTTACAGGGAAAAGATGGGCTTCTGATATCCAATTTTCAAGACAAAATAAACATTTTACCACTAGTACACGAATCGTGTACCATAATGCGTTTCAGCGTCATTTGGAACAAGGGACTCAAAAACTAGACTAGACATATTCCACAAGTCATGTCAAATGATGACGCTATATTCTTATGCGCAATACATATCATCGGTGTAGACTGGAATAACCAGACGCTAAAGATAGCCATTCAATTGAGACTTCTGGCGTATTTCGCCGAACATAACTGATTAGAAATTACAGTAAAAACAGAAACGGTTGAATGTTAATCAGTTTATATACATTTACATTACATTATTGTATGCGTTGCGACCCATCTGTGTCAATTTCTAGGTCCCAAATATTAGCGATTTAGCTCCTTTGAATTAGTGAAACGAAGAAGCCTGTTGGATTTCAGCAAATTTGCCTTTGTTTCACTTTGTTGAACCTTGTAAACGTTCTAACAGCAAAAATTATCATCCGATCTGTATGAAATTTATATGCCATCACTTGAATTAGTAAAACAGAGACGCCTATTGAATTTCAGCAATTTCTGTTAATTACTTCTGGTGTTATGAGTATGACTTTTGTTTCACTTTGTTGCACCTTATGAACGCTTAACACCAATATTTATCATCCGATCTGCATGGAATTTATATACATCATTTAAATTAGTGAAACGAAGAAGCCTCAAGCCAGTAACTAGGGTGGGGGGGGGGGGGCGAACCTGTGAAAAGTTTGCCCCCCCCCCCCCTTGTGAAAAAAATTTCGACCATAAAAAAATAGATATACATTGTCCGTCAATATTACAACACCCCCGAGAACACTTCCCGCCCCCTTCGTTGCTCTGAGCTAGTTACGGCCCTGAGAAGCCTTTGGAATCAAGAGCCACGATGCGCGTACACTCCATGTACATAATATATCATTGTGTATATTGTGAATCATGCACTGTAATATGAAGACCCAATCAACTCCTGTAAATAAATTTAATAATATGTTTACTGAAATTATTCTTTGCAGTCTGATCATACAGCAGAATGGCATCCGTGTTTGGTGTGGCTATTATTGGAATGGGTAACATGGGTAAGGTCTTGGTCTTCGTGCCCTCATCCTCTACTACTTTAACTTCTCCTTTAACCTCTCTGAATCTACCCATGACTCAAAGTTACTCAATAATTGTCATCGTGATGATGATGTGTAAGGCGCCTGAAAACGAAAATAACACGATGTGTTGGTGCTGCCTATCGACGCTATTAAATTTTGTATAACACAAATTGTCAACAAATACCAATATTGAAAAGTATTGTAGAATTTGTGTTAAAAGCATTGGGTAAATGGTAGATTTGAATACCAACTTCTTTGTAGTTATTTTGAAGCGCTTTAAAGGGCAGAGTTCATATTCCAAATAACTTTCCAGTCAATTCTTTACATCACAACATACCTCCGACACTTTCTGGGGTATGGTTTGGTCAAGTTAGTCTTACCTGATACCATTTGTTATTGCATTGAGATGTTGAAATAGTTATGGCGTCGTTGGTACTTTTGCATTGTCGGTTAGATCTCAGCTTCATGTTCGTTTGACACCGGAGTGCATGAATTTGTGATAATATGGTGGAATCACTATTAATTTTAAATATACACGATTGTGTGTTCACGATTGATTATATCTTGATTAAAATAAAATTAATATCGTATTAAATAGAAATTAATGTCATTGGAATTATAGATGCTAGATTTGATAATCAAAGTTTTATAATCAAGTTCGACTATGTTTAGAACAACCTCATACACATACTGAACTTAGGGGGTTGGGTGGCCGAATGGTTAGCACGTGCGTGCTGTATCATACGGCCTGTCATTGAGTCAACTGGCGTGGTTTCGAATCCCCGGTTGTACGTGACAAGGAGTAGGGTCGCCTGTCCAACCTCGTGGGGTTTCTCCGGTTTCCTCCGACTGCTAAAGACCGCTACGCGCAAGCGAATTATTGAAATAAAATTAAACCATATGTTAGTCCCGAAATGACCTAGTTTGTGTCGAGTGGACGTTAAATCCCATTTCTCTCTCACACACACATACTCAACTTACTGAGAAATATGTATTTCGCTTCAATTTAATATCATGGATAAGGTTTGTGTAGTCTGTGTGTGTATGCACAGGAATCTGACCTTCTATCCGTATATATATATGCATACACCATGTCGTACCAGACAATATATAATTTATATATTTTCTGGTACGACATGGTGTATGCATATATATACGGATAGAAGGTCAGATTCCTGTGATGTATGACAGATATGAACTGAGTAGAACTGCATCACAAAATACTTTTTGGGATATGGGAGGGGGTGGGGGGTCACGGTGGCTAAGTGGGTAAGACGCTGGCTCGCTAGCCTGGAGGTCAGGTGTTCGATCCCTGCATTGGCCGAGAAAGGTCATCTAAATTTTCCGGTGTGGTTCCCCCTTGTCAGTGGTGCAGGACGGAGGGCCTGACAAGTACAACTAGCTCTTTCTGATGGAACGAAAAACCGAGGTCAGGTGTACACATTGGCGTGCACGTAAAAGATCCCTTGACAGTGGGAATGGGATATAAGATTTACTGCTGATCAGTTTACGCCACAGTTATCGCCGATATCACGTTAAATAAAGCTATTTCACACATGGCACTTCACGCCAAATGGAAACAGATCATCGTCGTTATCAATTGTATTGATAAAATGAAAACTACGAAATGAAATGGGGTTAAACGTCCGACTGGGCTTACGGACATACGCCATACAGTGTTCTTTCAGAGACATTATCGCTAGACAGCGTTTCAATGACCTACTCTAACATTGAATTCCAACACGCCAACGTGTGTACGGGACCTCGGTTTTTCGTCCCTTTCAAACGATTATACGCTGTCCCTTGCTAGGCCCTCTGTCCTGCAACACCGACAAGGGGAAACCATGCCGGGAAATCCAGATGAACACCCTCGGGTCAAACAGGGGACCTCCAGGTTAGCGAGCCATCAGCTTACTCACTATGCCACCGCGCCTCATGATTAGTGCGATTTATCCAAACAATATGATCAAATAAACCACCGAAATGAATCAGAATGATTCACCAATGATGAGAACATATTTTTTTTGTGTTTCAGGTCTTGTTCACTTCAAGAACTGTATTATGTCACCAAGAGCTAATGTGCGGTGGGTTGTTAGGCAAAATGTTGAAAATGCTAAAAGATTGGTGAAATCTTATAATCTACCTGTTAAATGTACGTCACCAGATAATATAGATCATGTCTTAGACGACGACAGGTATATTCGACCCCTGAAAACTTATTTTCTTTAGGCCAAAGAACAAAATACATTTGTTTACGGTTACTCAGCTAGAAAAATGATATTCCGACCCACCGGCCCTATTTTTTAACCAAATAACCGTAAACACAGGTATATTATTTTCCTTGGCCTTATTTCCCAAGTGTTAAGTAAGATTCTGTGATGCATTTGCTTCCTCTAATTACAGAACTGGCACCACACACATTCAACCTTACTTAAACACATTTTACCAAGAAATATTTCAAAATATTTAGATTAAAGGAAATTACCCGAATTTCTGCCCATCTTTATAATTTGATGTTTATTTCTTGAATTTTCAGTGTAAATGCTGTAATAATCTGTTCACCAACCGATACTCATAAAAACCTGATAACTAAATCTCTAGAGGCAGGTACGACTATTTATTTTTTTTTTGATTACTGAATTCTCTTCGGTATTCACGGGTTAGATATTTTGAATCCCATATACTTGATCCTACACCAGACGGAGTGCCCATGTTGTAAAGAAAACCCATATATCATACATGTAGTTCAGTGATTCAAGCTCCATACCGTTCTACTGGTATGCCTAAACAGCCAATATTCAGACTGATCGTTCTGGAAAATTCATCGTGGGCTGAAACTAATCGATGATTGTTCACCATCTGCTGCTCACCTTTGTGGGAGTTACAAATCGTTACCAATCTCTTTGTTTGATAGACTTTGATAGAATATTTTTTCGTACAAAAGTCTGGGTGGGTTTAAGGCCTTTTTAAAATCGAAAAAAAGTGCATGTTTATTATATAGGCATTATGCAAGATTAGATGAAGAGCTGGCAGTTCTTGCTATAATAGTTTAAAAAAAATAGATGATGTATAATGGGAATATGCTGAAAATTTCAGTCACGTTTCACTTTGAGTCGAGAAATACTCATTTTAATAACTATGTAGCGTTGATTGTCATTGTTACCGTTGTTACCATAATAATCAAAGTCTCGATTATCCACTTTTACGATTGATCATCAATGTCCGTTAAACGGCAGATCGGATTTTAATCTAATGAAAATCAGACCCCTCAGGCGGCACCGAAGGTTGACTATGGTCTTGTCATGTTAATAAATGGCTAATTAATAATTTAGATAGCATTTCAGACCTAAAGAAAGACCTGCAATAGGCAGATTTAGTTCTTGCATAATGTATGTTTAAATCGGCATTAATGAAGTGCAGCGGTCGTAGTATTATCATAGTATTCTCTTAAATATCAACCGATAAGTCTATTGTTGACTTTGCTAGATAAAAATGTGTATTTTCTTTTGAAAGGTAAACATGTATTTGCTGAAAAACCGATCACACCAAATCTTGAATCAACTGAAAAATGTTATGATTTAGCGGAACAGAAAAATAAATCTCTTCTTTGTGCTTTTCATAGGTAAGACTCGTGAAAACATATCTGAAAAAAAAACAGTACAATTAATGATGGGCGGTTTGGATGGCCGAATGGTTAGCACGTGCGCGCTGTATTATACGGTCTGTCATTGAGTCAACTGGCTTGGTTTCGACTCCCCGGTTGTACGTGACAAGGAGTAGAGTGGCCTGTCCAACCTCGTGGGTTTTCTCAGGATCCTCTGGTTTCCTCCCACTGCTAAAGACCCCTACGCGCGAGCGAATTATTGAAATAAAATTGAACCTTCTGTTAATCCCGAAATGACCAAGTTTGTGTCGAGTGGACGTTAAACCCCATTTCTATCTCACAATTGATGATATGCCTGTATTGAGAAACCTGATTAATTGAAACTTAATTCTCTTTTTTTCCGGACGGAATCGAGAATGTTATAGAATTTAAAGCAATCTTGGGGAGGGGGGGGGCATGCATCCAAAACAACTCGGTCATTACGGTACTAACATAATGGCAATGGCATATTTTTATTTCAATAATTCGATTGTGGAACGGGTGTTCATGAGTAGGAAAACCCAGAGGATAGCGGTTACATGTTAGGCAGGCCACATTTGTATAAAGGTAACTGTCCATATATCTATCTACTACTATTATCTATTTTCAGGCGATTTGATCCTAGTTTTAGTCAACTATATGATAATTTACAAAACAAGGCCCTGGGTAATCTTCGTTTATTAAAGATATCCAGTCACGATATGGCACCTCCACCAATAGAATATGTTAAAATTTCTGGTAGGTTCATTCTGAAAATAAAGATTACAAAAGTTTGTATTTTGTTCCAATTTAATAGCATTCCGTTATAATCATAAAATATTTAAAAAATGACATGATTCTAAGCTGGATGATTAGTACACCTTTATTATCAAGAATCATCTTATCTTTATTTCTAGGTGGTATATTAAGTGATTCGACAATACATGATATTGATATGTCATCATGGTTAGCTGGAAGTAAACCAACTAGTATATATGTACAATCTTCAGCTTTTGATAAAGATATAGCTAAATATGATTGTGATTTAGTTGTTGTAACTATTATGTTCAACAATGGAGTTATCAGTGTTATTGATAATGGAAGACAAGTTAGCTATGGTTATCATCAACAACTTGAGGTATATTGTTAAATTATTGGTATTCCACATGACTCTGCTCTCGGGTCCATTCAATTAATATTATTTTCTACCCAACTAAAAAAAAATTGTTAACGTCAGTGAAAAATGACTGGATTATAAACGTACACCACTAAAAGAGAATCTTGCTGGGTAGGTGCGATCCGAAATACATAGCCATCCGCTGGACTGCATATCCAAATTATTGGAGAAAGTATTTTTGTTAGGATATATTTTTTTTATATTCCGAGATACTTCAAAGGAAGCTTTATGGGCAGTTTACAAATTTTGTGACAATATTAACATGCTACGATATCAATGGTAGACTTAGTTGGAACGCTCTATAATAATTAACTTATTAGTTCCCTGTGAAACCAAGGTTTTATCTTCGTCTACCTGTCTATCAATGAAAATGCCGTGATTCGGAATTCGAGGTTGGTACACTGTTGTAAACAGCAGAATTACAGATCAACTTTCGCTGTTTCGTGCGATTCCGTTAATTTTTTACTGATTTATGTTACTTTGTCGACGTAAGGTCACTGAAAATTCTGTTTAATCTATTATTTATAGTAACTATTATTGTTTGTATATTATTTCAGACATTATGTGCTAAATGTGTATTAAATGTTTGTATATTATTGCAGGCTTTGCTTTATGTGATAAAGGTGTATTAAATGTTTGTATATTATTGTAGGCTTTATGTGACAAAGGTGTATTGAATGTTACAAATCGACGAGTACATCAACTAGAAGTATCATCAGCTGAACAATCTGTGATACCATCCATAGATCAACATTATTCAACCAGATATACGGATGCCTATATGTTAGAATTAGATCATTTTATGGATGTTATTCAAGGTTCGTGTCTGTAATTGTTTTTTTCCTTATTAGTCTGATTGATAATACGGATGGATGCTAATCATACAATACGGGGTTATCAGTACGAAAATATCACCTGCACAATGTGTTAAAATCTCCAGGTACATGCTTAGGCCTCAAGAGACCATGGTGCAAATGTTGCAGCTAAACAGAGCCCCAATAAATTAAACAAAAATCATATACGAAAATATTAGTAATAATAAGATGTCACTATCTGTATTATTATAGTATTAAAAAGGTTAATACCTTTTTTGGGGAATATGGGGGAATACTTAGGGTCTCTAAAGGTCTTAATCAGAACTTGTCTCCATTGTTCTAATTCTATTGAGTCAATTATCTTTTCAGATTCCCATAGGTTAGTGCTAGTTGGGGTAAATTACTTATTTTCTGTGTATATATTATATTCAGGTAAATGTGAGATGAAAGTAACTAAAGATCAAGTACTTCAAGTTCAGGCGTTGATAGAAGCTGGCAGAAAATCTCAATCACTGAAGACACCGGTTCTGTTATAAGATTTTTTAATCCGTATATGTTTATTATCAATAAATGTACACCTACATGTTCATAAATTTCGCCATTTATGTGCAAACAGAGTAATATTGTTTTAAATATTTAAGAATACTACAATAAAGAGACTTCCTTCCTGTTGACTCAAGTAAGAACCCCATAGACGTGACTACCTACACATTTCATAAAGGTCACATAAAACAAATGAAATTAGCATGCTTTGAACCATATTAATATGATTACGATTATTCGACATATGAACTGGGGTTTTATTCAAACACTGGTTGTACGTGGCAAGGAGTAGGAGCGTGGCAGGGTTTTCTCCGGGTCCTCTGGTTTCCTCCCACTGCTAAAGACCCCTGCGCGCAAGCGAATTATTGAAATAAAATTTAACCATGTGTGTCTAGTGAAGGTTAAACTCTCTCTCTCTCACTCTCTCTCTCTCTCTCTATCCCTCTCTCATTCTCATTCAAACCAAATTTATATACTATACATATACAACATACGATTATGGGATTATATGAATTAATCTCCAGTAACAAATTATTTACATAAATATAAATACATTGTCTAAATTTCTAATCGTAATAAGTGAAGATGCCTCGATTAATTATTAATCAATTTGAATGAAATTGCTATAAGTATATAATATAGAAACACTGGCTTTAAGTAGATACGACTGTTATATGGTCAGTGTGTGTGCTCTTTGAAATAGTCTGTGAGATTATTTCCGGAGGAAATGGTAGAAAAAACAGTTTATATGTTGTTGTTGATGGGAATATGTTTCGGTATTGCGATTGGTTACCTGTATCGTCAGGATCCAAGACGTTTATGTGTCACCTGTATGAATCACTTTTCAATTTTTCAAGACCCCTAGTTACAAATTTTAGCTCGATTGTCCATTTCCGACATCTTAAACACAAGCAAATAATTACATTTTAAATGGATGCATGTCGAGCATAAATCGTTCAGAATAGTTATCTGAGTGGAATTCATTTGCATCAATATATTATTTTCTTCTGCTCATAACGTTTTCAAAAGCTATTATGTTAAAACCAAAAGTAAAGTCTGAATTCAATACAATAAATCTCCAATCTGGCAATAGCCGTTTGATATATCAGAGTAAGATATGCGAGAAGGTATTTTATTCCATCTCATTCCCTTTTTATTTGGATGGCAGACTGTTTCTAAATTGAACATATTTTATGTGAATTTTATTTGCTTTATACATGTAGATTCCTTCAGACAAATTCTCTGAGATCTGCATAATGGTATATTAATAATGCATACGTGCACAGAGTGATACCTGAGCGACTGTGTTCGATCAATAAAATATTTATGTTAGTTATATGATAGTTGATCGTATAAAATAAGAGATATTATTATTGATGACTCAACAATTTGCACAACCTGTCCTGGTTGTGACTAGCTCCAGCAATATACTTACCAACTTCTACCAAGTGTGTTATGACTACCACAGAAAACATGATTATTTATCAATTAAATTTTAGGTGTGAGCATCTTCAATTTGTACAAGACATTGAAGGATTACACTTCAATGACCAAATAAAGATGATCACTACACCTTTCAGTTTGATTACTGGTTATACGGGGTTTCTTTGTTATATCAGATAAGTAAAAAAAAAGTACAGCATGCCTCTATGTTCACAAAAATCCCCATAGTTCAGTTTTCTTTCCACTACAGCTGACCAAGCTTACAAATAGTTGAAGTGTAGGTCGTTAAAGTAATAACCAGACTTCAATGGGAAATGGAATGGGGTTTCATGTCTGATCAACACAATACTTGGGCCATTCCTATTTCTATGGTTACATATATAATCCTTTGTAAGATAATTTTTCGATGTTTCCGAAACTTCGATTTCAAACTGTTAATTGAACTTTTACGTGCACGCCAATGTGTACACGAGTAGACCTTGTCCCATTCGAAGGGCTAGGCACTATGTCCCTGTCAGCAGGCCCGTAGCTAGCCCAGAGTACCTACACTTGACGGTCGTCGGCGAACAGGTGTTCTCCGTACAGAAAATTTTGGAAAATAGGGTTTGCAACTATGAAATGACGGAAAATTTCAATTTTGAGACTGAATTTGCGATATTGGCGTATTATGATATTTTGATATAAACATTAAAAAAATTTGAAGGAAGGAATACAACTATAGCGTACCTATAGTAGTTTATGAGAAAACGAAAACTTCGGAATCAGGTTAGAGTGCGACATTTTTGAATTTTAATGATTATCACATCTGGTGCGGAATTGAATCAATCTGACTCGGCATTATGCATTATGTGTGAGACCCGACAATCACATATTATAAGCTGCCCCTCCAATCATGTCATTCATTATGGGCGCTCCTGCGGGATAAGGCACCCAACAGATCACTTTTGGTCCTCGAAGGAATTATTAGTGAGCAGAAATGCGCCCATATGTGTCTGTTACCACTCGTCACATCAGTCAGTTATATAGAGGAATAACTCGTGTTTTCCTTTTGCGTTCGTCATTTCCGATTGTTGAAGCATTGATTACGCCTCTATCGTAGCAATGATCTCTGTGATAAAATAATATTTGGAACGTGTTTAACCAGTTCTATCACATATGTGATAATGACTGGCACCAATATTGTCCTTTAACTATACCATGCCTCTAGAAAACATACCGCGGCGAGGAAAAAACTCGAACATTCTCGACGGCTTTATAATTAATACTACATACGCATACGCGGTAGATTTCACAGCCCTGTTATATATAGACGGGTGTTCATTACACGCAGTCAGTTTGTCAACATCGTACAGGTAGGACAATTTATGTAGGCATTCATAACCGATTTGATGAAAATATATGATAAAAATTTTAATATGAAAATATATGTTAAAAATTTTAATATAAAAATATATGTTAGAAATTAATATATGTTAAAAATTTTAATATGAAAATATATGTTAAAAATTTTAATATGAAAATATATACAAAATTCTAATATTTAATACGAACAGGTCGATATATAACACTACAGCAATGCGTGTGCATATTGTATTTACATCAATGGTAAATATAACTTGAGTATACAGTCTTTCGATAACAGTCATTTCACGACGAATCCATTTGTAAAAGATGGTGCTACTTCAGCCCCTTCATACACTCGGCATATTCATGGGCTAAATCTATATTTCATAGGCTAAATCTATTTGTGAAGGCCAGCTCAATTTTCGTCAAGGTCGTTGAGATGTAAATAAGGTTAAGGCCCGTTATTGTTGGCGAGATTGTTGGTTAGGTTTAGGGTAATCATTGGGGCTAGGTCCAGGGTTAGGGTTAGGGTTGGGATTAGCGCTAGCCCTGTTTGACCAAACTTGAAGTTGATCTTATCAAATAGATCTAACCTCATTCATAATATTTAGAGCGCTGTTTCTAGAATATTTGATAATATACTAGGTTAAGGCCGCACCGCTGACATTGTATATCATAGTGGGACCCACACTGCACGCAGCGATCCGAATACATGTTCTCAAGCGGCGTCATTTTCACGACAGACGCCAGCGGTGTTGCTATGAGATGGATGGGGCACTGTAATCATTCTTTCCCGATTATTAAACAATTTGTAAAAAGGCAGCGGTCCACCGTACTATAGCCAAAATAAACTTATTGATCTAGACTACTGTTACTATTGATAGATATAAGTAGAAAATATCTTGCAGGCGTATTATTGGAATTTTTATTTAAAAAAAAAAAAAAAAAAAAATATTTTAGAGCTGTTATATATAATGATGATGGCATCACGCATTTTCAACTGTTAAGTTCCCTTTAACATACATTATGCACGAGTTAAATCTGCCTATTGCAGGTCTTTCTTTAGGCCTTAAATGTTTTCTAAATTATTAAATAAACATTAATTAACTTAATCACCTCTCGATGGCATCGGATTTAATAGATTAGAATAGTTCAGCCATATTTTGATTTAAGCTAAAAATGGAGGAGCGAGACTTAGCTTCGAACAACCAGTGCGGTGGTTGAAATAATTGTATACGTCTTGTCAAACCTTCAAAGGCTAATATCTTCGCTCGCAATAGAGTAATTTGAATGAAATTTTCGGGGGTTGGATGGCCGAATGGTTAGCACGCGCGCGCCCTATCATACTCTCTGTCATTAAGTCAACTGGCTGGGTTTCGATTCCCCGTTTGAACGTGACAAGGAGTAGGGTCGTCTGTCCATCCTCGTGGGTTTTCTGCGGGTCCTCCGGTTTCCTCCCACTGCTAAAGACCCCTACGCGCAAGCAAATGATTGAAATAAAATTGAACCATGTGTTAGTCACGAAATGACCTAGTTTGTGTCGAGTGGACGTTAAACCCCGTCTCCCTCTCTCTCTTTGAATGAAATTTTCAAATTATTCATTTTCCATTATCTATTTTCAAACTATTATTGCAAGAATGGCTAGTTCTTTATCTAAATCTTACATAATGTATCTTTAACAGGAACCTGGCAAACCCCCTCCTGCAAAATTTCCTGATTCGCCCCTGCTATAGTGCCTTGGTTTTGTTTACAATTTAGTTAAAAAGTTATAATTTTTAAAACCATTTCATGAATTAAAGTTTAAAAAATACAGTAAAGAATAATAATGACGTTAAGGTATTCTGAGATAAGATATTTTAGTACATTTGATAAGTGTTTTTACTAACAGAGCTAACTGGACAGTTTCTAATCAACAGTTTCTTTCATTACAGACAAGCATTTTAGATAAAATGGCAGCTAAAGTAGGACTCGCTATTTTTGGTTTTGGTAACATGGGTAATGTATGATTATTTTATACTGTAGGACTTCAGTTGTTGTTCACAGTGACTTAACCTCAAATACCTTCAAATACATTTGAGAAGATTTATTGACATATGACGTCTTAGACATTTGAATTTTTCTTCTTTTTTTAACGAATTTCTTCATTAGATTAAACAAATAGAAATAATCGAGCTATTTGATTAATAATTGGGAGCTATGTTTTATTTTCTCATTTATAAATTCTAAATTCTCAGAAGAATGAAAGTAGCTCTTGAAAAATGACAGCTTAAACCGATAATTTTATTTTTGATCAAATCAAAGATGTCTAGTTAATTTAACCTAAAATAAATATAACTTCTTATTATAGGTAAAATCCATTTCAAGAATTGCATGATGTCACCAAGAGTAGACGTCCGTTGGATAGTCTGTCTGAATGTAAACGATGCTAAGAGCATGGTAGAATCGTACAACTTGCATACAAAATGTCTATCAATTGATGAGGCTAATATCGATAATGTTTTAAATGACAAAAGGTAATTGGTTATTTATATGTAGGCTATAGGAGACTGTATTTTGTTTAGTAACTAGGGTATCAAGATTAAGTATTTTACAATTTCTAGATAAGATAGTGTATTTGCAGTTACATTGCCCAAATAAGCACGCTGTCCGGCTATCGTGCACCTTCAAAGTGCATTATGTGGGGAGCAACGGTGGCTCGGTGGGTAAGTCATTGCATTACCCCTGCAAAAAGTTTCGCCCCCCTTGAAAAAATTGTCGACCATAAAACCAATAGATATACATTGTCCGTCAATTTTACAGCACCCCTGAGAACTCTTCCCGCTTCCTCGTTGCGTGTATACATCGACGTCATTAAAAGAACTTTTGACAGTCGAAGAAGAGTTGACGGAAACGCCGTTGTCCAGGCAATGATCCCTTCATAGCACATAGATTAGCTCGGTGCAAATAAGTAGGATGGTAAACCCCATTTCATTTCAATATGTAAGGGCTGTCTCAGGGTATTCATCTGATAGAATGCGAACAAATGTCTGCAAACGGCATTAAAAAGAATTGGTAGCAATATCCTTTGTCACGGTCGGTAATTCATTTCTTCACGTTGTCTTTCGAAAGGACGTCAAATTTGGACTTAAAAGATTAATTGCTGAAAATTCTACATCCTGTCTTCCTAAGAATACCAATGGGTCTAGCAGATATTTCGTTATGTTCTTTTATACTCCTGATAACCTGGGATGACTGATTTATTATTTGATTGGTCAAATTTAAAGAGTTGTCCAATAAAAAAAATATAAACTAAACATCTGCATAACAGAGGTCAGGCTGTTATCGTATTCACACTGCATTCCAAATGTAGCATCAATCCCCAATTATAATCAATAATGTGTTTGTGCTTCTCGTCATGTACCGAGTATTTTTTAATTCTGGGGGGTTCCTTTTCAGTGTAAAGGCTGTAATAATCTGTTCACCTACAGATACACACGAAAATCTGATTATCAAAGCTTTGGAGGCAGGTATGCTAATTCTTTATAAAACATATTCATTTTGTTTCTTGTGCAACTAATGAAGGAATTGATGAAATAAATGGGGGCGGGGCGGGGTGGGGGATCCTGGATAAGCGTCGCATAATGGTTTCAATACTGGATCATACAGCGTCGTGCAGAGAGGTGGGGCAAAGGGGGCGATGGCCCAGGGCATCCATTTCAGGGGCATCAAATCAGATTGAAATTCATTTTTTATACGTCCACATTCATAATGTGGACGTATTATGGACGTCCATTTTTTGTGTGTGTCTTTGTGTCGCCTAAAGGGGCCTGAAGGCCGCAATTCTTTACAGATCCTATTGAAACTTTGCATACCTATTCCGTATAACCTAAGGATGATCCCTATTGTTTTTGTTGAATGCCCGATCCCCAGGGGCTGAACCACACCCATTTTTCTTTGTGTGTCTGTGTGTTGCCTACAGGCCACAATTTGTAATGGATCGTCTTGGAACTTGATATAAGTATTCCTTATAGACTAAGGACGGTAACTATTGATTTTAGTGCATATCCCGGCTCCTAGGGCCAAAACCACGCCCAGTTTTTTTGTGTTTATCGTATACTGACCGCAATTCAAACTTGGCATATGCATATGTATTCCTTATAGACTAAGGGCACGCCCATTTTTGTGTTTAGCTTCTGCAGACCAGAATTCTGAATGGATTATCTTGGAACTTGGTATACCTATTTCTAATACCCCAAGGACGGCAACTATTGATTTTGGTACATGATCCCCTCCCTTTAATATTTTGTCTGTAAATAATCTACATGTTGCAATTATTAACATATTTGGATCCAATTCCGTATGATCCATCATAGGGTTGTACCTATTTATATTAGTCCATATCCAACCCCCAGGGGCAGAGCCACGCCCAATTTTTTAGTTTTTTTATCTACAGACTGGAACTCTGAATGGTGTCACACCCGCTTTTTGTTAATATTTAGTCTGTAACTTTGGCAAAACAAACCCAACGCTTAATCTTATTTGCCTCTTGTCATATTATAGTCAATGCAGCCATTTCATATTTTATGCTCTTTATTTTAAAAAGCACCATATCAACCAAAGCAGGAATGTGGACGTTTATTGCAGTGGTAGCGATGCTCTTGTTTTGTTTTGTTTGAAATTTGAAATTATCCCTGTTAATGTTGTTATACATTTCTGAGTATATATACTGGGCCCTACACTTGAGTTTTAGGGCATGCACTCAAGGGGCTGGCCCTTGATATGACTAAACCGCTGAACGCCATTGTGGTCATAAAGAATAAATAATACCAATGCTTGAAAACTACAGTGTAAAAATATAATGCCAATCATCCGGATGATCAGTTAATTGTTTAATCTGACCAAATACAACCCTTAGTCTTCTGTTCGGGTTATCTCATTTGTTTTACATTTTTTAGATAAAGATGTATTTTGTGAAAAGCCAATAACACCCGAGTTCAAATCTACAGCACAATGTTATGAATTAGCGGAAGAGAGACACAAAATTCTTCTCTGTGGGTTCCAGAGGTAAATATTTAATTAAATAAAAAAAACTTTGATTACCTTAAGTAGTTAAAGATTTTCTTCACTTTCACAAATATTCTTTGTAGTAAATTCCTTGAGATATCATGACACACAAGAGTCGACGGAGAAAGAAGATCTCCATTAAAAGTGTAACTGCAGATTGCAGTTCAGATGCTAGATCCTTATGATTGCGCTCCAATTCCTCAGCGATCACATTGAGCGAAGGTAAATAAATGTTGTATTTCAAGATATCTAGAGGAGAAGTGTCAAAAATTATTTTATTTAAATACAAATATTTACAAATCGCAAATCGATAGGGAAGAGGGTGGGTGGGTTATAGATGGATGAGGGTCATTTTGTGAATTTGAATTTTGTGAATTTGAAAGTTATATATATTTTATGTGTCAGTGGCTAGGAACTTGTTTATAATTAAAACCTGAGACTGGGGTGATTATAGTCTTTAAAAAGCAATCACTTTTGTTTATATGTTGTTTGAAAGACTAAAATTCCTGTGTATCGCCGTGTACACCACACATATTTAAAGTTACAATGTATTATTTACATTATTTGTTTAATCATCAGACGGTTTGATCCTAGCTTTAGTCAGCTGCATGATAACCTACAAAACAAGGCCCTTGGTAACCTTCGTTTACTAAAGATATCCAGTCATGATTTAGCGCCACCACCATTACAGTATATAAACGCTTCTGGTAGGTAAAAAAAAAAAACACCCCATAAAATACAATAAATGGGGTGGGGTAATAAAATGTGTGATTTGGTCCCTTTCTTTCCCCTCTTCTGTTTAAATGCACCAAATTAACCTTCTTCTTATTTAAGACAGTACATGTATGTATCACATTTTCCCACCAAAGTTTGTGGATTCCCCCAGCTCCTAGCAAGATACTGCCTTTATCACTTGCATACATAGTTGCACGTGAATTTCTTCTTCCACACTAGATAACCATCAGTTTTTGGGTGAAACAGTATGCTCACCCCAGGCGACCAAGCAGCCCTGTTTAGGGATGCACTGCTTGCTCTAGATATAGACGGGTCGAGAAAAGGAGACCGAAAAAAAAACTTGTCTCACCTTACCTGATTGGCCAGTAAGAGAACACTTGGAAATCCCGGACAGACCAAAGAATAACGGATATGGAAACGGAAACCGACTACGAATATGAATTTGAAAGTGGCTTGTTGGAACGTGCGCACAATGCAAGATACTGAGAACTGCGATCGCCCCCATCGACGCTCATCACTAGTTGCCAGAGAGTTATCATGCCTGGACATAGACATCGCCGAACAAGGCTTGTTCCTAGAGCACGGAGCAGGCTTCACCCACTACTGGTCAGGCAAAGGGAAAGATGAACACGGGCTCTCTAGGTTGGGCTTCATGATAAGAAACCGCGTTGCTAACAAACTGCAAAGCGTTCCTGCAGGCCACTCACGCTGCCTAATTAGCCTTCGCCTCCCTCTAAAACGTAATCAGCATCTAACAATCATCAGTGCATACGCACCTACACTGCAAGCAGATCCAATGGTCAAGGAAGCCTTCTATAGAGACCTCAGAGAACTTGCTCTGAAAATTGATAAGAAGACTAGGAAGGCACGGAATAGGCAACCGTAACGACAACGACAGATTGCTACTGGAGTTCTGTGCAGAAACCGGACTGACAATCACAAACACTATGTTTCAGCAGAAAGAACGCTTCAAGACAACTTGGAGACACCCACTGTCCAAACACTGGAACCTCCTGGACTATATCCTGGTGCGCCAAAAGTACGCAAGCGATGTAACTCACATAGAGTCATGACAAATGCTGACTGCTTCACAGATCACAGGCTAGTTCGTGCTAATATCAGTCTCACCATCAAGCCTATTGTGGGGACAGGAGGACCGCAATTGAAGAAACTACAGGTCGACAAACTGTCACGAAAGGTAGAAGAATTCCAAGAGAAACTGAAGACTAGGATTGGCAGCATGTCCAACATCGCAAACGAACCAGACAACCAGTGAAAGGAGTTGAAAACTAACCTCTATGAAACATCAGCAGAGGTAACGAGCTTCTCTACACGCAAACAAACAAGATTGGTTTGATGTGAATGACCAGAACTACAGGAGCTACTCCAGAAGAAACATTCTTGCCATGGAAAAATGACTGCCTCCCCCGAAGATCAGAAAGCTAAGGTAGCATATAGAGCAGCATGCGGCAATCTCCAGACTCAACTCAGAGTCGTGGAGAATACCTGGTGGATATCAGTTGCTGAGAGAACGCAGCTTTATGCTGACCAAGGAGATACCAGAGCCTACTACGAATATCTGCCCTTCCATACAGATTAAGACTCCATAGCGTTCATCAAACGGCAACGCGCTACTAACTGATAAACAAACCATACTACACCGATGGTCTGGGCACTATGGAAACCTATTTGGAGAGGAACGGCAGGATGAAGAGGCATCTATAGACAACATTCCCCAGCAGGAACTGAAGATGAACGCCCCCACCCCCAGCCCCCAACACACGAAGAAATCTATTCGGCGATCTTCAAACTGAAGTACCACAAAACACCTGGCATCGATGGCATTCCAGCAGAGGTATACAAGCCAAGGCGTTCGGTCTAACAATCAGTCTGAAGAAGATAGAGGTCCTTCATCAACCAAAACCCGGGGAGGTCTACACGGTTCCTCACATCAGCATCGACGGCCATCCCCTCAATACGGTAGAGCAGCGTCATCTCAAACGATGCAACAACAACAAAAGCTGTGGCCATCCGCCTCGCAAAAGCTAGCAGTGCTTTCGGTCGGCTTCACAAACGAGTATGGCTAAACCACTCTCTGCGGCTCTCCACCAAGATACAAGTGTAAAAAGCCGCCATTATCTCACATTGTTGTTTGGAGCTGAGGCATGGATTCTATATAGCAAACATGAACGTCAAGTGGTAGCACTACCTCACCAACAACGAAGTTTTGGAAAGAGCTACCTTCCCTAGCTTAGAAGCCATGTTAATGCTTAAGCAACTGCGTTGAGCAGACCATGTCTCCCGCATGGCGGACTCTCGAATGACAAAAGGAACATTTTACAGGGGGCTGACAGAAGGCAAGCGAACAGAGGAGATCCTCGGAAGCGGTATAAGGACCAGCTGAAGCGGCCTTTCACCCAGGCTGGTATCAACTGTACCACCTGGGAGCAGCAGGCAGCCGACACAACCGCACACAGAGGTGCCCAGCGCTTCGAGGAAACCAGAAGAGAAGCCAGGGAAGAAAAGAGGAGGCGGAGAAAAGAGGGCACAACACACGATCTAACGGCCCGAACCTACGCATGCCAACATTGCTCAAGGCCATGCAGTTCAAGAATAGGCCTTTTTAGCCACCAGAGGCCGTGCCGCCTTCCGCTAGCGGGCCCTTCCTTTAAAATGAATAAAAGGCAGCATTCTGCCCGAAGCAGTAAAGACTTATGTAAAAAAAAAAAAAAAAAAAAAAATGCACGCGCCATTGAGCCAATGATTGACGTCGCGTGCTGTGACGCCACGTGTAGAATGCAGTCATCTTTTACATAGATACAGAAGACTTTCGTAATCCTCTGTGAAACAGATTGGCACAGTCACACCTTAGCCCAAACCAGCAGAAATAGAGCAGTCAGTTAGTGACAACACCCCTTTTTGTGGGTTATGGTCGTGGGTACATGGATAATTCTAAATTTAATATTAATGCTTTTTCTAGGTGGTATATTAAGTGATTCGACAATACATGATATTGATATGTCATCATGGTTAGCTGGAAGTAAACCAACTAGTATATATGTACAATCTTCAGCTTTTGATAAAGATATAGCTAAATATGATTGTGATTTAGTTGTTGTAACTATTATGTTCAACAATGGAGTTATCAGTGTTATTGATAATGGAAGACAGGTTAGCTATGGTTATCATCAACAACTGGAGGTATGTTGTAATATTATATTAATAACCCAATTAATCACACAATTCATATTTTGTTTTATGGTGTCTACACAGGAGCCTGTAACGTGGAAAATATTTCAAAAAGAACATTAAGGTATGATTAAGTATAATGTCTAAAGTCTGTTAAGTCTATGTTCGTAAGCGAGATTATCAAATAACTGGTCTGATTCCAATTTCACGTGGACAGTTTTTAAACGTCATCGTAGACTTGATTGTCTATCTGGCGAAATTTAGTGAGTATTGCCACTGGTTGACGGAATCTAGAGTAGCGGACTTTGATTCCAATTATTCAGTTCCAGTCCGTTTCTCACCTTGGTATTATTATACGAGGGGAAGTCAATAAGTTCATAGAAGTGGATATAAAACAGAAGCCAGTGGTTGTGATATTGATTTTATTTTTCAATATAATCTCCCTGGACCTCGATGCACTTTGTCTTTGAGACTGTCTTCTGGCTGGCCCCTCAGCCACGTCTCATTAGATGCCTTGAGTTCATCATCATCACCAAATCTTGTACAACGCAAGTGTGATTTCAAATTGAGAAACAGATAGAAGTCGCTTGGGGCCAGATCTGGACTGTAGGGGGGGGGGGGGTAAGTTGTTCAAAGCCACATTGTTGAAGTGAAGCCTGTGCAATACGACTCTTGTGCACTAGAGTGTTGTCAGGAAGAAGCATAACCCCGCTCTCAATTGCTTCAACAAGTCAGCATAGTAGGCTCCCCGTTTATTGTAGTTTTAGGTGGTTTATAGTCTATAAGTACCACGCTCCTTGAATCCCAGAAAATGGTCGCCATGATCTTGCCAGCAGAAGGCCGAGTTCTGAACTTCTTGGGTGCAGGAAAGTGCTTATGCTTCCATTGCATGGATTCTTGCTTGGTGTCAGGATCCCAGTGAGGAATCCACGTTTCATCCCCTGTAACCAGACGGGCATGAAAGTTATCGGGATCAGCATTGTAGATGTCCAAGAGCTCACGACTGGATTCAACTCTCTGGTGTCGATCTTGTGCATTAAAGTTTCGTGGCACCCATCTTGCAGACACCTTGGACATGTGCAAGTGCTCATGAATTATGGTGCAAACACTTCCATGCGAAATGCCACACTCTGAAGATATCTCGTCTACCTTTATTCTACGGTCGGACATGATTAAGCCCTGGACCCGTGCAACCATTTCATCTGTAATGGCTTCAACGGGCCTTCCTGACCGTGGGTCATCGTCCAAGGAGCTGCGACACCCCCCCCCTCTTAAACTAGGCTGACCATTTTGCAACAGTAGAATATTGAGGGGCTTCCTTCCCATACACATTGGTCATACGTTTATGTATTTCGGTCGCATTCACCCCTTCTTTCGTGAGAAACTTGATAGCCGCACGATGCCCAGTTTTAGAACTTTCCATGATTACAGGGGGCTACCTATGTTCAACAGGCTGTAAATCTCAAGTAAATGATCGGGAAGGGTTGTTTATGTCTGTTAACTGTCGTCAGATGACATATCTCAATAATGCCCCTGAGTTAGAAATTTGATAATCTCGCTCACGAACATGGACATAACAGACTAGATATATATTTAATTATAGCTTGATGCTATTTTTGAAATATTTTCAACGTTACAGGCGCCTTTGGGTGTCTAGTCCTCAAACTCAAACTACAGTTTCAGAAAATTCGCCCCGTTAGTACTAGCCGTTATTTTTCGAGATTTTACTATGGTTATTTTGTGATTGGTGATCCGGTGCTATCTGGTAAAGTTATGTATATGTTCATTTTTTCGGGCAAAATGATACAGCCCCACCAACCCCAGAAAAACCGGCCCGTACGCCGTTGAATGTTTGTATATTATTGCAGGCTTTATGTGACAAAGGTGTATTGAATGTTACAAATCGACGAGTACATCAACTAGAAGTATCATCAGCTGAACAATCTGTGATACCATCCATAGATCAACATTATTCAACCAGATATACGGATGCCTATAGATTGATATTGGATCATTTTATCGATGTTGTTCAAGGTTTGCAAATACTATTTGATATTTTTGTTTGGTTTATCAAAATTTATCAACCAAAGGGCTTTAAATACTTTATATAGATCTATTGTCTGAAAAGATCATTGCCTCGCAATTAAACTTTATGCAACATAGCCATTTAATGGCCTATTTTATTATATTACATTATTTGTTAATTTTCTTTCTTTCAGGAAAATGTGAGCCCATTATTACTAAAGATCACGTTCTACAAGTCAATAAAATGGTTGAAGCTGGTAAGAAATCACAAGCATTGAAAAACCCAGTTTATTTCTAAAAATACAAATGGTCTAATTGTTTGGTTTTAGTAGTCCCTAAATATCGCATCTACAAATATTTAATATGCCATTTTTTATCAATCCAAAAGTATTTGAGAAGAAAAGGGTCTTTGTTTCGGCCAATCTGTTGAACAATGGGCAGTGACGGCTCCAGAATTTCCTAATGGGGGGGGGGGGGACTTCCTCCAGAAATACACGATTTGGAGCATATCGTATATAAACAATTTAAAGAAAAGTGGCAGGGTCTGTCTTTCATACCCAATTTGGCAGCTATTGTTATATAATTCGCTTCATTATATGAATTTGATATTAATCAGGTATATATTTAATTTTTGCTTTCCATGTGATAATTTCCAGTATCTTTTTCACTATTAGAATGCAGTTCACTATTGCTTATGTAGATTATGTAATCTTTAAATTTCAAGCATAAATCTTTAAATCTGGAATAAACACTTTTACACTAGGATATGTGAATGCCATTAACTATTTTTTTATGTTGTTATGTAGATTATATTTAAGCAAACATCATTAAACTTTATTTTTTGATATTGGTTATGGGAAAGACATCTACTGTTTTAATGGTATTGCGATCCAATGTCATTTTGAACTGGTCTTTTTTATATCACAATAAACTATCTGTTTTTTTAATAACATACGGTGTTGCATGTCATCTGTTATATTTTAGTGTTAAATAAATAATTCCAGTTCAAGACCAGAAAATTATCCATATTCACCCATATTCAAGATTGTTACCTCTCCTTTTTTTTTTTTTTTTTTTTTTTAAAGATAGGTTGCCAGGCAACGAATCATGCCCACAGATGCTAAATAGTCCAAGCGGTCGACAAGGGTTGTCGTATATTTATTCTTTTGTAGGTAATTGGGGGCATTTACAAGACAATTTCATACAGATCAGATTATATTTTTCGTCGTTTGAGGGGTTCCAAGGTTCTACAGCCAAAACAAGGGCCTTAACTCTGGAAGTAATTTACAGAAATTGTTGAAATTTGACAGGCTTTTTAGTTTTACTAATTTAAATAATGCATATAAATTTCATACAGATAAGATGATAACTTTTGTCATTCAAACCTTCACAAGGTTCGCAAAGTAAAACAAGAGACATAAATCTAGAAGTAATTGACGGAAATTGCTGAAATTAAATAGACTTCTTCGTTGCACTCATCTAAATGATGCATATAAATTTCATACCTGTAGATCGAATGATAACTTTTTGTGTTAGAGCGATCACAAGGTTCAACAAAGTGAAACAAGGGCCAACAGCTCTAGAAATAATTAACGGAAATGGCTAAAAAAAGATCGGCAGAGAACTTTTGATGTTAGAGCGTTCACAAGATGCAACAATGTGAAACAAGGGCCATAACTCTGGAAGTAATTCGCGGATATTGATGAAATTCAATAGGCTTCTTTGTTTCACTAATTTAAAGGACAATATTGATGTCAGTCATTATCACATGTGATAGAACTAATTAAACACGTTCCAAATATAATTTTAACACAGAGATCATTGCTACGATAGCTGAGTAATACAGGTTTTCTGAATCGGGAGTGACGAACGCCAAGGGAAAACACGAGTCATACCTCTATATAACTGACTGATGTGACGAGTGATAACAGATACACGGCCGAATTTCTGCTCACTAATAATTCCTTCCAAGACCAAAAGTTGTGTGAGACTGTGAGAGGATATCTGACAATTCATAAAAAGAATTGACAGCCACTAGATAAGAGAACACGAAAGAAAAACAGAAAAAGTCCGTGCATTACCATGTTTTTATAAGGTATAGAATGAATATAAACAAGGGAATGTACGGACTATTTCTATTTTTCTCGTGTTCTCTTATCTAATGACATTCAATTACTTTATTGAATTGCCAGGTATCCTCTTACAGTCCCATATAACAACTTTTGGTCTTGGAAGGAATTATTAGTGAGCAGAAATTCGGCCGTGTATCTGTTATCATTCGTCACATCAGTCAGTTATATAAAGGCATGACTCGTGTTTTCCTTTGGCGTTCGTCACTTCCGATTCAGGAAACCTGTATTACGCAGCTATCGTAGCAATGATCTCTGTGTTTAAATGATATTTGGAATGTGTTTAACCAGCTCTATCACATATGTGATAATGACTGGCACCAATATTGTCCTTTAAATAATGCATATAAATTTCACGAAGATCAGATGATAAGGAAGGTTCAACAAAGTGAAACAAGGGCCATAACTCTAGATGTAATTAACGGAAATTGCTGAAATTCAATAGGATTCTTCTTTTTACTAATTTAAATGACACATATAAATTTCATACAGATGAACAGATAACTTTTGATGTTAGAGCGTTCACAATGTGCAACAAGGGAAATAACTCTAGAAGTAACAGAAATTATTGAAATTAAATAGGTTTCTTCATCTCACTAATGTTAATTTTAAAACAATTGGATGATAACTTTTGGTGTAGAGCGCTCACAAGAAATTGTGGACGACGACGGCAATATACGTCCACATTTCCATGTGGGCGTATAAAAACTGACCTGTAGTAATATCTGTTCCTATAATATTGTACATATGTGAATCCCCAAAATACATAGAAGTCGATCAGAACCAGACTCTTGCTATCATTCCACAAAGAAGAACTCCGACAAAATCAGTGAGAATAGTATATTGGCCCCTAATTAACCTGGTGTTGCTGTTATCAAGTAGACCACTGGTCCTGCTTGATTTATCCATACCGGCGCATACCGGCTGACCACAGTTCGGCAGTTTCCCCGGCGAGGTCACTTGATTTAACCATAAATCGACAAAAATTCGGCCGCGGCGTACGCCGAATGCGCCGCTTTGTCGGCAGCGACGATCACCGGCGCAAGATGATGAACATGTCAACAAGATAAAATTCACGTTTGTTAGGAATGCCATTAAACACGAATATTAAAGCGTTAAAATTAAACCAAATGCTTTAAAGTTCGTATGTCATTTATTTATTTATTTTTTTCGGTAATACTGTTTTGGATTATAGAAACGATACTCGGTTAAATAGGAAACATGTTTATTAAAGACTATTGCCTTTCTATACTCAATACTCACATATCTTGACTATACAAGATTTTTTACAAAGAACAAATACTACAAATAATTTTCTTTATTATTTTGCGGTCACTTACTTATAGTAATGCTTTCATGAAAACTGTTTTTACACGCGCACGTTGAAATGTGGTCGTATATTGTCGTCGCCCCCGTCCGTCCGTCCATCCACCGGTCCGACGTCCACAATTGCTTGTGGACGCTCTAGAGGCCAAAGCTAACAAACGATTGACTTTAAATTTATATACAGTGTTTAAGGTCACGAGACGAAGAATCCTATTGATTTTCAGCGATAATTACCGCCAGCGTTATGGCCAAATTTATCATCCGATTGACTTCAGATTCATACACAGAGTTTAAGGTCTTGAGACGAACAAGTATATTTTTCAATGAATTTTGATAACTGAACAGCTAAATCCATGATATTAAATGTTTCGTATTCTAAACGTTAGCATGTGACAGAACTTGATAATTACTTAATGAGTCGTTACTTTTAATCAGATTTTATTGTATTATAAATGTTTCATTACCGAAAAAAGTAAAAATATTCGACAACTCTTGTTGACTGCACGGACGCTTTAGCTGCTGTGGGCGTATGTTTCGTTGCCTGGCAACCTATCGTTATTAAAAATTGTCATGTTACCGGTTTAATATTATAATATTATCTGACTTGATTTACTCTGATACGGTAACCTGACCGGCGTACGCCTTGTACAAACCGGTTCGCCTATCGGCGGACAAATGAAGCAGGCCCACTGGTATTAAGGACTTGGTAGTATTTAGGGTTGACATGTATATATTATAATGTAAACTAGTCTACAAATATACAGGTATCAATATAAACCAGACCTGATCACAACATATCATTTCCTGGGTACAGAGTTGACAGACAAGGTTAATATATGATTTCAAATTATCACTTTAAAACCTACAAGAAAAACCTCGAAACAAATTTTCTAAAGTTTTTAATTTTCCAATTTTGCTTACAAACAAAATACAATGAAACTAGTCTAGAAATGATAATATAACTATGTATAATGATATAATAACAATTACATGTATTAGTTCAAAAACACAGGCCATATTAATAAATGTAATATGATATTGATTGATATGTAAATATGAGATGAACAACAGTAGAAATATTTACATAATGAGATGAACCATAGAGATAAAGCATAAATAAAGACTCCTGTAAAATATTATAATATACATGTAACAACCATTCTAATTTAATATTTGTTTAAAAACAAAAATGGTTTTAAAAATCAAAAGCACAATTGTAATAATAACAATAGAGGACACATTTCTTCTTACTGGTAACTCCTATAATAGTTTGCTGGAATAACAATTACTATGGTTTATTACACTACGACCTTTCAAAAAGTTGTCATTAAGCATATACACAAATAGATTTAGATTTAGTTTGTTATATCAAGATGCCTAGCAAGTAAGAACATCATTACATGCACAGTTAGAAAATTCCAATAGAATACATTTTTACATTTAAGTCCATTTTTTACATTTAATTAGATGTCATTTTATTAAGATTTGCTTAAATTTTAGAAATAAAATTCTAAAAGTTTAAGAAGATTTTATAAGGGAATGAAAAACAATAAGTTTGTGCAGTTTGATAAATTATGCATATTATGCCACATGTACAGTTACAAAATCAAAATACAGCAATTTAGTAAGATTTGCTACATTTAGCGTCTAATTAAAATACACATTAGCTGTATGTAAAATATCAGTTAATAAAAGACAATCTATGTACTACAAATAAAGACCTATATACAAATGAATGGCTATGTATAATAAAAACTTGTATATTGACAGAACAAGAATAAAAAGTATAAAATGACTACAACCATAGGTTTATAATAAATAGCATATACAATAATTACCAACGTTGTCCTAGTTATCAACATGGATATTTCTATTAACATGATACTAGTTAGTAATGAAAAAACAAATCTTGGGGACATCACTTTATAACTATAGAGGTGGATATGGGACAATATTAACTATTTGAAAAATTAAATGTGTCAGTGTAACATCTGTATAAAATACAAATGTAAAGTTTCAAAATATTTTTATGTTCTTCTCCTTATTATAAGGGTTGTGAAATTGCAATTTCTCGTCCTGTGACACACGGATATTCATTTCATCAACCATTCAATTAACTGTCCTAAATAATACATGTAAATCAACTATACAAGTTGTATCAGAATTCCTAAAATATCATTATGCAAAATACTAAAATAGAATTGCAATAACAAATCTACATTTGAGAAATCGAACATAGTGCCATTTGATTCAAGGGGTGCCAGGGTAGCTAATATATGGACAATCAGTACAGAAATCAATTTTGAATTATATAAATGATAAAGATCATTTACCATAAATCTAAATTATACAACCTGTGAGTTAAAGGTGTTAATAATGAGTTTCTTGGTCATCAGACTATTCTAAGAAGACTATTATTGTAGATTATTAATTGCCAACTATATAACACAGTGGGTGTCATGTGCATTGATCATTAAATATACTTTGGAAGAGGACCCAATATTTTCAAGGGCTTTTTAAAAATGCAGTAATGAATACTTGAAGATCGAGCAAAGCTGGACAATATTTAAAAATGCAGTAATGAATACTTGAAGATCGAGCAAAGCTGGACAATATTTGACAGTAAAGACCACTAGTCATAAAATGATGACACTATTCAATTCATGATTATACATTCAACAGCATTTAAACGCCAAAGGAAAATAACCCAAAAAAAAAAAACCCCATCGGATCAGCACCTACAAGTCAACCTCAGTATAAAACAGATCTTGTCATTATAGAAGTTAGAACTGATTTCTGTATTGGTGATCAACAATATTTGGAAGAATAACCAAATATGGCTATTCCATCTGAAATACATGTCAAAAACCTTCAATCTCACTGCTTCCATTCAATTAGATTGAAACTAAACCTATCAAAAGATTTTACCCAGAACTTGTAGGTGGTGCTGGCCTTAAATTTAACTTTATTGATGTTATAATAGTATTTAACCAACATACAAAAAAGCTTGTTAATTCAATAATGACAAAAATAGGGCTTCACGTACACCCATATGTTACTATATACCTTACTAACATGGCATTTATTGCATACAAGTGTCAATATGGTATATTACTAATATGTAACATTGACAATATACATGTATTTACCCACATGGTATCATTTACCAAAATACATAACAATAAGGAATTAAACTAGCATCATCATATTTCCAACACCCATCTATAAATTATCCTTACAAAATGTGCAGCCAAAATGAATTGGGTATTTATTTAGGTACATTACTAACAATGAACTGATACATTATTTTCAACAAGTGAGATTCTGTCAAATAAATAGACAAATCAGTTTCTGAACTAGAGGAACATGATCAACATCAAATAATCTAACATTAAAAAAAATGCATACAAATATATAGTAATTTTCAACAAACTTTGGTATTTCAGGGTGCTTATTTGATAATATACATGTATTTTCAGTCACTTCAAGACACCAAGAAGTCCAGTGTTTTATGAACATCACTTTTGATTAATCATTTGGTATAGATTTATTAAGAGAAGCGAATTCTGAAGAAAACTGATAATACCAACCATGAAAACATTTAATTCAGACAGAACAAAACTCACGATTTCAATCATAAAAAATGTTATTTTCTAATCTTCATAAAAGACACAAAAGTCTACATTTTGCATTTAAAAACATGTTTCGAACAAGGCATATTAAGTAGAAAATATATCAACAATAATATCAGTGTCCTCTTTCAATTATTTTAAGAAAAAGAATATCAACAGTAATCAAATCATTTTACACCTTTCAGTTATTTTCCTTAAAGTAGTCATCATGCATAACATAATTAACAATATCGGACACATCTTCTAAATCATCATCTTCTTGTTCTCCACGACTTTCTTCACGTTCACTCGCTTCTGGCATATTCTTCTTCTTCTGTAAAATATTGTCTATGGAGAACCCACGACTTCCTCTCTGAGGTGGTAAAGGATGAGGGTGAGGCATAGACTGGGACTGAGAAGATGGCATTGATTGTGGTGGCATCTGAGATGGCATTGATGGTGGTGGACCATATGGCATTTGTTGAGGAGGATATGGACCTCTCTGTTGATAATATGGATGTGGTGGTGGATATTGTCCATACTGTTGTTGATGAGGATATTGAGGAGGAAATCGGGTTGACTGGTCAGGTTTGTATGGGTGACCATGAGGGGGAGGAGGACCACCAAACCTGATCTGTGCAGTTGCTTGTTGTCCTGATGGCATCTGAGTAGCAGCATGATGTCCAGGAGACATACTTTGACCAGAAGGTGGTGGAGCTTGGGGTACATGACCAGGAGAACGTTGACCAGGATGTGGGTGTTGACCTTGTTGACCCTTAGGTGCAATTTGACCAGGAGAATATTGACCAGGTTCATGAGAGCCAGGATGACCCTGTGGGAAGCCAGGATGTCCGGGATTAAATCCACCTTGATTTTGTGGATAGCCTTGTCCAGGATGATAAGCTGGTGGTCCATAAGGAGGTGGTCCTCTGGGTCCCATGGCTTGTGGAGGGAAGTTGGGGTAGTTTTGTGGATAGTGCGGTGGCATGGAAGAGCTATGGGGATTAGGAGGCTGGTTCTGATTTTGATTAACAATGTTCACAGACACATTATCACTACTTTCAGCAAATTGGTTTAAGGTCTGTTCAGACATTGTTTTAGTTTCTGAACCCACTGTCATAATACTGGGAACAACATTGTCATCTGATCTATCTTGCTTTTTAATTTTGTTTTTCCGAATTTTTTGTTTCTTTGGAGATTTTTTCACAGTTTCATTTTTGACTGGGCTTTCACTTCTTTCACTTTCTTCTGTTGTTTCAGGTTTTTCCTTGTCAATGTTACTGAGGTCCGTCACATTCTTATTTTCTTTCTCAACAGTATCTTTATCAAAACTTTCACTTTTCTTATCCTTTTCATCTGAATAATTTCCCATGCTTTCACTTTTCTCACTGTCTTTTTCGTCCGAATCTTTTTCTAAGCATTCACTTTTCTCATCGTCAGAATCCTTTTCTAAACTATCACTTTTCTGTACACAAGTTTTCTCTGGCTTTTCGGTAATTTCATCCTTTGTCAATTCTTCAGAGTCTGATTGTTTTATTTCTTTACGTTTTTTGCATTTTGATGGTTGTTCGCCATCAGATTCCACACTTTCTTTATTTTTCTCCTCCTTTTCTTCCTCATCTTTAGCATCCTCATCTTTAGCATCCTCATCACTCTCATCATCATCATCATCAGATCTAATTATTCTACGGTTGGATTTTTTAGGTTTTTTGTCCGAGTCGGAATCAGAACAAAGATCAGACATATTTTGTGATTCTGATGATGATGATTCTTCTTCCACTTCTTCTTCTTCCTCAGTTGACGATTTATATTTTCTTGGTTTACGTTTCTGTTGTACGGTTGCTCTTCTGGTTTTTCTAATCGGAATACTTTTTTCACTTTCATCATCATCAACACCTAGATTAGAAAAATTACACAAATTATATCAACTACTGAACAGAACAAAAACATGTAGGTAATTAATGTCAAATGTGTACAGAAAAGTGCACGTTAATAGATTGATTTGCTACATTATTTAATTAATCAAGACATTATATTTTATATATGTGAACCTGTACTGAGCAAAGGAACCTTCAACATTCATAAGGTATTTTACAAAGACTCAAACCAGGTCTGGGTGTCAAAATTCTTTTTATGTAATTAGGGGTGGGTTTAGGTTCATAATTATCCAAGTGCTGAAATTTTGGCATTTAACATATCCTGAAAACTGAGATATTTGAGTCTGGAAGTTCCTAGTCATGATTGCAATGCCAAAACTACAGCATCCTAACAAAATGATCTTACAGAAATCTTCATCTTCCTCATATCTTGTATAACTTTTACGCCGAGAACTACGTCTAGTATTTTTATATCTAGGTCTCCAGTCCTCTTCATCTGATACTTCACTAAGCTGTTCTTCTTCTTCTTCCTGACTTACATCAGACTCAGAATCACTGAAATAAAGTTGAATGTTGTGTAAAAACTGGTGCTGGCACTATATATCGTTGAATCGATGAATCACGATTTACCTTCTCACGATACGCGTATTGAATCGCGAAAATTATTTCTTCAAGGTCGGCAGGAATAAAAATATCAATTTTATTCATTTATCCTGTTATTTTTCTAGTAAATATTGACCTGGGTATGAATCGTGATATGAATCGTATCATAGCACCCGATTCGCAATACGTATTGTATCTGTGTGCAGTGGAGATACCCAGCACTAGTAAAAATATGCTAAGATGAAACAAATTGATTTTTAACTTCTAAATTTAATGGATGAGATGGTTAACTTGGATACATTTCTACATTACTATAAAATAAATTATTACTTTGATGCTCTGTACTCATCACTTTCATCATCTCTTTCTTCATCACTATCTAATACTGTTAATCTTCTAGATTTCTTTCTCTTGACTACTACAGGTGGTGGAAAATTACCCTCTTCTTCAAAATTAGACATATCTTTGCCACGACTTATACCTGTAACAAGACATATATCTTTATAACAAATTGTAGTTTATTCCAAACCAGATTTCATAACAAGGAGGCATAACTATAGAAGTGATTAGACAAACTACATCAATTTCACAAAAATACATGAAGCACCTGATTTCACTGAAGTCACGGTCATCCAGCAAATTTCTTATTGCATGCTGACTTAATTTACCCTTATTATAATATGATAAGCCGAAATATTGTATCGTGACTTATTGTATGCCAGGTTGATCTTGGTGCACAAACATCTTAATATATGAACATTTGATCCACTGGATGTAAAATATCACCTTATGATTAGAGTTATTCCCCCACGACGAGTTAGAGGTACTTTCAATTACAGTTCCGTTTGCGTATAGGGGTCTTTAGCATGAGGTTGGACAGGTGACCCTAGTCCTTGTCTGTTAGACCATACAGCCACCCAAGTCTTTCTTATTCAAAGTAACAAAGATAATCATAGTTTTGTATGGTACAATGCTGATTTATGTATAACATGCATATAATATTTACCAGGTGGTTTAGGTGGTGGCAAAGGTTTGGGTGGTTTTTCTACTTCCTGTAAATCTTCTCCTATAGCATTATTTATTAATTCATCATATTCATTGAAATGATAATTAATATCTTTTCTCTGTCGGCAGGAACGCTTGGAATACACCACTTCTGGTAAGTCAGAAAAATCTTCCTTTTCATAATCATAATCTCTGCGTCGTTTACTTTTCTTCTGTGAACGATGTTTACGTTTTCTAAGATAATTATAATTCTCTTCTTCTTCATCATCTTCTTCCTCATCATCAACTTCATTAACAAAATCTTCTTCTAAATATTTCTCAGCTTCCAGTTTACTACTTCTCTTTTCCTTAAAATAAATATATTATAGATTATTTACAGATCCCTAATATCTTTCATTTTACAAGGGCATTATGTAAGATTTAGATAAAGAGCTGGCAGTTCTCGTTATATTTCAAATACAGATAATGCAAAATGAATATGTTGAAAATTTCATTCAAAGTTATCAATGGTTGTAGTTTTTACTAGATGTGTGCATTGATTATAACAACTGTACTGGTCCATTTGAGTGTTAGCCTCGCTTCTCCATTTTTACATTAAATCATTAAATGGCCAAACTGTTCTGATCTACTTGAAATCAGAGTCATTGAGAGTTGATTATGGTATTGTGATGTTTATAAATGTCTAATTAATAATTTATATAACATTTAAGGCCCAAAGACAGACCTGCAATAGGCAGATTTAGCTCTTACATAATGCCTGTTTAATCTATGCTATGAGCCATACCACATATATTTTAGTGAATACAACTGGTTAATCCCGGTGAGGGACTTTTCAGATTAATCCTGTGTAATTAACTGAAGCTCTGAGATACATTTTCTCAGAAATACAAATTTTCAATCTCCATCTGCGGCTGACTGTAAGTACCTCGATAATCAAGTCTACATGTATGTACATATTGGCATTTTGTAAGTCCCTGGATAATCAAGTCTACATGTAAGTACATATTGACATTTGTTTACACAGTTAAACCCACATTTATTCGCATTGTCTGTGTAATCTAAGGCTGTTGCTTTAATCGGGTTCAGAAGTTGACTACAAATATGCATTTTAAACATATTTAAAACATTTAAGCAAAACATATGTACAATGTCAAAATTTGAATGTATACAAGACGCCCACATTCTACATTGTCAAATCTTTTCATTGACAACCAAAATTAAATCAACCAAAAATGTGCTAAAGTTTTTCTTTTTTTATTAAAACACTTTTGTTTGATTTGCTTGCTGTTGGATTTTCAGATGATCAGCCAATCATGCACTACACACAGAACATGTACATTGGACTGTAGTTCTATGTACCGGTACCCTTCAAAATTTTCAGCTCACTGCATGCCGAATACAAAAAAAATAAAGATAATATTTCACAACGATTCATCAGTAGCTTTGTGAGGGGGAATAAAATATTTCCTTACCTCATGTACATGTAATATATTATCCAAACTAATACCAACAAATGCTAGTCTCTCCTGTCTGAAATTAACAAATTATAAGAAAAATTTTATTCACATGAATTACATTAATTTTAAGACAAATAGAAAATTTACAGAAAATAAATTATGTAAGTCAATTGAACTGAAACCTAAACCTCGAGTAGAATTATCGTAAAGTGACACAAGAAACCACGCAAGCATACTCAAGTGTGAAACTGTCTTCTCTCTGAAAATGTCGAAAGGAAGAAGGTTTTACTTGATGCTGGTATTTCAGAAAATACTAATTTTTAATATGGGGGGGGGGAATGTAAATAAAAATTCAACCAGCTATACATATTTACGTATGGCGACAAGTATTTGGAATAGTATACTCATGAAAATTTAGACCATTGGAAAGTGCGAAAACATTGGGTTTGACTTTGCTAGTGCCATTCAGCAAAATATTTTTTTCTGGTCTTCAATTTTTGTCCATCATTCATATATTTATATAAGTCAATTTCAGCTCATCAGTAAGATGTAGAATTGAATGACTGCTTCTGTATAATATATTTTATTAAAATACCTTTTATCAAGACGGTCTTTCTTCTTTAACAACTGGTCTAAAGACTTTAAATTTTCATGTAACTTTTCTAATAAAACTTTCTGGAAAAGAAGACAGAAACCATAAGAAATTTCAATGAAATCATAAAAATGTATCATAGAAAAATGCATATTATTATGCCACATAGTTAGGTTGCTACATTAGTAATGGTTATCAATTTTTAAAAAAAGGGAAAAATGTATTTTTTAGAGCAACTGGCGGAGACAATATAATACTTGCATGTTCACATGGTGGACAGAACCAATCTTCTTCTGGTATTAACATCAACGGTGGTCGTAAACATCCTGTATGATAACCAGCATCACATTTATCACATAATAATATCTACAACAATAATAATAAACTTAATAACATTTACCTGTAATAATACATATTATCACATTTATCACATAATAATGTCTACAATAATACACTTTATCACATAATAATATCTACAATAATAATAATACACTCTTATTATAACATAAAATCATCTACATTTATGATATCTTTTAAAGAAAGAATAAAGTCAAACTGGATAAGAATTGAACAATTGGCATAATCGATAAGACAAATTTTAGTGGATATACATGTATGAAAGTTTGTAGTGTACTTACCCACTGTGGTTGGTCATATTTACCACATTTACAACATGGTGTATCATCATTTAATATGGGTTCATCTACATCTACAATAAACATCAAACAATATCCTTACATACATCTGTGTACATGTAGTTTAACTATAAAGGTGACTTTTCAAGTTGACACAAACTTAGGAAACCAAAATATGTTTATTCATATTATTTATATTGCATTGGGAGAGGGTGTTTGAAGAAGGAATAAAACAATCAATTAAAGATAAAAGATGTTCATTTTTACACAAATTAATAGTTAGGAAAAATTAAATAATCATTTATGGTCAGACAGGAACAGATTTGGGGGTGGGGTTGGGGTGGTGGTCGAGGGAAATTGTTTTTGTTTAAGTATGTTTTGTTTAGTGGATATGTAAACTATGGTAGGTATGACTAACCCAAGTACCAACTAAGTTTCGTATCTTGAATTAATTAAAAGGTATTATTAACTTCAAAATCAAAACCCTATTTTTATTAATAACTCTGGTCGAAGATTATTAAAATCGACCAAACCTTTGACCATAAAAGCTATGTCCAATAGAGTCAATTGTGACAAGCATCTGTGTTTCATTCCTACACGAGTCATAGTTTTAATACAAAATTATTAAATATTGCAATAAAATATGTTTAAACCAACAGGAAGATTATGCTAGATATCACATCTGCATTAGCCCAGTTGGTACAGACAAGTAGGACATTAAATTTCAAGTCTGATGTCTATGCCGTAGTTCTAACTCATCAGACATGACATCTTTATGAATAAATGTATCTCATAATAAAAGCTACAGTACAAAATATTAAACATGTCTTTTAGAGAGTGGATAATTAACTTACTACTAGATGTAATTATGCTTTCTTGACGTCTGGCATTTCTGCCCTTCTGCTTCGGATTAAAATCATCATCTGTTGACTCTTCCTCTGATTCTACTGATGCTTCTGATGATACTGACTCGGAATTCTGGGAATCTGAAGATGGTGCTTGGAACACTTTTCTAGATCTTACTCTGGCACTCCTACGTCTACCATCATCATCACTAGGAGGAGGAGTTGGCATTTTTTTTACTGCCTTCTTCTGAATTTTTTGTCGGCCTTTTTTGGCAGGAATAGCATCTTCACCATCCTCACTACTTTCAGACTTCTTTTTCTACAGAGTAAAATTTCAAAAATCTAATTTAATACATATGGGATACAAAAGCTTTATATGTACTCTCCATATGGATTATCAAAACAAATCAATAATTCATTTTTCTATTTTTAATGAATATCATTGTCTTTCTCAACCTACAAGTAATATAATTATAGTGTATCATGAAAATTAGGCAAAAATCAAGTCTCATTCTCCTTATCAATACCATATACATGTATACATTGTACATAAAAAGTTTAATTAAGGTGTCAATAAAAATGGCATGTTTGTAATATTTTGTATTACTTAAAATGTAAATGCACTGTCTGTATTTTCCAATCAATGGTTATATTACTTATATACACTATAACTGTACATTTTCAACTGGTGAAGAAATACCAATTAATTTGAACTACATGTACATGTACAGCCCACATGTAATAAAGCCTGAACTGAACTTCTATTAGAGAGTCATACACACAGAAATTCAAAGCAAATTATTTAAAAGATAACAATGATAACATAAATGCCAAATAGTAATCTAATTAAAAGATAGGTTGCCAGGCAACGAAACATACGCCCACAGCAGCTAAATCGCCCGAGCGGTCGACAAGGGTTGTCACATATTTATTCCTTTGTAGGTAATTGGGAGCCTTTACAAGACAGTAACATACAGATCAGATTATAATTTTTGCCGTTTGAGGGTTCACAGGTTCTACAAACTGAAACAAGGGTCTCAAATCTGGAAGTAATCTACAGCAATTGTTGATATTTGACAGGCTTTTTCGTTTTACTAATTTAAATAATGCATATAAATTTCATACTGATCAGATGATCACTTTTGTCATTCAAACGTTCACAACCGCCATAACTCTAGAAATTATTGACGGAAATTGCTGAAATTCAATAGATCTCTGTTTCACAAATTTAAATGATGCATATAAATTTCATACATATCGGATGATAACTTTCATCAATCGAGCATTAATTTTAATATAGCATATAAATTTCACAAAGATCAGATGTTAACTTTTGGCATTACATGTAGGGCGTTCACAAGGTTCAACAAGGGCCATAACTCTAGACGTAATAAACGAAAATTATTGAAATTAAACAGGCTTCTTTATCTCAATAATGCAAACAAAATCTATCAATTTTAAAACAACTGGATGATAACTTTTGGCGTTAGAGCATTCACAAGAAATTGTGGACGATGGACGGACGAACCGACCGACGGCAATATACGTCCACATTTCTATGTGGGCGTATAAAAATGAGACAAATAGAGTTATCTCCCCTTTAAATCTCAATGAAACCTATGTCTGCAGCTAAATCTATTTGTTAAAGGCAGCTCAATTTTCGTTAAGGTCGCTGAGATGTAAATAAGGTTAGGGCACGTGATTGTTGGCACAATTGAAGGTTAAGGTTAGGTTTAAGGTAAGCATTAGGTCCAAGGTTAGGGTTAGGGTTGGGATTAGCGCTAGTCCTCTTGTGACCTTTGACCAAACTTGAAGTCTGCCTAGAATGTGTAAAACAAATAGAGTTCTCTCCACTGTAAGTCTCAATGGAATTATTGACGTTATTTGGTCTATATACATGTATAATCTCAGTCACCCAGAACCTCCTAGTCTTCAATGTACAGAGGGACCGTTGTCAATATTTGACATAAAGTCCATTGCCCATGCGTAACCGTGAGTTTGGTTTTTAATGTGGTTGATTATCCAGTATCTTTGTCCAAGTCAAGTAAGAGTTGCGCCCCTTCCTGCAATAAATCCCATAATTAATGCATTAATATAAACAAACATGAATCGTGACGACGAAATAGGATTAATTTAAAAAAACCAAAAAAACAGAGATATGGCCCATGAAGATAGAAATTTTACAATAAAAAGAATTAAGAGTGTTGGATATTGAACTGGCATCAATCAAATGGATTATTTGAAATGGCATTTTCTAAATTAATTTCATGGGTGTCATCATCTTGTTTTAGAACGAGTTACCTCCCTTAGTCACTGTTTTTGATAATGTAAAAGACTGGATAATCTAGCCAATGACCTATAATTCTCAAATGTTGACAATGCATTGGGACTAATATTTGTAGAATATTTTTCTGGATGATAGAGACTAGTCTATATGCAAATTACATGCATGTCTGTCTGACCTCAGAAGTGTTATTTCATAATGTGTTTTGTGTGTCCACAAATTTAATGATAGTTTGTCCTAATTTTGACAAAAAACGGAGAAAAACAGACTAGATGTACATGTTAGGTGGTTTAAAGTACATGTACAAGCTGTGCAGAATTCAGAACAAAGCTTTTGGTTTTTTTTGTACAAAATTATTAATGACGCCATATCATAAAAGTCTGATAGAGATATTGTTTTTTCTTTTTTTTATAACAACAAAAAGAAAGAATAATGTGTCATTCCTTTTTATCTACATTTTATCAATCAGCCTCCAAAAACAAAGAGAAATGATGTTTAATGTCCACTCAACACAGGTCATTTCACGACTAACATATGGTACAATTTTAGTTCAATAATTTGCATGGAGGTGGGGGTCCTAAGCCGTAGGAGCAAACAATGTACATGTACATGTAGATACAATGTAGTACACCAGAGAGAGAGAGAGAGAGAGAGAGGGAGAGGGGGGCGATGGGACAGGGAGGGGTAATTCCACTCAACACAAAGAAGGTCATTTCTGGACTAACATACAATGTATACATGTAGGGCTCCTTAGCAGTTTGAGTAAATAAAATGCAGATACAATGTAGCATTGGTACACCACATGGGTTTCAACTCAGCCCATGTTCCTGAAGCAACCACTAGAGCTTTACAACATCTAGCTGTTGCTTTACTCTTAATCTTATCACCCTTTATTACAGACATGTGATACAAAAACATAATGGAATAGATTCCTTTACTGTGGTTGAAAGGTTACTTTTAGTTGAAAACCTTACGAAAAACCAAATAAGAGAAAACTTACTAGCATAATGGAAGAACAGAAAAGTCAATTACATGTAGAATGTTTTGGACTAAGATGTGAAGTGGATCATAACAGAAATGTTCCAGCAGCCTTGAACTTTGCAACTCAATTATCACGGCTAGACGTTTCAGTATTCGCGGTGGTATTTTCTATAAGTGGGTCAATGACCAATCGAAATTTGTGATGATAACTGTACATGGAGAGTAGTACAGAGTTAAATCGAGATCAAGCCTTCTATTGAAGATGAACTCAGCCATGCATGTACAGCCTACAGGTAGATGTACTGTACTGTATATTATTGTTGGTTTTGATCGCTTGTCTTCAAAATTGACTGAACTTGCACAGGTAAAATGACTGGTAACTTAGTCTAGGATGCAAGGTTATAATGTAGTCAAACTATACGGCAAGTTTCATAACCCTTCCTCAATTAGAATCAAATTTGTTCCTTAAATTCTCGACCAATGAAACGGCTGATCACTCTGCTTAACCTCATCAGAAAATGCTCATTATAGAACTTTGCTCCCAATGTTGGCCAAGAAAGTGTTGGCTTGGTTTCCCCTTGTCAGTGTTGCAGGACAGAGGTACTGACAAGAAACAGTGTGTAGTTGTTCAGATGGGACAAAAAACTGAGGTCATGCTTACACATTGGCGTGGAAGTAAAACAAAACCTCTGACAGTCTCATATAACAATTTGTAAGAAATATCAATCAGCAGACATTCACCCCCATGTATCTGTTATCGCTCGTTACTTCAGTCAGTTATATAGAAGGATAAATCGTGTTTTCCTTTTGTCTTCTTTACTTCCGATTCATCATTACTACGATAGATGCAGAATGAAGATTTACTACGATAGATACATAATGAAGATTTCAAGAATTGGAAGTAAATGATATCTGAGTTCAAAATATATTTGGAACGTGTTGAACCAGTTCTATCATATATGTGATAATGGCTGATACCAAAGTCCAGCATGTAGTTTAAGATTAACAATACCATTCTAAGTTCATGTCTTTAAAATGTTACTTTACACCAGAATAGTGCAATGTGATACACATACATGTACATGTACAATGTACATTGTACCTACCTTTGCTTTTCTTTTAATGACTTCTTCATCTTCACTACTGTCATCTTCACTCTCTACTTTCTTCTTCTTCTTACCCTGTCCTTTCTTAGCCCTTTTATTTATTGTTGGTGGTTTAGTTCGAGAAGTACTACAAGCTTTGCCACGACCAATAGAACTCAGTGGTACATCTTCATCACTATCTGAAGTAGATTCTGACTGGTCTTCTGACATTTTTTTTCTGCCTCTAGCAGCACGACTGTTGCTCACTTTGTTACTTTTAGCTCTCTTTTCTTTCGGTTCTAAAACTTGGGTTTCTTCAACATCTGCTGCAGACCGTTTAGTTGCTTTACCGTTCATTTTAAGTGTGTTTACATTGTCCTCTTCCTCCACAGTATCTGGATGAACTTTCCCATTAACTTTACTCTTATTTGCAGTTTCATTGATGGGTGTAGACTTTTTGCGAGGAGTTCTTTTTGGACGACCTGTTACAATAGTTTCAGTTTTAGGTTCTGTTTCAGCTTCATCTTGTACAGTTTCTTGACTTTTTTCATCAGTGGACTTTTTGGCATCTGTTAAATTGCTGTCTTGCTTTGAGGATTCTTGGGATTTTGTGTGATCTTCAACTTTGCTACTGTCTTTGTTAGCATCTTGATTTGTATTGTTCTCTTTGCATGTTTCAGTAGTACCTTTGGAACTTTCCGAATTTTTATTCACACTTTTCGCAACACTATCACTATTTGGTTTGTCACTTACATTCACATTAGAACTAACAACATTTTCAAATTGATTTTCACTTTCTTTTAACTGATTTTCACTTTCTTTCAACTGATTTTCACTTTCTTTCAACTGATTTTCACATTCTTTCAACTGATTATCATTACATTTTTCATTTAATTTTATTGCATTATTTTGATCTGTTTTAGAACTTATTACCGAGTCTGTAACAATATTATCCTTCGATTTACCTATTTCACATTTATATTTGTCACTGACAGAGTTTGTAGTTTGTTTTTTCTCAGCACTATCCACTTTTTCAACAACTGTCCCATTCTCAATGTTTTCTTGAGCACTTTTATCACTTTTGTCAATATCTTGTCCTTTTGTGACTGTAACTGTTTTTACTTCATTATTTATTTCACATTTTTCTGTTTGATTTGTATTATATTCTGGTTCTTTCTCATCACTTTCTGGTTCCTTCTTATCAATTTGTGACTCATTTTTATCAATATGTGGCTCTTTATTACTACTTTCAGATTTTCTATTGCCACTATCTAGATCACTGTTACTACTAGTTTGCTCATTTTTACTACATTTTGTTTCTGTTTTATCATGAATGAACTCCTTATCAGTTTTACCCTCATCGTCTTTCTCCAAATTTGGTTTATAATCACTTCTTCTGTCAGATTCATCTGTATTATCATCTGATTTATTTTCTTTAATGGTTTCCTTGTCTTTATCAGCTTCATTATCACACTTAACAATTTTCTCACTTTCTTTAACACTTTGATTACTTTTGTCAATTTCTACACTATTATTACTTTTATTAGTTTCTTGTTTGGTTTTACTAGTTTCTCTTTCAGTTTCATCAATTTCTTGGTCAGTTTTATTGGTATCTTTTTCAGGTTTACTAGTTTCTTGTTCAGTTTTATTAGTTTCTTTTTCGGTTTTACTAGTTTCCTTTTCAGTTTTACTCATTTCTTTTTCAGTTTTACTAGTTTCTTTATCATCAGTTTTAAGTGAATCACAGTCCGGTTTTTCAAGACAAACATTATCTTTTTTGCTATTTTCACATTTATCTGAAGGAGTAACTGGTTGATCCTCTTGGTCACATTTATTCAAGTCTTCTAAATAAGGTATATCTTTGGGAGATTTTACAACATTTTGCGTTAAACTAACTGGTTTAGAAGGATCAGAGTTTCCGGGTTCTTCAGTTTTAACTTCAACCTCTGTCTTGATTGCTTTCTTAATATCCTTCTTTTCTCTGTCACTTTCTTTTTCTTCTTTTTTCACAGATGCATCAGAATTTTCTACTTTAATGGTTGTTTCAACAATGGGAACCTGGGGCTCCATCTTTGGTTCTATTTTTACACTTTCTACACTTATTTCTGATTTAATATCTTCTGTTTTAAGTTCAAGTTTTGCCATTTCTGATTTATCTAGTTTTATTTTCAATAATATTCGATCATCTGATACGTCAGGTGTACCCTCTTTACTTGTACTCTTTGACTCACCTACAAAACAGGAGGGTAAGAAAAATAGTATTAGAAATGAGAGTGGAAAGAGAGGATACTTTCTGTCTTCAAGAGAATACTTGTTCTATATTCAATGTACATGTATTCTTCAATTGTGAATATAATCCATATTCACAGTGATATCAGCATGCTAGAAATATTGATACCTGAGTCAGTAAAACTACACTGCTGTCAGCCTTTTCGTTCAATACATTTAAACCATACTCTAGATCATTTAAGACTACTAAAAGAAAGTTTTCATGTGAACCATTATCAAAATAAGAAAAGTACTCACTACTGTTCTCAGTTGCATCATCGGGTAATTCTAACTTCGTTATCAGGTCAGCTAAATCATTTCTATTTCTGTAAATAAATATATATACATATATGATAAACAAAAAGAAGATCTTTTTCATTTCATTGATAAATAATAGTTTATCATTCACTTTTAACATCAGAGAAATGTATATTATTCCTGTATATGGATATCTATCTATAAGACCAACGGGACAAGCATTCTACAGCATTTGAAATTATGTCCAATAGTTAGGCTGATGTCTCCCACCAAAATCCCAAAATAAATAGATGACTCATATTAATTAATTGCACATTTATCATTTTCAAACTGGTTATCTATATTTAGTCTAAGCCTAAAATGTTCATGATCAAATAGTCATGGTTTTGATTTACCTAATACTGAAACTATACACTAAGTTTCATTACTCTCCATTATGCTAAGTTCGCACTACCATGATTCATCATCGAACTCCATCAAGGCATTCACTACACCAAATTTGAACATTCTACCTTAATTAGAAGGAGAGTTATTGTTTTCCAAAGTCTCATCTAATCAAATTGCTTATTGTTCTGCTTACTCTGAGCAGAAAATGCTTATTATCGAACTTAGTCAGGGTACTGAAATAATGAAACACTCTCACTTAATTTAACTGAAGTTATCGTGTTCCAAAGCATCAACCAATCAAATTGCTTATCTCTGCCTACCCTAAGCAGAAAATGCTCATCTTCGAACTCCAACAAGGAATTGACCTAATAAAGACCTACACCATGTTTGAATATTCTAGTTCAATTAGAAGGAGGGTTATTGTGTCTCAAAAAGTGTGACGGACAGACAGACATACAGATCCATTTTATTAGTCCCAGCTTTCTTTGAAAAGCGGGGGACAATAATACCTGCAGACTATTTGCCATGTTTCAGCATCAATGTCATCTTGTTCTTCTCTATAAACAAATAAATTTTGATCTTTATCCTAAAATTAAAAAAATGTTATTATAAAAAAATTGAAAATTTAATTATATCATATTAATAGTATCTTTCATCCTTTTAACAATCCACATCAAATTGTAAAGATTTCCAACAAAATGAAAAACAAAGTAGTATACTGATTCTAGAACTATATTTGCTTACCAATAAATACCAATAGGCCAACCCATTTCTATCTCGCCCTAAAGGATGAAACCGGAGCTGTTCTGCTGTTTGTTTGTTAATTTCATCTTTAAATTTACTATTGCCATCAAATTGGCTCTCTAACAAATTCTGTAACAAAGAATATAAAATCAGCGATGATATTTCAACTTCTGCTTGTTATCGCTGCAAATGTCTACCCACATCCGACAATTTCATTGGCTAATCCCTCACATCAACCAGAACAAGGGTTATATATATGTAACAACTCTTTCAGATCATAGTGTAGTAAAGACAAGTAAAACGAAATTTTGAAATATAAAAAATGAAACAAAATAGGATCTGTGTTTTAATCAGATTGCTTTTCAGCTAAAACTGATTAATTCTTTTTTTATAGCTTACATGTACATGTACATGTATCCTCTGAGGAGAGTCAAAAGTTTATATCATGCATCTTATAAAAGATTTCTATTTCATTTTTATAATCAGAAAGAATTGTCTTTGCATCTTTAATCTCACTGTCGTATATTTCCTAAGCCAATAAAAATGGGTCATTCCAAACAATTATGTAAATATCAAATGAAAACAAATGATACAAATTACTTTCAGCCCAACATGATTAGTCTGAGACATGTAAGTGCAGACAGCTACATGTTTTGTAAGGTATCACCTAAACAATTTGGCAAAACTCAGATACAACCCATTGACTCCATGGTGAAAATGTGTTGAATTCAAATATACTATTCAAAAAAAGTAGGGGATATTTGATTTTTAAGTGTTATTAAAGTCACCTAATGAAACTGACGAAGAAACAAATGACAAAATGAAATGAAGTTCACATTCATCGATTTATTCCAAATGATCGTTAGACTAAGTAAGGCACAGACTGACCATTATAAGGGTAAAATGATACCCGGGGTCAAACAGCAAAGTTACCACAGCATCACAACCAAGTCAGTAACGGGTAAATCCTCCTCTGTTTGCCAAACAAGCATTGATCCGACGTGACATACTCCTAATGAGACGTCTAAGGTCATTTTGGTCCAGATTGTCCCATTCCTGTTGCAACGCAGCAGCAAGTTCTTGGACATTGGCAGGACGTTGTTGACGTTGACGTAACCTCTGTCCAAGCATGTCCCAGACATGCTCGATGGGGGAGAGGTCGGGACTCAGTGCTGGCCAAGGTAATGTGGTGATGTTCTGTTGTTGGAGGCAACCTGTAACGATCCTGGCCACTCACTCTCACACCAGTGTCTGTTTGAAGACGAGCGCTGATCTGATTTGCTGTGATGACACGATTTCTCAAAGCCAAGGTACGGATAAATCGATCCTGGGCTTGAGTTGTCGCCCTTGGTCGACCTGAGCGTGGTCTGTCCTGTACAGATTGTGTATCACGGTATCTGGACCATAGCCTGCTTATGACAGACTGAGAAACATTCATCGTCCGCGCCACAACCGCCTGTGTTGTGCCGATCTGTAGCATGCCAAGGGCACGTAACCTTTCATTTTGGGTAAGCCGACGCATATCAAAATTTGTTTTCTGGTCACTAAAACAATTAAACTGATGTTTCCACCCTGGAATTCAATGCCACAATGACTGTAACATTCAAAGTCAGAGTCGTGCAAATCTTGGGTTGGACCCCCATGATGATCCCAAGCATCACCTGCATTCCATGCGGTAGCTATTGGTGCGTTTGGGTGTCACATGTAACTGGAAATGTTTCTTCTGTTAGGTTCTATAGTGACTTTTTTCGTAGTCATTTGCATATTTTAGTATTATGCCCCCAAAATCAAATATCCCCTACTTTTTTTGAATAGTATATATTAAAACAAGCAGTTGCTATACAAGATACATGTACGTCCATATTTTGCAAGAGATGGACAGAAAACAAGCTAAAAATAAAACAACAATTATTCGTACAATCAGGGGACAAGCTAAAAACGTAATTTTTCGTAAATTCAGGGGCCATAATAATCCATGCAGTTTCGATCCGATACAAGTCAATATTGAAAGGAATCAAGATCTTTTGGAGATAAACTTATAAATTTCATGTTTCGTAAAAATCAGATAAGAATTGTGGCCTGCAGAGTGTCCACAAACAAATTGTGGACGGACAAAGGCGACAACAATATACATCCACATGAAAATGTGGGGGTATAAAAAACAAAGGCATGAACATTTCATCACTTACTTTTAAAATAGTAAGTTTAGTTTTCAATTTACAATACTGATAGCCATATTCTTCCACTTCCCATGCATCTATATGTGAATACTTTAAACAATACTGAAATAAAATAGTACATTGCAGGTCTATGATTATTTCCATTGAGGATAAAGTACCTGATTTCAAGAAACAAATAATTATACATGTAACTAACATCATCGAACATATGTACCCGGTACCTAAATGTAGTTCAGACTAATCAGAGTGCAATGACATGTACATTGTACATGTACATGTAACAACAAAATAAATTATCATGTGAATGATTTTAATAAAACAAAAGAAAATCTAGTCAAAGTATCCTCTTTGTAAAAGGATGTGATCGACATTCATGTATTTGATGGATACATAACTTATGAAAAATGCTGTACATGTGCATGTGTATGCAATACTGGTTAATAGAACTATTATGTTACTGATCGACAATGTCAAAAGCATAATCACCTTCACAATGTATTTTTCCCATCTTTGTGCTGTTACACTACTTTTACCCATTCGTCGTAATAATCGTAGATGAAGATCAACCAACTTTGTTGATACTGAAAGAGAGAGAGAGAGTACATATATTATGATGATATATTACATTTAGCTACAAACACTTGGAAAAGATGTTGTTCTAAAAGGATGCTTGTTTTTGGCTACATTGTACAGCTGGAGGACTTTATTTTTTTCTTGCAAACCGTTTACAACACAACAGGCCTAACATTAAATTAAATCTACTAACTCACTTAAAAGAACTATAAAAAATCAGGACTCTTTCAAATAATGTCAATACTTCATGTAAGTCAAACAATGATTTATTCGGATCATGGACTGCTTAACATGATACTTTTCTAAGTATTTGGCCCCATTCACACTACATGTATACCAGTACTTCCAAATAAGTTATTTGCATAAATTTGGTCTTGACATTGATGTAATGAGAAAACATGCAATGGTTTATACAACACATATACTGTCAGACTGATTCACGGCAGCTATGACAGAACCTTCTAATAATCTCATATCACTAGCTTGTTTATGAAACAGCAACAGGATAGTGTTATCATTTCTAAGGTATTTGCACATGTACATGTAAACTAGCCATGTTAATAAAAATATGATAATGGGGTTTTTTTTAAATTGGATAAAAATTGTTACCTCTAGAGGGACCACAAACTAAAAACATGATTTTCCGTACAACCAAGGGCCATAATTCAGGAAGTTACGATCCGATATGCACGAATATCAAAAGGAACCAAGATCTTTGCATTTCAAATTTCATCAAAATCAGATGACAATTGTGACCTTTAGAGTGTCCACAAACTAAAAATGTGATTTTTCGTACAATCAGGGGCTATAATCCATGAAGTTATGGTCTGATTTATGCCAATATCGAAATGAACAGAGATAGACCTACATGTATATTTTAAGTTTCGTCAAAATTGAATAAAAATTGTGAGCTGTAGAGTGTCCACAAACAAATTGTGGACGGACGGACAGGGACAACAACAATATACATGTACGTCCACAGAAAAATGTGGGCATATATTATATAAAAAATTAAGACATTTAGAAATGATTTTTATGAATTTGTTTGACAGGCTTTTGTTACCATAGAATTTTGTCCTAATGTTCATGTGTAAGCTTACTGATTGAAATGAAATGGGGTTTAATTTAACGTCCTACTGTTCTGCTCCAAACTGGGTTAATGAAGACTGGCATATGCCATACAGTGTACTATGAGGGAAATTTGCCCGGACAGCCGCACTACGGCCTACTCTTATATCAAATTCCAACTGTCAAGGGATCTTTTACATGCACGCCAATGTGTACACGGGACCTCAGGTTTTTTTTTTATCTCATCCGAATGACTAGATAGCTGTCCTTGTCAGGCCCACTGACAAGGGGGAACCATGCTGGAAAATCAGGATGAACTTTCTCGGCCAATACAGGGATCGAACACCCGATTTCCAGGCTAACGAGCCAGCGTCTTATCCACTTAGCCACCGTGACCCCCAGCTTACTCAGTGACATCATGATAAATGCAACTACATACGTACATGTAGCACAATACAGCTTCTTTTTACCATGGTTAAACAGACAATCTTGGGTCCATCATCACCGACATCTATAGTTTAGATGAACCAGATACTGTATATCATTTAATTAAATTGCTTCTGTCTTTAATTTACCTAACAAGATTTTCAGTTTCATCTGCCATTATTAGGATTTTAAATTTTATATTAACAAGACCATTCCATATTGTACTTGTATTGTATTCAATCAGTCAAGTCAACAATTTGTCCACAAATTTATAACAACTCATTGCCATTTGAGGCCCTTGAAGATGATCCAGAGACTGGCTAAAAGATGTGTGTTAGGAATAGAAAATGTTGTCAATACTAAACATTTACGATAAACAGTATTTCTTGAGATAAAAGTTTTTTAATCAAAACTGTAATGAATATATTGTAGGCTTGCCCGTGCATTGGGAAAATAGAGAATTTACATACGTAAAGTCAAAAATCTATTGGCTATTTTTATGGGAGTACTGAAGACTAGGGTAACTATACGTCCCGGTTTTACCGGAACAGGCCTGGTTTGGGGTGTCTTTTCTGCCGTCCCGTTCCGATGCCTCCCGGCTCTCACGTACCTAAATGTCCCGGTTATTACATCAGGTATTTTTCAATTGAATGATTCATACATACTGCGTTTGCTACAAACACTTGTGCTTCATCATCTAAATATAGTTCAGTACATAATACAGACCTAAAACAGGAATTGCAATGCGCTTGTCTATATAGAAATTGATGTATGATCTTGGGTATATTTTTATTGGTAAAAGGGCTAATCCTGATAATTTTTGGGAGAATAAAACTGTTTAATTTTGTTTTAAAATCCCTTAAAATCCTCTACCTAAGGGCCAAGCAACTAACTCAATATTTGTGATAAATTTTCAAATAACTGAAACCCGTCGGTCTCCATCTGGAAATGGAGACTGGTGTCCCAAGCTGTATTATTCGGTGTCTAGATAAAACCAGACATTTTTTGTATAAAAATGTGTAGGTGAAATTTACTTTTCATTAACAAGTACAGCATTTGGGTCATTCCCTGTATAGACCTCTCAATGAACGGGAATCGATTATCAGGTCTCCCAACGAAAAAATTGACCCGAAATCTTAAAAAGGTTACGTGTCCGGATAAGCAGTTTTGACGGTCACGTCCAAACAACTCAATATTTTGAGCTGAAATTTTGAGATACAGTCAATACACCATTCCTCTATATTTTGGCGTTTAAATTTCATACATACTCAGACTTTTATTTTTGAGACTCTGTTCAAATAAGGGATAGTAGAGGTTTACAATCAGGCTCTCTGTTCATTTTAGCTTTTGTCTGATCAGAATAACAAATGTCCTGATTTCTTCAATGAATAACAAAATGATGGGAAACACATCTAATGACTTTTAGAAATGAATAAATTCTAGAGGTGCATGCCCCCATACCCCCTAGTAAATATGCGTCTGCTCTCTGCTCATTTTAGCTTTTGTCTGATCAGAATAACTACTAATGTCCTGATTTCTTCAATGAATAATCTGGTATCCCTACTGTAATACAAAACAATCTGGGCTGTTTTTAGGTTTAGGATTAGCTTCCAATTGTTTTTTTAGGCCGAAAGACCATTAAAACTATTAAACAACTGGATCCTTACCCTATACTTGTATAAAAAGCCAAAAGATTTTTGTCTAGGGCACTGTCCTAAAAATAGCCATAAAACATTTTTATCTACAGCTCTCATGTATGACTGCAACATTTTAATTTACAACTAAATTATTTTCCCGATGTGCGTAAGCGACGGGGAAGTGCCATAAAAAGAGTCTATCAGTAACTCAATACGATTCAATAAAAGCAGCCAATTTGTTTTTTAATAGTATTTCACCATTCACTACCAGTATAATCATAATTTTATTTAATCATATCTTATCTACTAAAAATTATCAGCAATGACCACATTAATCTCACTGACAAGCAGAAAAACATCTAACCATTGCAATGTAGCAAGCTACATGTCGATCTATAAATATGACAGATCTGTATACAATTTTACAAATTAAAATAATAAATACATATGATATTCAGATTCCTTTTTCTTTTGAATTTTCTGAAATAGTATTTGCCTGATCAACTACTTTTTGAATTAATTACGTTTGATTCTAAGAATCACACCTGATAAGATAATCAAGGTTAATTAAATCTATCACTTTTCCAATCAACGCGTGTGATTACGTCAAATTAGAGGAGGGAATCCCAAGCAAAGTGGACTGCTCATTGTTTGTAAACAATTAGGCAAACACGCGATTTTTCGAGAGGGTGAAGACTTCTGACAGGTTATTTACAAAGATAATGCTCACAGTTTTTGGTGTCTTCCAATGCATTTTGTAATTCTTTGAAGTTGATGTCCGGTATTCCAATAAGATCGCCATATCTATCAATAAATGAACATATTACGGCAAAATTTGGGTCATTGTGGCAAACGCTTTCGGAAGCGTTCGCCATGTTGATTATGCTAATGAGCAATCTAGTGAAAGTTTGGTATTTTGTAAGAAAAATAATGAAACAAGCATTGACGATTTCAATACTTGGTTCATATCAATAAATAAGGAGTTCCTATATGCGATAAAAATTATACAATGAAATAAACTTCGTTTTAAAGAAATTAGTATAAACTCCAAAATACGAAAGTTCGGACAGGTGCGCTTTGGGCTAAAGCCAGTTCCGTTAAGTGGCGCTGCCGGTAGTTTTCTAGAAATTAGAGGGATGAAATTTGACAAGTGGTTATAAGTTATAAATATCTTAAACTTTAAATCAAAATATAATGGCCACGGCTGCTCATATGAACGAAGTTCAAGAGGAAGATGCCTCTGAGCTTGTTTTCCCAAAAGAATTCGAAAACGCTGAAACGCTATTGATATCTGAGGTTCAGATGTTATTAGAACATAGGAAACAACAAAATGAAAGTGCAGAAGACGAACAAGAGTTGTCTGAGGTAATTTCTTGCATATTCAGCATTATCAAAGCATTTGTAATTTTACATTGCCGACATGTTATCAATTATAAATTGTTCCTATTATTATTAATTTTCCAGTTACCATTGCTAATTTGAGAGAGCACTAGCTACGAGAACGCAGCTAAAAGCGTTGAGATACTGATGCGCTTGTTTGTCGCTACGAGTTGATGCCTTGGCTTGAGGTACATCTGGCAAACTTAATTTCATTATATTATTACACGTTACATCTTAAAAATAAGTTAATTTTATACTATAAGAACTTATCAAACATACACAGTCAGATTAATAGAACACAATTTTTATGGGAAACAATCACTGGTTTATTCTAAAAGCACGACGTTTGGACAAGTATCCTCTTATCGTTATCAAGCACAATGACATTTCATAAACTTCAGATGAATATATGAGTATCAAATTCACCATTGAGACCGAGATAGATGACACTCTACCATTTTTAGATGTACAAGTTGTTAAGGTAAATAATCAATTAAAAACCAAAATATATCAAAAACCAACTCACACTGATCAGTACATTAATTTCAACTCAAGCCACCCCCACTACATCAAAAAAGCTCTGATATCCACCCTAGCACGAAGAGCCATTAGCATTTGTGAACCTGAATACCTGCAGGGAGAATTGGAACATCTACGCCATGTATTTTGCAACTTGAACCATTACCCTCCATCACTAGTCAATAAGCAAATTAATGAAATATCCAAAAACATCAACAGAAGTCAACAAAAAACACCAAAAGAGATGATTAGAGTAACCTTGCCATTTCACGGCAACCTAACATATCAAGTTAGTGAGTAATTTACTTAAGAAGTACAACATCGACACTACTTTCTCTGTTCCCACAACCTTGAAACAGATACTTAATGCTAATGGCAAACAAAAACCAACCCTACCTGTTCAGCCTAAAGGAGTTGTATACAAAGTGAATTGTTCGTGTGATTTTTCATATATTGGCGAAACTAAACGTCCACTTGATAAGCGAATATCAGAACACCGGTCCAAAACTGCCACCAACAACTCGGCCGTAGCGGAGCACTTACAGAACCACCCGCAGCACAAAGTCGATTGGAATGGGGTGCAGATATTAACAACCAACCAACTGAATAGAAAAACAAGGAAAATCCTAGAAGCGATTAACATTAGGCGCTATTCACCCCAACTAAACAGGGACGCGGGGCTGCATATTTCAAGGGCATACGATCAGGTCATCAAAATGAACAATTCAACTTAAGTTACAACCCATTAATCACAAACTTTAACTGTTTAGTTAGTCTGAGAGAATTGGCAGTGTGTACTTGCTTTCTTACTATTAGTATGTATGTATTAGTAAGTTAAATGGTCCCCCCTCTCCCCCCTTTATCACCCCATTTATTACAATATGTTTCCAACCTATGGCCTTTTCTGGACTGTTTAATTTATTAGGCTATTAACTTCATTTGTCATTTCTTTTTGAGCGTTCACATACTATTAGTATGTATGTAATAGTAAGTTAAATGGTCCCCCCCCCCCCCCTTTATCACCCCATTTATTACAATATGTTTCCAACCTATGGCTTTTTCTGGACTGTTTAACTTATTTGGCTATTAACTTCATTTGTCATTCCTTTTTTGAGCTTTCACACTCTTAATTTTTTCATTGTCATAACCACTTGCTCATCTACCATACATATTATCACCTATCTTGTTTATTTAGCCTTCTGTTAATGGACTATGCAATGCCTACATTAATTTATTATAAGTGTTATCCATATCTTAGTAAATGGTTTCATCCCTATTACCTCATTGAAACAACATAACAGCATCCAACGGCTCCCTTTGATGGTCTTCATAATTAGCTAAATGTTTTCCATTTGTTGTTGATTGTCTAATTAACTACCCTACTTATCTTATGTCTAATTTGTTTAATCCTTTATCTTTATTGTTATTGTTATTTTATCTTATTATATGGTTTCACTATGTCCACTCTTATATATTCATCTGAAGTTAATGAAATGTCATTGTGCTTGATAACGATAAGAGGATACTTGTCGAAACGTCGTGCTTTTAGAATAAACCAGTGATTGTTTCCCATAAAAATTGTGTTCTATTAATGTGTTTTCCAATCGCTAAATGCCACTTAAAGATTATATACACAGTCAGCAGGGGTTTCATTAAGAGGCAGTGGCGGGCGAAATTCCCCGCCTACTTCGCTCCTTACACCGGCTATATTACATGTAAATGTACTGGTAGTACAGCGTTTCACTACATAATGTAGAACGCGTAGCCAGTGTGTTTACATGTACAAACTGCACACCCAATGATAAACACAATAATGTCACGGTCTGTAGTCAAGTTAAAAGGTACATTGTACGTGATAATCAAGAAACAGGCAGTATTCTGTATCACCTTTAAAAATAGAGTTACCGGTGTAGTTTAATATTGTGCCTTCCCTTTTTTTCACGCACTCTACTCGAAATCTTAACCATCAATTACATTTATACCCAATATAAAAAAAAGTTGTGAGGCTTATCTCTTTATAAGCTTACCTTACTATTTGACATACTTTCTTTCGAAAACTGTCATTATACCAGCTAGTTTTCACGCATTATGTATCGGTAAACTGACATGGAATAAAATACATAGCAACTAGCTGACCCTACACATATATGGTGGCGCTGGCTGTTAAACTGCAAAGAATGATCATTTCTTATCACAGTCAATTGATTCTCGGCTGATTTGGATATTTGTCAAGTTATGTTTATTATTTGTCAGTGAAAATAACAAAGCTACCTGACACGAAAGTATTTTTCTAGATGATCGGAAATTGCATTTTACACAACATTTTTAACAAGAAAAAAATGTAGTTTAAACAATGTATTGATTTGATGTACCGGTATAGCTACATTGTACATTTAAAAAGAGGTTGATAAAGAGATCGTTGATTGTGAGATCAATCCATTTTCCTCGACTGCACCACAAGCGTCTTTTGACCCTGTGATGTCAGAATTTGATTGACAATCAGTTTTGATGTTTTCAAGTCGGTATTTCGAAATAAAACTTTGTCCTCGCTGCGAATGTATGCACGCCAAGAACTCACCACAACAGACAATATCATTGGCTTATCCCCCACATTAACCAGAACGCAAGTTATATAACTACTCTTCCAGATCATAGTGTAGTAAACACTAATAAAAATAAATTTTGAAGTATAAAAAATGAAACGAAATAGGATCTGTGTTTTAATCAGATTGTTGTGATATCACCAGACGTGAAAGACATGGATGTTAACCCCTAGTAGTAACCAGTTATATTTTCTTTAAAATTACCATACACAATATAAAGTTTTCGATTTTCTTATACAGCATAATTTTCATTGTTTTTACAGGTGTTTATGAAGACATTAAATTCTTGTCAGAGATTCAGTAAATTCAAAAATCGAGAAACTATAGCAGCAGTGAGAAGTTTATTGATGCAGAAAAAACTACATAAATTTGAGTTAGCAGCTTTGGCTAATCTTTGTCCAGAGTCTGCAGATGAAGCAAAGTCTTTAATTCCTTCTTTAGAAGGAAGATTTGAAGATGATGAATTAACTTTGATATTAGAAGACATAAAAACAAAACGCAGTTTTCAATATTGAGTTTTATATACTTATATAAAATCATAATTTTATCATTTTCATTCACCAAGTGTGTGGCACCTGGTATATTTCTGTTTCATTAAACAGACCTCACTGCAACTTGGAGTTTATTTAGTCATATAATGACAGAGGTGTACACTAGTTCATACTTTGTATGACTATGTTCTGGTCATTGATTAGATTAAGGACCAAAAAATGATCTATACATTACATGTCATGTTTTAGCCATCCTCATACATCCTTCTCCAGCATGTATATTGTCAATAAATGTATTATGCATTGAAAACATTAGAATAGTTGCCATTATTTTTGTTATTTAAAAGGTGTATTTGGCTACATATATTTAATACCCCAATCAGACTGGGGTGGCGTCCTTACTGCGCTGCTACAGCGACGGAAAATGGTCTCAGAGCACGTCAAGATCGTCTTAAAAGTGGTAAAAGCGAGGTGGAAATGCCAGATATCGTACTGTGGTCTCCATGATCACAAATGATCGCTGAGTCACGGCGCTTCTTTTGAGCATGTGCAAAACAAACGCCAAGGCTTTGCCATCTTACCTGGAAAGCTGTGAGAACGCGGCCTTTTCCAGCCCCAGGTTTGTACATTTTTGGGACATTTTCTGGTGTTGTGTTCAGGTTTCTCAGCAACCTTGTGCATTTCTTGGTCGCTGTATTGTCGCAGCAGCGCAGTAAGGACTCCACCCCAATCTGACGGGGGCATTAGTAAACAGAAAAATACAAAGATTGAGAATGATAGAAAAGCATGAAGTCCCTGTTGACAACTTCATGATTCATATACTGTACTGTATCTTCTGTATAGATTGAATCTATATTATAAATTGAATCATTTGGTAATTGAAGAGCCACTGTGTTTTTTAGGCCAATAATTGGGTTACTACTACTACTGTCTGAACCATCGTAAATTTTAAAGGGATTTCTTCAATTATGAACAAGCTACTAACAGTGGTTATTATAAACTTAACTCTGTGTTTGAAATCAACTCCCGTTCAATAAAATCCATTGCACAACTAAATATCCCAAAGAATAAAAAAGTTCTCTCTTGAAAAATTGAAATCCCACAAAATTTATATGGAAGTTTGAGTTGATTTCAAACATACAGGTAAGTTTTTAATAACCAAAGTTAAGTAGTTTGTTCATAATCTAAGAACTCCATTAAAATTTACCATGGTTCAGACAGTAGACAAGTTTTGATAAGGGCGCTGTCTGCACGCCAGTCAAGTAAGATTTACAATGTTTTAAAAATATGGGTTGCTTAAATGGAGTGGTCTCCCTTGGACTTCTACAAAACTGTCTAATTTCGTGTGAAGTGGAAATGGGCTGGTAGGAGACACTCCAACCATAGAACTAAATATTTATGCTCCAGACCATTAGGCCACCACAACACGGCCCCTCATTGCACCTTTAGATATAAGAGGATACCACACAGATGCATTGTTCTTTTGAACCGATTTGAAATGATATCCAAGGTGTTTTTCTTTACCACACCAGTTCACCATTACATTGGCTTCCGATGCCTTTTAGAATTAAATTTAAGTTACTTCTAATGTATTTCAAATGTCTCGGCGGTGACGCCCCGAGCTATTTGTGCGATCTAATTTCACGGCGAAAGTTAGTGCCGACGTTCACGCAGTAAGAGTAATTAATATATTTGTAGTTAGCAGTCCTTGTTTCTTTAACGTCTGCTTCCGCAAAAGTGATATCACAGACAAGACATAGGAGAGCCAAAACTTCCTCCTGTATTTTTAGAATATGATTTTACAATCATCCCATGATGACAATACCCCAAGTGTGCATGTCAGCCACCGTCCAGTCGTCGGTCCGATATAATAGTAATAAGCTTTAACAAAGCTTCTCTGTCCGATCACATTATTTATTGGTTAGACTGGTAACATACAGTGCTCAAATTTAAACAAACCCATGAGAGAGACGCTATTTCATAATAAAAATGAATAAATCTTCATGCTTTTGGCTATTTATGCTAAAGTATACATTTCGTGGATCGATAGGTGTTTCCTTAGACTGCTGTCATAGACACCACCTTTATTTCAAAATACTGCCAAAACGGCTATTACCTTACTACTGCATACAATTTTGTTTCATACAATTCATTTTATTTAAGAAACGGCTAATCCTTCAACCACCACTTATAGAAGTTGATTCACAATATATCAAAAAATGCTACCCTGTCTGTTTCTATGACGTACGCGATAGGACTGGCATTGTACTAGTAACCTTAAGAATAGAGTTATAATAATCTCAGACATTGCCTATACATAGACGGCAAACCAGGTGCTAATAGATTGTATAACCATGAAAAATGTCATTCATTCAGCAAAAGTGTACCAAAATACTTTGAAAACAGATGGTAAGATTTAGAAGTTAACTAAAAGAATTCAACAGTCAACCAAGATGAGTATTTTGGGGGGCTTATTTATACCCGTGAACTATATTTTAAAATCGAATAAATTTTCACGATTTATCACCTCCAACCATGGGCGTGGATTTAGGGCCCCCTTAGAATCGGAAGGGGGGGGGGGGCGAATTCGCCAGGACAGATCTTCAGGTTTATATCCACACGAATGTCCCGTTCCGAAGGCTATCTAACCACTGCCTTGGGTCTCGCCACAGTAATTCATCTTCACGATATCTTCCTCCTTAATTGTAGCCAATTTTACTATATCATCATATTACCCCTAGTTACAGCTTTCATCGAAATAACACTGGTAAACTGTTCGTAATTATTATTTTGGTTTGGTAATGAAAGGTTCCAGGGTTCGCCCCCCCCCCCCCAATAGTTCTGACAAATCCACGCCCTTGCCACCAACAGATCATGAATCTCTAAACACTAATGCCAAGTCCGAGGAGAACAACACAACAATTTTATCTGATTATATTGTTCAAAATGCAATTGATGTTTGTGGAATAATTGAAAGTGGCTGAATAATGACTGTTCGGATTCATCGACAATTGCAGCTTTAGTAGCCGATGGATATTCTATACTATATTGCCCTCGGAGGTTCACGTGGAAGAGGTGTAGCACTTATATTTAAGTCATCTATTAAATGTAAGAAAGTCCGTCATGAAAGAGGGTGGGATGGCCAAATTGTTAGCACGTGCGTGCTGTATTATGAGGTCTGTCATCGAGTCAACTGACGCGGTTTCGATTCCCCGGTTGTACATGACAAGGAGTTGGGTCGCCTGTCCAACCTCGTGGGTTTTCTCCGGGTTCACCGGTTTCCTCCCACTGTTAAAGACCCCTATTGAAATAAAATTGAACCATGTTAGTCCCGAAATGACCTAGTTTGTGTCGAGTAGATGTCCCCCTCTCTCCCCCTCTCTCTCTCTCTCTCAAGGAAACTAGGATTATTACAATTTATCGCCCACCCAATAACAAATTGTGTCAAAAATTTATGGAAGAATTTAAATTTTTTCTGGACCAGCTGCAAAGTGTAGCTGCAATATTATACACACTTTGCGCAAGTAAAAATAGCTTAAACATACGTTATGTAAGAGCTAAACCTGCCTATTGCAGGTCTTTCTTTAGGCCTGAAATGTTTTCTAAATTATTAATTAACCTATCCAGGCCATAATCAACCCTTGATGGCATCGGATTTCTCCGATATTAAATAGATTAGAACAGTTCAGCCATATTTTGATTTAAGCTAAAAATGGATGAGCGAACAACCAGTACGCTGGTTGAAATTATTGCACACCTCTTGTCAGACCTTCAGAGGCTAATATTTTCGCTCGCAATAGAGTAATTTAAATGAAAGTTTTAAATTATTCATTTTACATTATCTATTTTCGAACTATTATAGCAAGAATGGCTAGCTCTTTATATAAATCTTACATAATGTATCTTTAAATTGCAAAATTTTCAACGTCATCACAGTTTGCATGGAAATAAGCAATTATGTTACAAATAGTGAAGAATGGAACACTGAATTCTCAATCTTATCTTACCGAACAGTTTTTGTATACTTTTGAGGTGACGCGAAATCGCGTGCGTTTTCTAATTCTGGTTCGGTGGCCATTTTAAACGGGACAGAAATATCGCGTAGACGCTTTATTTGATTAAATTTATGAATTTATGTTAAGTTTCACCTTTAATTCAATGGGAATTGGTTTATTATATGTAGTACAATTAGGTCAGTTTAATTGGAATTAAAGGAGTCCTTAGAATGACACCCACTATTGTGGCTGAAACAAGACGGAAGCCAATCAGTAGTGGAACCATTTCTAGACTAAGTGTTGTACTATTATTACGGGTGGGGGGGGGGGTCATGTTGATAATTACATTTACTCTACCGCAGTTGATTTTTGTGAAATGTTGAATAACAGATCTTTCGCACAACATGTGTCTTCTTCAACTTATAATGGTGGACATATTCTCTATCTGGTAGCCTAAATAGAAAATCTCCTACGAGTCTTTTTTGATATAAAAAATATCAACACAAGTCGATAAAGTAAAACAAATGAGGCCCTGCTGAGGTTTTCTTATTTACTTTATCGATGAGTAAATTATGAAATTTATTACACAAGCGATATCTACTGTAGAATGTATTATTGGGTGATAATAACTAATCCACGTGATCGTAAACTGAATAATCTCGGTGTCTCGGACAAATTAATATCCTATCATTCCCCGGCAAGTTTTGATCTTAAAATCAAGAAACCACAACTGACAAGAAAGGTTGTAACATAGAGGGTTTAAACACTTGAAGCGGAAATGGTTGACTTAGATTTCAATGGGATTCAACGTAGTGAAGATACAAGAGAAATCAACCCAGTGTCACTCTAAGCTTGCTCAAATTTTGGACTCACTTGTGCCTCTAAAATATTTACTGTTCGTCCCAACACGCAGCCAAAAGGGGCCGTGATAAAGTTGAACATCTGTGGCGAAAAACAAATCTACATATCCATAAACATATTTATAAATGTTTAATATAAACTAACAGAAGACGATAAAATTAAATTTTATCTGATATAGAAAATGATGAAAACAGACAAAAGAAACGTGTATAAAGTTGTGAATTCACTATTGGATCATAATGCTGAGCGGACTATTCTCCCGGACACTGATAAAGACACTAAACTCGCGAATTTATTCTCGGATTACTTTCATATACAGAAAATACGAATCGAACTTGGTGTTTAAAATTAAATAACGCTACTGGCTTTAACGCTCATAAGTTTGATAAGTTCGAAAATTCTGTTTATTTAGAACAGTTTAACTTGGTTAGTGAATCTTTTGTTTTAAACCTAATAAAATTT